TGAGCATTCATGAACATTCACTCGTCCCCCCAATAATTAAAGAGTTGCTAATGTGTAGTTGTTGGTTATTTCCATTTGAAAGTCCGGTATTGTAAGACGGACTGACATTAGGAGAAAAAAGTGCATAGCATCCACAGTTCCATATCAACAACTTCCCATGAAGAAGAGGGAGGGAGCTTTCCATAATCGATACTGCTCATCAAATTGAACCTAGTCTCCAGAGTAATCTCTTCAGGCTGCTATTTTGACTGTTGTTAGGCCATTTTTCTAACATTACACTATTGCAAATTATAAAGGCGAAGGTTCATACGCATATACTTTTTATTGGACTTCTCTTTTGAATAACTATGGACAAATTACCCCCTTTCATTGCCAGTTTAATCCCTAAATTTGGATCGTTTACAAGGTCACGAGTAGATTTTAAAAGTATATTGAGGTCAATGAACTCACCATTCCATATTTTTTCTTTAAGCTTAACCGGAATGTGAGATAAAATAGGATCGAAAACTCTTGAAATATATAAAGGGGATTGTTCCACTTGTAAAACGAGTATCAGAAGAAATACAAAAACTCCTGACCGTTGTGAATGGAATAGTGTGGATACATTAGACATACCAAGATTGTTGTTGGACGGTATCTGCAAATGCTACCACCAGGTTGTGGAATCACTGAATCTGCGATGCTCTTTGAACTTTGAGGGATGTTTCCTCGTTGAGTTTTGGTCTATATTGTAAGGTTCCTTGTTGATTTCCAGATGCCGAACCGATAGTTTGACCGTCGTTTGTTGTATCACTTGGTTCTGAATCGTGCTGGTTTAGGCTTTGATTCGGGATCCTGTGTGGGACCTCCTGTTGATAAGAGTCTGTCGTAATATTTATCACCGGTCCATTCAGGACTGTCACTGTCCTTGATAATGGTGCATTTTGTACACTCCTTTGCATAGATACTCGTATTGCATTGTTTTGATTTTGGGGTCTTCGTACACTCATGGCCGATAATGGTATTCGTGTTGATGGCAACTGATCAAGTCGTCTCGATCTGCTATTTTTGGATTTCTTGGCTTGTACTGGCTGCTGAAATTCCTTTCTTAACGATTTACGAGGTCTTGTCGGTGGTTTCATATTTTAATGAAATACGAATGGCGTAGAATTTGAATGATTTGAAACTTTAAAATAATGTACAAGTTTGGCCAGATCAATTCAAGGTTAAATTTTTTAAAGTGCCACTTGATATTAGTGGGAAAATCAAGCATTTTAATATACGGAAAGTTACTATGCACCGGATTTTACAAATGATTGTGTTGATTTGCTCTATAAATACAATTCATTGAACTATTCAAAACAATGCATGTCTAGCGGAACTTCCCGTCTCAGCGTGTATGGAAGTGAATAGTTAGCAGCTCTATTGTTTAGTATGAATTAAGTGAATGGGAGCAACGCATTTGTGTTGTCTGTGACTTTAACGTATTTAAAAAGGTACATGAAATATTTCAGCCTTATCCCGCATGGACTGTTTTCATGATCCTAGCAAAAAATGTAATCATAAGTATTGAATGCTTCTTTTAGTAATTTATATAGTGTGCCTTATCCCGCATGGACTGTTGCATTAGACCTTTCGTATTTGCGAAAACAGACAAATTATAGAAGGATTCATATGTAACAGTTGTTTCGAGTATACGAACGCCGATATTCTTCCTATACGTGATAGATGTTGTAAATTTTTAACTTATCATGCAATCTCTTCTTGTGACTACTTATCTGACATTCGCGATGATTTCTGATTCGAGTTACTATGTATATACCCGATCACTTGCAGTGCTTTTCTTGGTTCCTTAGCTATTAAAGATATCTGTTATCTATACTGTCCTGTGAAACCAAATTCAAACTAAACTGTGACAAGAAAAAAACGTTTTCATTTTGTAAGCGTCACCGTTGTTTACAAATTTTCGAAACCATGTTCTCTCTCTTACGTAGCAATGTAAAATCTTAAACGTTTAAAATCAATAGATGTTTTCACCTGTTCGCTTATTGACATGTATATTGCATTATTTGTTTGACTTTTTATTTTAATCACTATCTCTTCTAACGAGGCTAATAAAGAGATATTGTTATTCATTCATCGTTTTGTAAATAAATCAGGCCGTTATTTTTTTCTTTTTAATTGTTTCACATTTTGTCTTGTCGGGCCTTTTTCTAGCTCACTTAACAGTATAGGTTTTGCACATTGTTGAATGCCGTATAGTTACTTCACATTGTTTGAACCTTTATCCTTTTGTCTTTATTGAACAGTTGTCTCATTGACAATCATATCCTATCTCCTTATTTAAACACTTTTGTGCAGGTTCAGTTATTTAGAGGACGAAGGAAATAAGGTGAAACCTATGCCAATAATTCAAAAGCAATGAAATGGGAACTTTAGATGATGTCTGTGCTGGTTTATTTGTATTTCTAGGTGCCCCCATTAGGACAGAATCAATTTGCGCCAATTACAGTTTTGAAAAGGTATCAATTGCGCCACTCTCTATTGTTTTATGGTATTAATTGCGCCAATAAATAGAATCAAATTGCGCCACATTTTACATATATATTTGTTTACCTATATCATACATGTAACCGTTAACATATCCACTTTAGATTAAACTGAACACTCATCAAAATTAGGAAAACTCACCAATACATAAATTGTTCAGTAAAAGAATAGTTTTTCACACGGAAAGATGCCTGATACATGTATATCGTTTAAGAAAATTGAGTCCGATAAAGGGAAACCCATCACTATTGTAGAAGATCACAAATTTCGTCAGGCATTTAATTATTAAGAAAACCGAAGAAAATCAGATGGAGAGCTCGGAAAAAGTTGAAAAAAAACTAGTGAGAGGAGAAGTGAGCAGAAAGGAATATGTTTCTATTTTAAGTTATAAATACTAGCCTTTGGTTTAATTTTGAACAGAGAAATTTTATAGTTTTAACCGTATATATATATATGAGTAAGCATTTTAATTCAGCATACTTTTTGTATTCAAATGACTTTAATCCGCCAGTCGGTAAACTGCCGGACTCAAGCCTGGATAAAGGAGGACATCATTAAGTTGATATGTATAAGTAAATGTTAATAAATTCATAAAAATGGCGCAATTAGATGATTTTTTAATTGGCGCAAATGATACCTACAGTTTTTAAAATGAAGTGGCGCAAAAGTAGTATTGGCGCAAATAAGTTGTGGCGCAAATGAGTTCATTTTTGGCGCAAAAAGATATCGCCCTCCCATTGTTTGTTCTGTATTGAATTACCAAACTGATTAACTCAAAAATTATTATCTGTTTATTTTCAATTATCAAAAACAACAACAAAACAAAACTTCTCATTAAACTAGCAATAAAATGTACAATACTATACATATTTTCATTTCTACAACATATTATTCTTTCGTCGGCAAGATTTGAGATTTGACATAGCTGCACAAGGAGCGCACGATAGAGTCGTCTACAAACCTTGGAGACGGCACAGTGAATAAATTGAAAACATATTTTTAAAAAGAATGTGTAAAATTTCATTATTGGATTCTTAAAGGTGTACTTGATCAAGTCTTCGCGAGACATATGTCAAAACTTCATCTAATTCACACAACCCTTGAAAAGCAAATTAGAAAATCGTCATAATCAAAAAGGAGTTTACATTTATAAGTTGTGACATTGTTACCGGTATTTTGGTGAGAGCAAAATTGATTTATCACAAGGCATATGAAAAGTTGCCCAGTTTTCATTTAATGGAAAGACAAGTACCTAAAAGGTTGATGTCTATATGAACCCATGTGTTATTTGACGTTCTGAAAAGGATTCAAAAAGCATGTTTGATGTATCGTGAAAAACATTCGATAAATTGCATGCTTGATTTTTTTACCAGTATACTGTTTCATATTTCGAGGGGGGAGGGGGGACACACACACACACAAACAGACAGAAGGAAACATGTCATGGAACTAACATTGTATAAATAATTTGTAAATTTGTTTAAAGCATAACTTAGTTAATCTCAGGACATGCCCGGACGAATGGACAGACTGCTCGGACGGATGGACAAAAGAATATTTTAATTCGTCTGTATTCAACGGACTTACAAAATAATATGGAAACGGAGGTATGCAACTACATGTAGAAATAGAAAGTCAGATTTAAGTAACAATTACGCATATTCTTTTCGAAATGGTCATGCAACAGATAAAAATCGAAGGAAAGTCTTGCCGACTCGTCTATTGAAATTTAAAACACTAAAGCATTACTTCAAAAAAATGTATCGTATACATTTGTTATACCAATCACTTGTTTAATCTTGTTATCATCTTTGAGATTAGACATGTTAGACGTATGTGTTCTCTGTTTATACAATGATATATACTATAGAAATTGTAATATATATTTTAATATGGTTAGATTAGATTAACACAATGTTGATACAATTATTTATACTACACGAAACTAGCAATTTTTAATATATATATATATATATATATATATATATATATATATATATATATATATATATATATATATATATAAATATAAACAAGTCTAAATTGAAAACAACGTTCAAACCTATGAATGCGTTGGATAAAAACCGCAATTTTTATACGTGTGCATGCAAAACAAATTTCTAGGTAGAGGGGTCTAAATACAGCACAAACAACATTTTCCAAAAGACCAAATGAGTGAAAAAGTATATTTTAACAAAACGCATTTGACTAGCAGGTCGAACAACTGATTTTCTTAAACCCTGCTGACTGCCATTGGCGACTGCCAAATAAACGGATCACAAGATGTAACAAAATAGATCTTATTATTAATTTATTACCAAACAGAAAACAATAAACTTGCGGAAAAGATGGCATACCGCAAACATGAGGTGCAAAAATTTGTACACCATATCCGGATTTCGACAATTAATGTCTCTTCAGTGATGTTAGGAATCGAAACGGTATTTGGAAGGCCATATAATTTACCTCAATTGAGAATAGACTCTTGAATTTTGAAAGAGTCAAAATATATATATAGTTTATTAGACCAAAAAAATCAAACAGTAGTTCGCATTAAGCTATCAAAGCATCACACATATTATTATATGGTAAAAAATCAGATTATTTTTACCCTTTGTAGACTATAAATAACTTAAAAGATTTTATCCTGCAATCAGCCAACTAATGTACAAATAATAGGTGAACAAATACATGTTTGTTTTATTTGTACTTGTACAAATACAGTCTCCTGTTATCCCGCTTCCATGTTGAGCAAGCGGTAATGTGGATATATCTTTTTGGGTAACATTTCTTTTTGGGGTCCTCTTTGCGGTCCGCGTTTAAACTATGTCGATTTCTTTGAAAAATTAGACAATGATTTGGATTTTAACAACTAAAGTTTCAAGTGCCAGGTTTAAATTGCATGATAAAAACAATATATGTACATTGTCGGAAATATAAAATGTATTTGTACTCGCTACGAAACACGAGAAAAGCTCGGCGAGCCTCGCTTTTCGTCCTATTTCTAAACCTCGTACAAATATTTTATGTTTTCCGACAATGTTCATATATTGTATGTTTATTTGATCGTTACCATTACTTATTGATTTTGTATAAAATTTGACATTATTAAGTAGTGAACAGGCAAGGGTTCACTGATAATTATTTATGATATATGCATACCCAATAAAAGATTTTAAGAGTTGGGGGTTCCCTCCCCTGACATACTGCAATAATGAATGATCTATGATGAATTATCAGAAATACATTATATACTATCATAATATTTTATCCATTTTGTATTGGAAAGGATTTGTATACTCTTTGCCTTTTGTCTAATCCCTTTGTTTAAATGGACGTTTGATATTTGAACAATGAAATATATTGAATTGAATTGAATTTTGGAAACTTAAGTTGACTAGTTGGCAGAGCAAGCTATATTTAGTGGTTTGGGGAGTTTTTTCTGACTCTTTCTCTGCATTTCCTATATTGGGCTTTAAAAGTAAACTTTTTCTACGTAAATCTTTAAGAATTACACAGTAATAAGTTATTGAAATGATGTCTAAAGCACTAACAAATTAATTATTCAATAAAAGCGAACCATTACAAAATGTATGTGTCTCTCTTTGAAAAACGGCATAAAGTTAAGTTTTACGTGTGGACTTATGGAAACCTCCATAAAGTCAGTGCTTTTTTTATAGGGATGGCTCATTTATCGTGAACACTTCAATAACTCATTTAAACTGACATTTCTTACATATATGTGTGATAGTAACCCCAAAATTTCGATCTAGTAGGGAAAGCTTAAAAAGCTCAAATTTTGCAGAGGATGAGGGATATATTGACCAAAAAATGAAGACAAAGAGGTGAATAAGAGATGTTTATCTTCTAGAATCTCCTTTTGTATGCTATTCAACTGTCAGATGAGATGAGCATTTGATCATTTCTTGGCTTACGCTGTATTTTATCATGCTGCGGCTTAATTTGGAATTTTGGAAGAAATTCTTACTACTAAAATCGCTGTATGGTGGTGCCTTACATTATACTAATTTTCTCTTAAAGTATTGAACTGATTATGACAAAACTTCACAGTAATGCTTTAAATAATGAGTAATAATGAAGAAAAAAACCATTCAGTTTATTTAATATTAAAGAATTTTTAAGAGGAATCTGGTAATAAAATAGTGCATTAATCACTGATGAAGATGCATGTGTATTGACCTGGAAAATTTTTCGAACTAATATGAAACTAATACTAAATTTCTCACATGTCAGTGTTAACTTTAATCATTTCATTTAAGTGCACTTAGAAAGTAAAGTATATTAGAATGTTTTTATATATCCATCAAAAGCACACACCACAGTTGAAAAAGGGGGTTTAGTTTAAATAAAAAATTATTATTATTACTAAAATATAAAGACGGTCACATCACATAACTAAACACCAAAAACTACAGTATTATAGGACCACTACCAATTACATTGAAACAACGATTTTTTTCTTCAAAAATCAAATAATGATAAATGTTTTCTGTAGGTAACACAGAAACATTGAGCATGTATTATGGGCTCAGCTAAAAATGTTTGACCTTTAACTGCCTTTTAATTAAGACGTAGTTTTTTAATCTTGAGAAATATCTCAAGGCTTGATTATATTGTTCGGAAAGAATTGCCAAAAAAAAAAAATTTATACATAGAAAAAAAAATAACATTATTTAAAAAAAAGCATTGCTCTTGGCATATGCCCTGCTAGATATCCGGCTTCAATTACTAGAATATATAACACTTTTATATTCTAAGCTTCAAAGAAATGGCTCCATTCAAAACCACCTACCATCAATATATAAATTTGCCGAGATTTAATTAAAAACAAAAAAATTATGTTTTTGTTTGCCTTTTCGGGCTTTTGCATGTACATATTAACTATATTTGTGATATTTTAAAATGATTTTGACATACATAATATAAACTGATAAAAAAACTAATACAATTCACCGAGCTATAAACAAACTACTTTTTAAAATACTGTTAGAAAAAAATGAAATATTAAAATCAATGGCAATATATGTATATTACAGGCAAGAGATGAGCGATTGGAAACTCAAAAATTTCATTAATATATATGATTGACTATTATAGTTGCTTAACATTCAGTTGTAAATATTTCATGCACCTTTAGGACGACGTCAATATTTTATATTTGTTTTCTTTATAACGAGTCTTATTAATACACAAATTAAAGGACTCATGCTCCAATTCCTGTAAATATAATTATATTGGCTTCTGAATTTCATTTTTGAATAATATTCTAATGAAAGACTGTTTCGATTAACTACATGCACCAATGTTTTGAAAATAAAAAAAAAACTTCTGTTGTGTGTATGTTTAATTGCAGTCTAGATTTGTTTTAGAGAGCCACCGTGATTATTGATAATAAAAATCAAAATTTTACAACTGAAACAATGAGAAAATGTTTTAAAAAATATATTGAGCAGGCATCAATGCTCGTATGATAATGTTAATTGATGTTGACCTGTCGTAAGGTTGAGATATTGTGTGTAAAATACTTTCAATTAGCGAAATATAAAGTGTGTACTATCCGAAAATTAACCCCCCCCCCCTAAAAAAAAAACCTAACCTGATATATTTTTAAATGCAAGGGCTTATTGAACTTTCATTGTGTTTAAATCAGGAAAAATCATATCGTTGCATCATTTACAAAGCATAGGGTATCAATTTTGGTAGACTGAGGAAAACATTGTATTTTTGTCGAAGTTTGATTTTGTCGATTTGGAAACTTTCTACATATAAACTAATAGAATATGCGTATTTGATATAGATTAATGCTTTCAAATTCGTTTTTTTTTAAAACACAATATCCACAAAAATTAGTATCCCACAAAACTTAACGAATCCTTAGGATTTCGTTCAATTCATTGAATATAAACTCTTTGTATCATGAAAAGTTATTTACAAATTTTACAAACAGGAATTAGTAATCAAAGAGTTCTTAACACTATTATAAACATGTTCGTATCTGTAAAAATACTAGTATTCGATTGTTATTATAGGCGACCACCACGACCTCTGCCACGACCCCTGCTTCCACCACGACCTCGTCCACGGCCGCGAAATCCCTGATATCCTCTGTTATGGTTATTGTCTCGATATCCGTCTGTATTAAATTCTCCGCTTCTCCCATCAGATCTTCCATTATAATATATGTAATCTTCCTGGTCATGGACACGTCCACTTGAACCATTATTATCATCCCTACCATCCCTTTTATTTGGTCTACCCCTAGCCGAGGTCTTGTTTTGAAATCTCTTTTTACCTTCCTGTGCGTTATGTTTATCTTTTCGGTCTCTCTTAGGGCCTTTTTCTACATGTAACTTTAACGATGGCGGTATATGCACTTTGTCAGGTTTGTTAGGTTTCCTTGTTTTCTCATTTGTTGTTACCACTTGCATCGCTTTCTCCATACCTTTACCACGACCTCTACGAGTTTGTCCCCGGTCTCCACGGAAGTTTTCACTATTACTTATATAAGGATTCTTAAATCTTTGAAGCGAATTCATATCCCCAACGTCCTCACTAAAATCAGCTTGTTTGTCTGTACAAAAAGTACTTTTTTTACCTGTAACATTTGCCACCTGGGTCTTTCTATTGATTTTTGGCTTTGTCAGTCCGTGTGTGACGAAATGTTGCCCATCATCATACTGGAACTGTGTTTGTTGATTATCGTTTCCCTTACAAATCACACACGAACTGTCCATGAGCGTTGATACAGCATGTCCTGAAATTGACAAATGAATATTTTATTGTATGACAGATATGTACATGTAGAAAATGAGAGGATATGGAGTAAATGTACATGGGACAAAATCGCACACAATACATAGAAAACATAGAAAATTATCAATGAACAGGGCTTTTATTCCTGTTCTTCATGTAGGTATTCTGTTTCAACTGTTTTTGTTTAACTGAGCTGGAATTTCACAATAGTTGACAATTTCATGAAAACAATTAACTTAATAAAAAACTGAGAAGCTATAAAAAAAAGAAATTTTAATAAAAGTATTTATTTTTTCATTCTGTTTGCACAAAAAAAAGTTTATTATATATATTATTGACGGTTTTCGTTATTCTTGATGGACCCTTGTGGTTATAGCTTTCCAAATATTTATTCTTCTTTTGAGTATCAAAATATTTGGCTCCGCGTTATAACCGAAATACAGGAAAAACGTATTTGATAAGGAAAATACAATAAAAATGTTAGCGTTGATTTACCTTTCTGTGAAATTCTATATCATATTTTTCAATGGTTATGCACATAAAATATGCTTTTTTATTAAAACAAAAAATAATTTTAAGGTATTGTGCCTTTTTGTAGGATCCATTGTGAATCGCAAGCCTGGTCTTCAAAGATAAAAAGCGAACAGTTTGTCCTTTAAAGAATTTGTTGTAAATAGCAACTTTGTTGGTGCTTTTGGTAAATCTATTCACAATTAACATATATAGACTTGCGTCGATCTTAAGCTCGACATATGGTATAGGCAAGCACATCGTGTTTGTTATTGAAGATTTTGCTACTTCTTTTAATACTATTCAATAATATCTGTTGGTATTCACTTACAATAAGAATGAACACGGTATCGTGCTTAGTACGGAGTATCGGAAAACGGGAAGTAAGGGTCTGACAGATCTAAGAGCTCTCACACTTTACAACTAATCACTGCAAAGATGTTGACCAAATACGAAGTCATTCTGTTCATTTTAATTAGTACTGAAGAAATGTGCGACGAAAAACTCAAATTCATTCAAAATGTTGACAAATTCATAGTATCGGCAAACAGGAAGTTGTTGTCTGACAGATCAGAAAAAACCACACACTTTACAACTCTTCACTGTTAAGCTGCTAACCAAATATGAAGTTATTTTGTGACCGAAATATTTGTTGGACGAAGAAACGGACAATATAATTGCAATATAACTCCTCTCATGGAATGAGGTATAATTATATGACTTGATAAAATTCCTACCATTTTGACATATTGTCCAATCGCTGCTATGTATGCCAACCACATTCTGCAATTGTGGATATTTTCTGGTTTTTGACAAGTATCCATCGCCCTCCATGTCAGCAATGAACGGTCTTAATATTTTATTTAGCTGCTCTCTTTTTAGATATTTCTTCATCAAGAGTACAACTACAACTATATCGTGACCTGTTATTGTGAGATGACCATTCATGTCGGTAAATATGCCATCATTTTCTTCGAAAATAATTTCAATCGACTCCACTAGTTCGGGAGGAAAATCTTTTGATTTTTTTCTCACAGGCTTCTCTACCCATGCCGGAAACCAATCAGCAATATAAAATTTGCCCAATAACTCTGGGTTTGTCGTGAAAAGGCACAACAGCCATTGGATATGCAAATTGTATATTTTCTCAGATAATTGTAGGCTATCTTTAAATGAAGTTGATTGTGTTGTTTCAATATCTTTATGAATAAATTCGGTCAATTCCTCTGCATCTTGAAATTCCTGTTCAAACTCATTTATACGCCGTGTGTGCTGAACAACATGAAGATATGTCGCAATGCTTGTTGTATACTCTTCGAATAATGTTAGCATTCCAGGATCACACGCAGGATACAACGTTTTGGAATTAATTCGTACGTTATGAACCTCTTTTTTGGCATCTTCTAGTGCCATTTTCTGCCTTTTCAGAATCCGTTCATATCTCGGATGATAACATATAGTTGCATCACAACATGGACATTCTGACAATAAGTCATTCTTCATTTTATCCATACAATTATCGAGATAACAGCTGTCAAAAGAGTGACGGCATTGTGTCAAAGTTACAATTATGCTATCTTTAGTAACATCTTTAAAAACATACATTTCAGGTTTACAATCAACACACTTCAGTGGACATGGTTCACCACAATAACCAGGACATTGATGGCCACAGGACAACGTCTTATCACAAACGTTATTGCATCTTTGGCGATTGCACTCTTCAAAGCATAGTTTGGTACACTTATAATGTTTACATTCCCATGGACATTTCTCTTTGCATGGCTTGCATGGATCAATGCATTTAGAACGACATTTCGAATGGGCACATACAAATAAGCAAGACTTTTGGCACGGACTGCACTTCATGCAAGTTTTACTTTGACAGGTATGGCCACACAACATTTTTTTTCTACATTGGCTTGTACATTCACTATGATCATTTATTCGGCTTGCATGACACGGCCCCGAACAAGAATGTCCACATGACATAGATTTTTCACACTTTTGATCACATTTTTCTTTTTTTGGATTACTGCATGCTACTTTTATTACATGGCCGCAGGAAAGTGTCTTGTCTACGACTACCTTGCATGGAGATAATTTTGTACTTGCTATTTTCCAACATGATACAGTTATATTATGTCCACAGTCGGCACGCGTGTGTGTAATATGCTCTAAACATTTAATATCTGGTAGAACCATACTTCTTTTCTGCCAGCATTTTATTTTAGCTGAATGTCCGCATTTTTCCAATTTTATCTTAACTTCTGTGGTACATTTTACGTCGGAAACATTTTCTGAACATAAAACCATTTTCCTATGCTGACACTCAGGCAAATACTTTAAGACTGCAAATTTACACGTTACAGTTTCAGGGTTTATATGGCATTTTATTTTCTGAGTATGGCCACATGAATTAAGAACTTTCTTCACCATTGATGTACACAGATACACTTTAGGGTCAGCTGAACATGGGATACTTTGTTGGTGTTTGCAACCTTCCAAAACAACTTTAATAAGCTGTTCGCAATCACAGGAAGTTTGGAAATGACATAATTTCGTACATTGGTGGCCATTTTTGCAAGTTTTGCTGCATGAGTCAGTACATTTAATTGAATTACTTTTGTAACATTCGTGTGTCTTGGAATGTTTGCATTCGAAGACAGTTGTTACATTTTCTCTACATCTAACCGATTCAACATCCTGATGGCACAGGAGCTTTATTTTGTGGCCACAAAATGGGAATTCTTTTTCAACTTTCGCACTGCATTTGTGTTCATTGTGATAATTCGTATCAGAACATTTCCTTTCATATTCATGACCGCATTCGACTCTTTTGTCTGGAATAACTACCTGGCATGTGTTATTCTGGACGTAGTTGGAATCGTAACAGTGTCTTCTGTAGTTATGTTCACACGATAACCATTGTTCAGTAACAATATCATTGCATCTATGAACCATCTCAAACAATTGGTCATGACACTGCTTTTGATATTCGTGTCTACATGATGCTCTATTCACTGTTACAATAACGCTGCACTTAACGCGTATTTCATACGTTGTATCAAAACAATGCCGTTCGATCAAATGATCACAGGAGGATCGTTTTTCGATTATCTGAACTCTACAATGATTCAGCCTTTCAAAACTTGTATCATGACATTGACGTTTAAACTCATGTACACAGTTTGATCTCGTCTCTGTTAGGACTGTGTCACATTTGTGGCGTTTTGGATTAACATGACATTTTATTTGTGCTGTATGCCCACACTGTAGTTCTCTTTCAACAATGGATTTACAGAGAACAGTACTTGGATCGACGCAGCATTCCATTATAGCAGGATGTCCACATGATAACGTTCGGGTTACTTTAGTTGGGCATGGATATTCAGAATAATCCACATGGCACTTGAGATTAATCGTGTGCTGACATTTAAGCTCCCGTGTCGTTATTGCACAGCATTGACAGTCAGAATCAAAATGGCATCTCTTAGGACAGCTATGCCCTTCTTCACATGTCTCTGAACATTGTTTGTTGCATTTATATGTTTTATGTTCCCTGTCAAGTGGATGACAGTCGTATCGACACGCATGTCCACATGCTAACCGAAATTCACATGGAAGATCACAACCTCCATCTTTCACTTTCATAAAGTCACTTGGTGACTCTGCTAGAATTCCTTCGTTGGATGGGTGATTTTGACAGTACAGAGGTAACGCTTTTCCAAAGGATTTGTATTTATGGAAAGCTTCGTTTTCATTGCTGATGTCCTCTCCAATTTGTAGTTTTCTAATTATAGTCTGCCAGTGTTTAGACTTCGTTGTCAACGTACAGCTGTTTCCTATTATAAAAAGACCCTGCTTTGCTCTCGACAGAGCCACGCAAATTCTGTTTTCCCGATTTAAGAATCCAATATCGCCTCTCGCATTGCTACGCACTAATGATAAAAGAATAATTTCATTTTCTTCGCCTTGATAATTGTCAAGCACACAAATGTTTACTCCTTCGAATTTTGATCTTGGCATTTTTTCTTTTAAGCGAAACATCTGACCAGTGTATGCCGCAATTATCGTTATCTCCGATGGTTTATATCCCTGCTTTATCAGATACAGACAAAGTTCTTTGAGGTATTCAGCTTCGTGTTCATTTGAATAACTTCTCCCTTCATCTTTGAACACCTCTTTTTGGTTATGTGTGATGAAGAATAAGCTCTTCCGTACACCTTTAATCGGTGGATATTCATATACATTTTCGTTATCTATAAGAACATCATATATATGGCGTACCAATTCAGAAATTTCTGGTCTCATTCGATGCTGTTGTTGTAGACAATGGTAACTCAGGTCGTTTTTCACCATTCTTTCAAACAGAGAAACAGATAAATTGAATTTTATGGCAAGCTCATGCACGGCTGGTTTTGGTTCCAATTGCTTATGGTCCCCAATCAAAATCAAATGTTTACATCTTGAGCTGATTGCAGTCACAATGTGAGCCTCTGGTACTTCTGCCGCTTCTTCAATAATGGTGATCAGAGGTCCAACTTTGTTTAGGGATTCACTGTATCTTGCTGCATTGGTTGTAGTCATAGCAATAACTGAGGCCTGTTGCATGATAAATTCGTCTACTTCCATACTAGTACGTTTGTAGTTGTCAAATATCTCATTATATTCCCTTTCCCTGTTTCGCAATTGTTCATGTAGTATCATAATGTATTTTCTTAACCAATACCTATACATTTGCCATCGATCCTTCATGGAGAGTGTCCAGATATTTTGGATTTCATTGACTTGACCTTCTGACATGTGTTCACCATAATGCAGTTCTTTTGCTGCCTTCTCTTTTTCTAAACCCAAAATATGTTGACATTTATCTTCAAGCTTTTTTTTCTTTTTAAAATTAAACAGACTTTTATATTGTTTGTCCAGATCGATGCCTATTGAGTCAGGGCTAAGTGTAGGGCCAACATCATCAACATCAATGTACCGCTGATTGTTTGCATATTCTGCCTCAGAAATCACTGTAATAAACTCCTCCTCGTTAAGTTCAATCGCAATAGTATTGAGCTGATCGTGGTTTTCTTTGTCAGTTTGTTGGTTTTGGTAGTATTTGTCTACTTCTTTATACCAGGAATTCGTTAACACATGAAGCCATTGCAACCAAACAAAATTTGTGTTATCTCCAAATTGATTTGCATGACTTTCGGAAAGAACACATTTCAAAACATTAAACCACAGAACAATATTTCTGCTTTGTAAGACATCGATTGTGTCTTTAATCTCCTTGATTTTTCTTTTAGCTGCTTTTGCTTTATCAAGTACACCAGCTCGTGGATCATCAAATTCCCTTCGAACTTTTCTTCGTACGTATTGTATCGAAAGCTGTTCAAGTTTAGGATTTTTACATTGACGTCCAAATCTAACTACTCTGGGGAAACGAACATCACAAAAGTATTCTGGCATAAAATCAACAATTCCCTCTACAAATTGATCTAATGCATGGTTGGTGTAACAAACAACTAACATATATGGTTTCGGTAATGATGCAGGACCTCGAGCGTTTTCCTGTAAATTTTCATCCTCCTGACAATCAGAATCCACTTGTAACCATCGGTTACTGTTATGCAGTAATGTTTTAGCAATTTGCAATCCAAGGTACGTCTTACCAGTCCCAGGTGGACCTTGGATAAGCACAAACTCTTTTGTAAGTGCAGAAATAAACGCTTTCCTCTGAGATTCGTCCATTCTCAATATCCCAGTCGAAGGCCAGTCTTCTTCAAACATTTTTACATTATTTGTTGGTGTCTGTTTAGCAATATTGGTTCTACGGTTTAACTGATGTGTGCTTTCTATGTCAATATGGCAACTTCTAATAACAGGGCTAAGATCATACACACAATCTTTTGATATGTATGATGGTATATTAACCTCTTTTTCACAATCAACAAGATATCGTTGGAAGGTGAAAGTTTCTTCCTTTATGCATTGCAAGGCTTTTAGCACATGCTTGTACGCTTCAAAAAATGCTGACGTCGCCTCTATCATCATACCATACGTATTTCGTGGCAGCTTTATGTTGGTTCCAACTTTAAAGACTTGTACAGCAAAACAGCCTGTCTTTTGTAAAGTTTCTCTTTCACTTTCAGCTACAATAGCGAAGAAAATCGTATTGAAACGATCAAATGAAAAAAGCAATAAAGCACCATAAATAAGTCTCTTTGATTTCAACCAGTTGATGCGTTTACGATGGTCTGGGTCTAGTTGTATTTCAAACACTTCACCAGATTCTATTGAAGTGTTTTGTTTCGTTACTTGCACGTTCCTATAGACGAGACCAGTTTCTAATCTAAAAATTCCACTCCGACTCTCTTTATCTTTCTGCTTGAACTCCATAAGAGCATCTCGGAGAGGTGACACACAGTCTTCTCTGTACAACCTAAACTGTACGTCTAAATAATGATCTAAATTCAAATATTTCCCATTAACTTTGTTTCGTCTTAAGAAATTTGCTGCATTTAATACGTCGTTCTGGCCAGGAATAACTGACATAGTTCGGAAATCCTCCGGAGGAGCAAATTTGTCTTCAGCGTCTTGTTTTGTCAAATATTTTGGCTTTGGTCGTTCTTCACCAATCTTCATTATATCCTTCTTTAATTCTAAAACACCGCCAAGCATTGTCTCTTTGTCTTTGTAATCATCACATTCGCTTACTTGTTCCTTCAAAAAATCTACAAGTCCAATAACTTGTGGAGTTGTGCACAAATGGGGCATGCAGTGGTATAGTTCTTGAAGGATAGTTAAATAATCGCCAAGTAAACAATGAAAATCATGATCACGTGTGTTATTGCATGTCACTCCCACAAGAAGTGGAATACTTCGGTTCTTGATTAAGGTTGAATCAGACAGCATATTCAATAGCTGAAAAACTTCCTGTTTCTTAGTCTGTTTCGTACAAGTAGAAGCCCTTGCAATCAGATGGACAAGCAAGGATAAAAAATCGTCTGAAATTTTCTTATTGTCAATTAATTTATTAAAAACGTTCATCCCCTTCACCAATATATCTAGTAGCTCGTCACTCTGAAGATTTGATCTGTATAACTTCCCTATGAGATCTGTATGTTCTATTTTGCCTGGACTTTTTGACGCCATTGCCAATGTGTATTACTGTTTGATTTCCTAAAATGACATTTAAGTGATTCTAATTAAAATACTTGCAACATTTCTGTGAACGAGATAAGATTGATGAAACTCCTTACGTAATAATATCGTCAATGAATTTAATTATTGATTGCTTCCAATAGCAAGTATTTCAACCGTTTTAATATTTTAAAGAAATTCAACAATATAAAAACTTTCCAGCAATAGAGGTTGGTTTGAACAAAGATGCGCAAAGACATTTGAATGACACTGAAACAGTGGGGACAGCAGGTAAGGGTTGTTGTACTTCAAGGTTAGCTCTTTTGAAAACCCATAATAGGATATCTTTAAAACCTATTTCAATTGTAAATTTCGACTGTTGTCCAAATGTGACAAGCTATGGACCGTGTGAATGGGTTTTATTTCTACATTTAAATCTCACAACCTCCTGCAATAAGGAAAACCTATTCATCACCGTCTTAATTTGACCGAATATAAATCAAATGCCAAGTTTCAAGTTGATATAACCACAAAGTTCCGTAAACCAAAACTTTAACTTATCACATTTTTTATGTTCAAAGAATCGTGAAATCTGGATAGTAAAACTAATTTGGCATATATTTTCAGTTCTCTTCATAATGAACATATGTACTAAGGTTCGAGTTATTGAGCCACAAAAAAACTTTATATTAATTCAATCACTGGACCATGATCTAGTGGGCAGGGCCTGAAAATGATCGACAAACTGAAATGTACAGGCAGTAATGTAACTTTATAGAAAATCTCGTTGTTTATTGTAAGTAGTTCCTATCAATATAACTTAACATTGAAAATTGCTAATTAATTCAAAGTCACTGGATAATGTCTTCATAAATAGTGTTCAAACTGATACATGTATGTACTGATAGTAATGCAACTTCATACAAAATATCATTGAAATAACACAAGTAGATCATATTATACTAACTTAGCAGAAAACTTAACATTGAAAATTGCTAATCAATTCAAAGTCACTGGACCATGTCCAAGGGGGCAGGGCCTCAAAAATAGTTTTCAAAGTGATATGTACTGATAGTAATGCAACTTTAAATTAAATATCAATGATCTATCACAAGTAGTTCCTATCAAACTACTTAAGAAGAAAGCTTAACAATTGTTGACGCCGTCGCCGGAAAAGCAATCTCTACGCGACTTTCGTCGCAGGTGAGACAAAAACAGCGCCCATAACCATGTTTAACACCGCCACATTCTGTTTGTGCCCGTCCCAATTCAGGAGCCTTTAATTTAGTGGTTGTCGTTTGTTACTGCATATCGTTTTTGTTTTCCAATTGTTTTGTACATAACTCAGGCCTTTGGTTTTTTCTTATTGGAATTGTTTTACATTTTGCTATGTCCCCACTTATTATAGCTTGCTATGCAGTATGTGTTTTGCTTTTTGTTGAAGGTCGTCTGCGACCTACATGCAAATTTGCTAACATCTACGTCTTTTTATCTGGTGGGTAGTCGTCTCATTGACATCCATACCACATCTCCTTATTTTATGTAAATATACCCCTTATGCAGGTGCGTCTTTAGTGTTGATACATAAAATTGAAAATTAACGTTGGGAAAGTTGAAGTAATCTTTTTTAAAAGTAAGTTCACAGCCGATACTCAATACCAGCTACTGGATATTGTTGAAGGTATAATGATTATTAAACTCATCATAGATACAAGATATTTGTGTACGCCAGACGTGCGTTTCGTCTACAAAAGACTCATCGGTGACGCTCGAATTTAAAAGTTAACAAGGCCAGATAAAGTAAGAAGTTAAATATTATTAAGGACCCAAAATTCCGAAAGGTTTTGTCAAATACAACTAAGGTAATCTATTCCGGGGGTAGAAAATCCTTAGTATTTCGAAAAAAAATCAAAGCTTTGTAAACAATTAATTTATAATAATGACCATGTCAATGATAATTCGTGTCAAACGTGACTTAGAGCTAGCTGACAAGTAGTTGTACACATGAATTAACCTTTACTATACGGTCATTATGATGGATGTGATGGACATAAACATCAAATTTAAAACTATTCAATGAGAAGATAGTATCTACTTTAGTTTACAGCAGAACATTAAGTTGAAGGATAATGCTTAATCTAGCTTTTTTCCTTCTATTTGATGAGTCCCCGCACAGTGTCTTTGATGAACGAAGGAACAAGTTGGCGAAAGGAGGAACTGTACTGGATCTCCTAGGATTACCAACTGTCAGTTGAAAGACACAACCCTCTTCAAAGACGAGGTAAACGACAAAAAATACTGTTGTTTTATAACATTCAAAATGAAAATTCTCCTCGCTACCTTTGCAATTTAATAACACCTTAAATGCAAGCTTATGTCGTATATGGTTTGAAACAATGGGTAGATCAATCGAAGTTTACAATGCTACAATAATGCGTTTATTATATTAATCAAGTAAATCAAGCTAGAAGGATCATTTAACTTGACATTACAATACAGTTACTATAGTCTTAAACTACTGATTTAAATGAATAATGTAATCATCCAACAGATATATACATGGACTTGTTTTGAACGTTTGATTATATAATTGTATAATTATATCATTACACTACAAATTAATAAAAGGCCATAATATAAAAAAGAAGATGTGGTATGATTGCCAATGAGACAACTCTTCACAAGAGACCAAATGACACAGAATTTAACAACTATAGGTCACTGTACGGCTTTCGACAAGGAGCAAAGCCCACACAGCATAGTCAGCTATAAAAGGCCCCGAAATAACAAATGTAAAACAATTCAAACGAGAAAACTAACGGCCTAATTTATGTACAAAAAAAATGAACGAAAAACAAATATATAACACATCAACAAACGACAACCACTGAATTACAGGCTCCTGTTAGTAATAATGCACGGTTTTACTATTTTTCCAGAATTGTATGTGATAATTAAATATAAAACTGTACACTAAAAAAAGATCCAATAAGTTGATTATCGAATATCTTGCTCTATTTTTCTGGTGAGTTTGTGACCCTTAAGGTATCAGTATATTAAAAACATATTTGACTCTGTAATTTCTTTTTTCAGCAAACACTCTTATATACAGCAATGACCGCAATTTATGTTATATACAATTTCTTAGCTTTAGACTGTATTAAAGAATTATCATTCTATATATTGTCTGGATCCTTTTAAAAACTGATCGTGTAAATGATTTTCAGATATGACGATCAGTCACTTCCTGTTTTACGGTTTATTTTTTCGTCAATGTCTAATAACGAGCGGTTTATAATTTGCATGGCATGGCGAGATCCTTTTGTTAAAATACTGATATGGAGTCATTTATATTGTTGTGAATATCCAAGCAAATATATTGATTGTTTTTATAGATTCGTTGTATATCGGAATTTGGTTTAAACCCAACGCGACGCGTTTAACAGGTACAAACGTAATCTATAATTGGCAAAATTCCAAAATGTACAAGTATCAGTCAAACATATACTCAAACGTACGTTTTTTTAAAATTTGAAATATTGGCACCAATTTGTTTGAAAATAGTAAAGGCGGATAGAAGTATTAGTCACGGTGTGTCTTTTTAAAATGTCTCCTAATATAGTACTTTTTTTAACTATTTACATTCGGCGTCATAATTTGTATCATCTGACATATTTAGTACCGAAAAATAAATTTATAACACTTAAAAATAAGTTTATTCAAAGGACTCCAGTGAGTGCACATGGATCTTAATTTACGAGCTCTATAAACAACATCGCCGTAAAAACTAGGATATGATATCCCATTTGTAATATCAAGTATATTGTTGTTTTAATAATTAAGATGTTAACATGTTAACATGTACAAATGTAAGAAAGAATTTAGTAAAGGTTTTAAGTAATGTGTGGTCACGAAATCGCTGACTTAATAATTATCAGTTATACATTATTGGGAAAAAACTTTTAAAAGACACACAAGAAAAATAAAAAGCAAAGAAATACGTTTGTGTCTGGAATATAGACAATCTTAGATTAACAAATTCTACATGTTTTTGTCATCCATCTGCATTCGCATAAACCCAACAGTATTCACATAAAGCTCTGAAGAATCATAAGTTAATAAGTTGGTGTACCATATGCGAATTTCGAAGTAAGATATAAACCCAGGGAGAAATGCCCTAAACGATTCTATACGGGTGTATGCAAAAAGAATTAGGCTAACTTTTGGTCAATACCAGAAAAAGTCTACGCTTTAGAATTTAGTTGAGAACTGTAATAAAATACTTTATTTGATTAAATACTGGCATTTTCCAGAAAGGGGCTTCAACTAGATTGACTTTTAAAAATTCTTTATATATCGTTGGATTTAATTGGACGTCACGAGATGTAAACTCATTGGGTACTACAGAGTATTCGTCTTATATCTCATACCATATAAATGTGATGTTGCCTATCAATTGCCCTTATTATGAGCAATAATTCTCACTTTTATCAATTTGATTGGTTTGTGAATGTTTCCTCATTTCTACCGACTCTTATGTAGACCCCGCCATATTATAAAAATACCACATTAAATAATTTGATATTCAACTAGATTCTTACCACTTGTTCCAACAGATATTGAGAACACTAGTTCCACAAAAAGTAATAGTAATTTTCTTTCCGTTCCGTTCAAATTTTGTTCGCTTTAAAATTGATATTATGATCTTTCTTTAAAGGTTTCAATAAAATATGATAAAAGAAGATTATCTATCAATATAACTGAGTCGTGCAGCACCGATCATTCATCTTTTGTGGGGCACATTTGTTTTTTAAAAAACAATTTTAGACTTTTTTTTAATTCCCCCCCCCCCCCCCCAGTCACACATAGCAACATGACTTGTTTAGCACTCATTGTTTTCACCCCCACCCCTACTAATTTTAACTTCCCTTTTGAAACAAATTATTTTTTTTCAAGAAATTTATAATCAAACAATTTAAAAACCCATGTCCCCCCTAAAAAGGATGAATGATTGATGCCTAGTCTTGTAAACTGGTGGACTGGAAATCAAGATGTGTTATACAAACGATAAACGGAAAAATATCTCCTAAATTAAAAAAACCATCAAATCTTAAATTGTTTCTTTATTAAGGGGATGATTATTTGATTTTCTTAGGGGCAGGAGGATTTGGAAACTGAAATAATATTCTTGCCCAAGGCGTGATGAAAACGAACATTCTACTAAAAAAAGTAGGAAATAATTGTCTGTAAAAAAAGTAAAAATAACTTCAGCCGGCCTAGCAACAGGCGAAAATGAATATTCTGACCCCCCCCCCCCCCCCCCCGCAAATCAAAGGGTAATCTCTGCTGTAGACTCTGTCATATCATAACACACTATTGGTTTCCTCATTGTATTACATTGTACTTTCCCGTCTATAATATATTCTGTATGCCCCATAAGGGCTCCGAATTGGAATCAAATGTGTTTAAAGTTTAATATTTTATTCTATCCTATATGCATCTATTCCAGTACGTCAATACAATTATGATATTCTTACCAGTTGGTCCTATAATAGATATATAACACCCTGATTCCAAGATAGGTTATGATGTAGTAAACTATCCGGGACGTGCACACTCTGTCCACCTTTAAATCTTTAACGATTTATATGAAATCTTTGAATATATATCCGAGATATTATTCCAAATAGAAAGTGAAAGTGGATTTCTTTGATTTTTAGAAAACATAACGTCAACGAATTCAAAATGTATTGATTACACAAGTAACCAGGGGAGTTATAATATTAAATCACAACACTTGTTCGTGTGCATTTTAGGCTTTGGTATCAGGAGTATCAAGTTAAGACGATGTTTCTGATTTTTTAAAAGATTCCTGTACTGTCAACAAAGAACCTATTTTGTCCTCATGAATGTCGAATCGTAATATAAATTGTATGAATTAAGTTAAAATATCTATTGATTTTTTTATTTATTATCAATCATTCATTACTACCTTAAATTTGGTGTTGTTGTGAAAATGTCAACAGCAGAGACGAAACAAATGTGGGGTTTAGGTCAAAGATACAATAACCAAAATACATCTGCAGTGCTACATACATTCTTCAACCATAGACAAGACCGTGGCTATACAATGTGTCAAGTTCTAAAATGTTCTTTTTTAAAAACTAGATCTTGAAGTTCTTTTACTTTCTATTTGAATAATAGTCTTGTAGAACATGAAGTATTTATCAGTTGAAATTATGCTTTGACTAGCCTTAAGCAACTGCGAGTTCTCGTACATCAGTGCTCCATGTCTTTTGTCTTTTGTTATTTGTTTTTGTGCTTCGTGCTGTTCTGCATGATGAGCCAAGTCCTTTCCAACTGATTTTTACAATTTGTTCTTAATAAAGGGGAGGGTTGAACGCTCAGAGATATGAAAAACCTGCAACATTCTTTATGTGTCTTTAGGTACTGTCTACCATATTTGTTTTTGTTCATTGTTGTAGTAAAAATCAGGCCGCTGGTTTTCACTTTTGAATTGTCTCACGTTTTGTCAGACCGTGGTCTTTATAGCTTACTATACGATATGGGTTTGGCTCTTTGTTGAAGGCAGTTTGTGGACCCTTAATCATTCAGCTATTTGTCCTTTGGTCTTTATGGATCATATGTGTTTCAATTGGCAATCAAACCACATCTCTTGCTTTATATATATATAGTGATCACAACTATTTTTGGTAGTTCAACTAAAGGAATAATCCTACCAAATGAGGTGTCCTTATTTATTAGTGTCCATATTTTTGTATCTTTTTCTTCTTTGCGTATTAAGTCGCGTTGATTTTTTTTCTGGTGTTTTTCCTTTTCCTCCGCTATTTTCTTTTCTTCTGATTTTTTTCAAATTAATTTTTGGCAATATGATTTTGCAGTTGAACTGCGTAATCTAACAGAGTCAAAACGTTTTTTTTGTTTCTTCTTATAAATAAAACTGTCTAGGTCGATCAAACCTCGGGGTAAAATACATTAACATATTCTTCTTAAATCTTAGAACCTACTAGGCAATAACAAACAAATGTTACATGGATGCTTCTCACACACGCTTGGTATATGCCATACAATTCGACATTTCTTGACAGCAATCGAGGTCAATAATTGTCGTTGGTGTAGCACTTGAGGCTCGCAAAAGCTCTTTGCATAAAATGTGCTATATCACTTGCTATCTGGTAATCGGTTTTCACACGATATGAATTGTTTGTGTCTGCACAATGTGAAAATGAACGAGGGATACTCAAAGAAGTATAGAGGATCTGTTTGGTTTTGTTTTGTATTGGTGTATACAAACAAGGATGATATAAATATTCAGGAATAATGTTTCTTGTAGTATGTCATATTGTATTTGTGAGGTGCAAGCTAATATCTTATAATTACATTACATGTATGTTTCATTATAATACGTTATTTTGATTGGCTAACAGCAATCTCGCGTCATTCTGAAATTAACCTTCGTTTCAAAATGAAATGTAACATTCATGATGACACGAGCTTCCACAATAAAGTGCACAGGTAAATAAAAGAAAAACTTGATGGAAATCATGTTTTCGTGATCCTAGCAAAAAATGTAGTTATAAGTATTGAATGCTTCTTTTAGTAATTTTATAGGGTTGTAAAAGCGTTGACCGTGTTCCGCGCTTCATACAAAATGTACTTCAGTCAACGCTTTTACACCCCAATAAAATTACAAAATCTTAAATGATGTATGTATAACATGCCTTTTTCATATCAGCGCTTGTATCTTCATGAGACTCCCATATTTTGGCCCAAGGTTCAAACCGAAGGCTCATAAGGGTCAAAGGATGATACCAGGGCCTTTTTATCAATTAAAATACTTACTAGTAACGAATGCTTAAACAAGAGGCTCTCAAGAGCCTGAATCGCTCCCCTGGTAAACAATTATATGCCATTTTGATATTTTCCGCATTTATAGCAATCAGTTTTAAGGCAATGAATCATATTACTAGTGAGAAGGTTTGGCCATATTTAATACTTGCAGATCCTATTTTGTTGATCTTTTTTAACTCCAATAATTTTTGACAAAAATGCAGAAAAATTGATAAAAATCATCATTCAGGGGAAATAACTTCTATAAGGAGTCTGTTGATAGTTTCGGCCTTGATGACTAATTTGTAGCTCTTATTGTCCTGAACAGTTTTTCCAAACATGCATAAATAGAAAAAAAAAACTCTTCCAAGGGCAATAACTCCGAAAAGGAGTCAGTTGACATTTTCAGCTACGTTGACTTATTTTTATATATTATTGTGCTAAACATCTTTGCTCTTTACAATTTCTCCATATCTATTATGATATCTGCCCCCCCCCCCCCACCCCCCCTAAAAAAAATGGAGAGAAAAAAAACATCTGTTAAGGGCAATAACTCATCTAAGAAGTCAACTTGACTTATTTGTTGATCTCATTTTGCTGAAAAATTTTTCTATTCACAATTTTTCTCTTTACATTACAGTTTCTGCAGATAGAAACGCAAATAATGTGCAAAACAAGTCTTTCAAGGGCAATAACTCTTATAATTGTTCAATTGAACATTTGTCCATGTTGACTTATTTGTCGATCTTATTTTGCTGAACACTCCTTTTTACAATTTCTCTCCATCTGTTTTTTAATTTAGTTTCTGCAAAAAATGCAAAAAAAACAACCTCAACAAATGAGCAAAATTAGTCGTCCAAGTTAACTCAATTGTAGATCTCACTGTTCTTGTCGTTTTTACTGTTTAAAATTCCTTTGTATTTACTAGTTTTCTTCATAATAACGAAAAATGCGAAATTTGCCCCTATGTTCTATTTTTAGCAACAGCAGCCATGCATTTTGCCCCGTAGTTTCTGAGGAGAAGATTAAAAAAAAGTTTACCACAACAGACGCCAAGTGATGACAAAAGCTCACATGGCCTTTTGAGGCAGAAATATGACAAGGGCAATTGAGCGGTTATCACAAATGCAAAAACCAATGTTTGTGCTACAGTTATATGACTAAGGTGTCAGACAACCAATTCAAAATTCCTAACTATTCAACCAAATTTTGCAATTTTACAGCTTTCTAAATATTGTACCTTAAGTTTTACATCATACAAACCAGGTATATCCTAAATTGTACATGTATCATCTTTCTACATGCCAATTTTCAAACTATGTTTAAAGTCTTGTAATGCTATACTAACGTTCGGAAGACAAGTACTGCTAAACATAACCCCTGGTTTTCTTGAAATCTTAAATAAGTATACTATGGAGCGCATTAATCCTCAATTTTTAATGCAACTCATGGACAAGTAAATGTTGGCTCAAAATGGTCTACATATAATTCTCTTTCAATAAAAGTTTCTTTTCTGCAAATTTGTTGGTAAGTTTAAGTAAACAATGACATCAAAAGCACTATTTTTGTCAGGGAAGGGCTACTTTTACATACGTTCTAAATTGGAGTGGGTGAATTGGTGGTCTGACACCTAAAGTTACATGTATACTGAACGAGCAAGTAATCCATCATAAAAGTGCAATAACAATATATTACATTCAACACGTCGCATGATTTAAGCTTTACAAAATCATAACAGCAAAACTGGTATTTTTCTGAATTCAATAGAATTTTGAATTTTCATGTGAAATACATATGTATGTGTGTGTGTGGTGGGGGAGTATTTCATCGATTCCTACGCAATTTAATCATATATATTTTGAAATTTCAGCACTCAGGAGATGGTAACCAAACTACCATGTTACGAAACTGTTTTGGAAACGTGGAAGCTTGCGAATGCACAATACAAAAAAGTTTATTTAACTGTAAACTGTCTCATGTTTTACTGTCAGTAAGACAACACCCGCATACAAGTTGGAATCAAGAAAATCATATCAATAAATAGAATAGGAACCTTAAGTCAATGTCAGACGCGAATAACGAATAATCGCGATCAAGCTTTCTGCATCGGTCACATGTATAATATTTATGATGATGGATGACCAAGGATATAGATCTAATTTAGACCAGTTTATGCTTTTAAATTTCCCATGTGATCTTTACTATAAAAAGTAAAATAACAAAAATACCGAACTCCAAGGGAAATTCAAAACAGAAATTGCTTTATAAAATGGCAAAATCAAAAGCTCAAACACATCAAACGAATGGAAAACAACTGTCATATTCCTAACTTGGTACAGGCATTTCCTTTATATGTAGAAAATGATGGATTAAACCAATTATACTGTTGAAAAAATATGTCATTCTGTTAAAGATCTTAAGCCATTTGGACCACAAAATTCAATGAAAGCCATATGTAAGACATTAAATTGATTTTGGCAGATGTTAAATAAACATGCTCAGCTGCTTGAGGATATTCTACAAATATTTCTGCTTAAAAAAAAACAAAATTAATGTGATATACATTAATTGGAACTTGTACCAAACCAAAGATGTAACGTAGACAAAAGGAGGTCCACGTAACAGTTCCAAGCTATTTGTTACACAATTACTTACAGGAAAGGAAAGCCTTATGTGTTGAAACGAAGGCGATGCATAATACGTTGTTTGTAAGGACATTTATGTTATTTGGTATCCAAAGATAGAATGATGGAGGATCCAGTACTTCATATTTGGTTGAAATTCCAAAGTAACATAAAACCGACCAATGATTGCCCGCTTTTGTAAGTGTCATTTAGGTGTGTATGTTGAGTTTCCAAGTGAATTTTCAACATCTATCTTTTTTTATCAAGCATTGAATATTAATATGGGATTAACAAATTGTGCTTAGCAATATTAAGATCTTTAAAGCTAAATGTAACACGACTGTTTAAATGCCTATTAATCTGTTTATCCTGATATGTATCAATAATTTAATTTTGGATGTAACGAGTCTTCTGATTGGCTGAAAGTGTTTTGTCTATCAGCTCATAGACACAATTTTGTCATGTGACCGCGACGTCATCAACGTTTTTATCATTATTTACTCCTTTTTAGAATTAAATTATAAGGAATTACTTTAATATTTTTTCTGTCTATTCCGTCGGAAATAACATAAAAAATGTGGTGCACACTTTTAAATAACCTGCTACGCCGGTTATTCAGTGTGCACCACATTTTTGATGTTATTTCTTCATAGACAGAAAAAATATTACAATCATTCCTTAAATAACCTTACAGCCGCAACCCATTCGGAAATAGGCTATAAGTCTTTTTTTTTTGTGTTTTGCCCATTGTATTGCATATTCGTCGACTGAATACACAATTATTGTAAAGTTGACATGTGTTTCCAGTTTATGGATCTGAGCTCACGGTCTTTCTACCATTTAGCTTACACATTTCCTAGAAAAGTGTTGGGGACAAAGTGCTTAGGTCACAAGTAAAACGTGGCTAGCTAGATTATATATGAATCAGTGACATAACTGAACAATTATATTGAAAGACAATTGATTCATGCCAGACTTGGGCTATGAAACAGCGAAAGAGAAAAAAATATATATATAGAATTTATAATAGTCGGGCAAAAGGTCCTTCACATAGATAAAATCGTTGTTTAAAGTTAAGTTATAAAACAGATGCCACATTTTAGATGCATTATAAAGACAATGAGCAAAAACTCTGCTTGGGATGCTGAAAATATGTTTAAACATGTTAGAATCGTTTTCATAACAGCGTAGACAACCGTAAAACTTTTGTTGATTATAATACTGAATGAGTTACCTTTAACTTGTTTGCTATCGATAACAATGATTTTACGCTCACTCAGTCTGTCAGAGGCCTACCAGTGGGGATTTAAATAATGATCACTTGTTACACATTTCGATACATAAAATGAAACTTTCTTTTCACAAAACTTTAAAAGATTTGTTTTAAATATTTGTTTATACCATCACATACAACAGTTTCATTTTAAAGAAAAATAATGTTCAGAGCTGATATCATTAAATAATCCAAAAATACGTTTATTCATTGTAAAAAAAATTAAGTTCATGGGGTTAATTCACAAAATATCAGTCTTATTGATTACGAGAAGAAGTTCTTCTACGTTGTAATCATTTTAAAAGAGTGACCTACTATTTATTCAATGCATACATGCAGGTTTTGTTTGTGAAGAGTTCAGTATAATTAAAAAATCATTTTATTTTTTGTTTTGTTTAATACCTTGATTTTTTTTTTACATAAATCGATTCATTCATTCAGATATTTATCAGTTTGTCTTGGCTATTCAAGTCCTACACAACGTCTCACGAATTTGGTCTTTTTCTTACAAAAATTATATTCTTGTGATGTATTCTTTTGTTGAAGAATGAATGTTGCCCCTTTTTTAATTTTTTGTCGTTTTTTTGTGTCTCATTGACATATAAGACAACCGGACTACCCCTTTCTTCATATTTAAAAACATACGAGTGACATCAATACCAATTCATGACACAAAATAACTAAGTTAAACTTACAACAGAAGAAAGATAATGAACATTTTATGGTCTACTTAATATCGAAGTCAGAATGTGGTCTTTGTAAAGATGTTGTAATCAAATAACAATTATCGGACACGTTTAGGGCTTTGAAATCGGACACGTTTGGGCGATATCACAATTTTTAAGGACACGTTTGGGGGGAATAGACACGTTTTGGGGAATCGGACACGTTTGGGGGGATGGACACGTTTGGGAGTGTTCCTAAATAAGATAAAAGTCCTAAATGTAAGCAATTATAGGCAACCGTAGGGCTTCAACAATGAGAAAAACCCATACCGTATAGTCGGCTACAACAGTCCGGGCCTGACCTGAAAAATATGAAATAATTCAATTGAGAAAACCAACGGCCTAATCTACAACAAAACAATTAACGAAAAACAAATTTTCTGCTTTTTGGTCGGATTGTTGTCTCTTTGATACATTTCCCGTTTCTATTCTCAATTTTATTATAGATATAACTGCATATAGAAATAAGAATATGTGGTGTGATAGACAATCAGACAAATCCCTTCCAGTGGTCAACAGACGTTAGCAATATAGGTCACCGTGCGACCTTCAACAATAAGCAAAACACACTCTGTATAGCATGAGTCCATTACTATGTAAATTGGGTCGATTAAAAAAAAACTTAATATATTTCTGTTGCCAAGGGTTTTTCACAAGTATAGTAGTTAGCAGAAAAGTTCACCAAACTATACATTTTACCTATTCAAAAACGTAAATGCAAATTTCACAAGGCTTGATCCAAATATCTTTTTTACTGTCTAATAACTTGTAAGTACGAAAAAGACAGGACAGAAGTATATTTTGTCTATATGTTTTGTGTTTGCACTTTAAAGTTGATCATGCATTCGTTCTAAAATAAAATTTTGACCAGATAAAAGTTAAAAGATGACATAATTGGACAACCGCAATTGTTAAATCGCTTTGACGTCCGAAAAAAAGATAATAATCAACACATGCATTGTAACTTTTAAAGCCAGATAAATCCCTTTTTTGCTGAAAGAACGTGAGATTTCATAAGAATTGATTACCAAAACATAACAAAAACACAAGTAAAGAACGTTTAAATATTCAATATAAATCAAAACACAAAGGTTTTTCGAATTATTTTATTTAGGCGTTGAGACCCTTTGGTGACCCCACAGTTTAAATGTCTATAACAAATACGTCATGAGTAGTGGGCGTTACAGACGAACGTTCACCTAATCTGACCCAGTCAATGGGATATTTTAGCGCGCCAATCAATGGTCTCGTCTGCGCTGTTATGCACACGATTCTATTAGTGTTGAACCCCCAGTTTTTGGTGGGGTTCGTGTTGCTTAGTCTTTAGTTTTCTATGTTGTGCCATCTGTACTATTATTTGTCTTTTTGTCTTTTTATTTTTGGCCATGGTGTTGTCAGTTTGTTTTCGATTTATGAGTTTGACTGTCCCTCTGGTATCTTTCGTCCCTCTTGAAATCTTTCTAAATTTAATTAATTATTTGATTGATTGATTATTGGTTGCATAAAGAACATGTCAGTTGAAACATGCTTCATGCATATTCAGGTCTATAAAAGGAACAATATTCTATTAATTTGGTACAATTCAGGTTTAAGCTAGAGACTGATGGCTAAAAAAGTACAGGAATTTTATCTCAACACTTCGGGAAGTCATATATATCGAAAACCTCGCCACACCACCGAGTATTTGCTTGTGTTCTTGAACGCACAGAAAGCTTAATACTGTCTAAATTTGGGCCTTGGTATTGACGTCCTCGTTGAACATGTCGTGATTGCGTATTTATTATATACACCATACACATTTAAGATGTTACTTATATAGCAAGGATCATTCAATAAGGCAGAAGAGGTAAATATAGTCACATTGCGACACATCGACTACTATTGGGATTAAATCTTAATTTAAATGTATCAATGTTCACGAACTTATTCTTTTCTTTTCTATTTTACGTTAGATATTTTTTTTTTTATAAAAATAGGGTATAATAATATATTGTTTTTTAATCACTTAGTTTTAGTGTCCTATTTGGATTTTCCATAAATATAAGCAAAACCATGCCGGTTCAATTCTGGTCATGTCTTCCTTAATTATACCTTTTTTAATTATATTTAGAACAGTAAGAAACAATTACGATCATAACAACAATACACGTGTTTATATAAAATAAATAGAATTCGACTTCATTCATATCTATAATAATTGTATTTTCTTCGTTTTTCTTTGGTGTTTCTGTTTTCTTCAACCTATGGTTTATAATTGTCCCTAAGTATATTCTACTCTACTACAACTTGAATTTTTATTTAATTTTGATTTTATCATTTTACGTGACACTTCCATAATACCAGTACACATTCACGTGTTAAGGGGTGGTTAAGGAAATGAAAATTGCATAAATAGGATTTTTTTTGTTTCCAAAGATTAATTACATGAGGAAAATAACTAAATTCCATAGTAGATTACTCTGACTGCTTTATCAATCAACTTACAGAAACAGTTTTACTGTGAACACAGTGTTATCGTACCCTCAAATGAACTTTGTGGTGGTTTATCTTAAATTTTGATAAAATTCAATCTCTGAATATTGAACAATGGCGTGTTCGTCATAATTCATACAAGGAAAATGGCTGTTCTCAAAACAATGTTTCTACGTATTATATGTATTCTTCTTGTCATGAAGAGTGTGGATTCTGAGGTAAAGTTTTAAAAGCACATTACTATTGTCATTAGTCAAAGTATTTCATTAACGTTTACATATACCACGTGTAATTCTTAAAGTTTCATTGAATGTGTACCATGATAAAAGTGTATAATCAGTAAGAGAGATTTATAAGGAGTGCTTGATACATCCTAGATTTGTTGTGGGCTGAAGCATCGATATTTCGATTTGATGTTTAATAACGTTTGCAATGGCATAATGATTTTTGACTTCAATCGTTCACCCGTGTTTGTTTACGTTTCTGGCAAATGGACAAATATGGTATGTTTGAAATAAACAAACATGTTAAATGATATTCCAAAATTATCGATGTCAGAAATACCATGGTCAAATGTTAAAAAATGCGAAATGATGACCAATTATAGTTTACAAAATAAGACATATGTAATATACGTAAAATAACCAAAACAAGTTTCTTTTCACCTAGAACCCAATTGATATCAACAACAAAAAATGTTGCATCAATGTACGTCAGGTTTAATATCACCAATTTTAGTTATTGAACGATAATGATCCCACTGGCACAGAATTATGATAATGTCTTCTGAGCATGCCAATTTATTACATTCTTAATGATCACATAAGATTTATTTATATACTAGTAATATCAAAATAAGGAGATGTAAAAGGATTGCCAATTAGATAACCATCCCTAAAGAACAACGAACAAAAATTATAACAATTACAGTACACCATACTGCCTCCAACAATGAGCAATTGAATACTGTAGCTATAAAAGACGCCGGTATGGCAACGTGTAAAATCATTCAAACGAAAAAACCATAGACAGCAATGAACAACAATAACCACTGGATTGCAGGCTCATATGACAGGCGCTAAAGAAAGTGGCGGGGTTAAACGTATTTATGGGCGCTCATTTAAGAGTAAGAGCAAAGACTAGTCGGCCTTGGAGTCAAAAGTATCCGGGTAGAGTGACATATATCTTCATGTGGACTGTTACCTTGTGGACTTGCACTTTGAAAATCAGACCAAGTATGTCGGTCAAGTACAACACTGGGTTCATATTCATATTAAATTAACATTTTCTCTTCCTTATTTACCAGTATATCAAAATAAGGAGATGTGGTATGGTACGTTGCCTATACCTGGGAGATAGTAGGAAAGTAGAATTGAAATTAGATGGATCTTTACTGAGTTTGGCCATCAACTGAGATTGAAGAACATCATGCCATCTTAAGTTAGAGCACGCCTATGACAACACATAAATAAATTATGTAAAAATCAATCAGCATCTATGGACATCTTACATTTATGTCCGATGAAGGGATTTATGTTGAATGTTATTTTTTTCTGCAACCACCAACTGACGTGATGTTAAAGTTGGATAAATAATGATTGTGGTACGCATAAACTGGCATACTTAAAATAACCAATTAAATGGGGAACACTCGTTGTCATTTAAAAGTATATTGTAATGTCTCAATTCTTTTGATACAAGGCTTATTAACCAAAATCAAGAAAAATACATTAACATCAACCGAAAAATTCGTTAATTTTTATCTAGTTATGATTATTTCTTTTATGCCTTAAGGAAGAATGGGAGTTTTTTTCCATACTTTGCCCAATTGTAGTATATAATATTTTGATTTGTTCAAAATAGTTATAAAAATGAAAGATCACCAAGCAGTTACCTCCCCTTAACAAGCTAAGTTAAAAATAATTGAAATCAAACAAATATATTCTACTTTTGTAGAAATATTAGTAATTATTAGAACAAATCACATAAATTTGTTTATTTAAATGAAAATTCTTATTAGTAAATTGCATTCTTTTGAATACATTACATTTTTTCAGTAAATTGCATTCTATTGAGCAAATTGCATTCTTTGAGTAAATTGCATTCCATCGAAATTTGCTGAATTGATTGAAAATCTATGTGCTATTTTTCAATCCAAAATGGCTGGAGACACCGATACTTCCATATATGGTCTTACTTGGCCTAACATTTTACTGATATTTGGAACTTTTTATTGAGCAAACGAAAATGTATTTATATCAGCAATATAACTATGATTTGCAAGCGTATATAATTATTTTTCACTTGGAGTTAAACACCTCTGTAAAACTATACAAGTGAGGAGATGATTGTCGGATGATAAACTTTTAAATGTCTTGCTAAACTTTTCATGTTTAGGGGGAGGGGGCGGCATCTCTCAAAACATACACAGCTTATATGTAAGGATTAAATCTTGGATGAAAACAAGACAATATATATAACCTGGGAACAGTATATCTGTCAATATATATGTTCCTGATATAACACAATACCTTTTTTTTTAGAATACTACGCTGAAACAAGAATATACAGGATCGTCTAACCCATCAACTGTACAACCAACAACTACAACAATTTCGTCAACTGTACCAACGACAACTGCACCAAGAACAGCATTACCAACCAAACCAACAACAGAATCACCAACCAAACCATCTACAGAATCACCAACCAAACCATCAACAGCGCCACCAACCAAACCATCAACAGCGCCACCAACCAATGCACCAACAGCATCACCAACCAAACTATCAACAGCATCACCAACCAAACCAACAACAGCATCACCAACCAAAGCACCAACAGCATCAACAACCAATCCATCAACAGCATCACCAACAAAACCACCAATATCTGTACCCACGACAAACAAATCAACAACAGCATCATCAATTAAACCACCAACAACATCAAAAACTGCACTCACGAAAACCAAATCAACAACAGGAAATACAACATCTACTACACTAGCAATAACAATGACAAAAACAGTAAGTACAAAAATATGTATTATTTTATGCAGATAATCAAGTCGTAGAATCTAATACCAAAAGCGGTTTTGAACATCTTTAATTAATCACTGTAATGTTGTAACAACCTTAAAGTGTACACATTAACCTGTCATACTTTTATTTTTATTACATATTGAAATTCTTTCTCAAAATGACTCCAATATGAAATAAATTTTAGGGGAACATTGTCAGATACTATATATGTTAGACACATAGGTTAGTTAGTATCCCTCGCAAGTTCGGTGACCACGTTTATATCTTGGGCATTTTTTTACATATAAAGTTTAACATGCTATACTTTTGGAGAACATTTAAATAAAATCCCTTTAACAGCACACTTATGATGTATTCAGTAATTATTTTTTACATGACAACTGTTACGTATACATGTAGTAGGTAAATAGCTGGGAAAAAACTACTGTTGTCAATATCAATTTTATATCTTATGTATATAAAAAAAATAACAAAAACTGACTTTAACTGACTTTACCTAAATATGTAATCTGTTTAAATTGAATTTTTGAAACTTTAAGGTTAAGGTTAATGTGTATCGACTACGATAGTTATAAAATGAAAAGCTTCTTACTTAAAACAGGCGAATGCAATATTATTGATGTAAATTTAGTAAGATGCATATAGCCTGTATACCAGTTAAGATGCATATTAACTGTATACGTGTATTTGCAAAGCTATAAGCTATAAAATGTACATCCGTTGAGATTCATATCAACTATACATCTGTGTATATGTATATAAACTGTATATCTGTAAAGATGTACATATTAGATAGGTTTATACGCAAATCTAAAAACGTACATAATATTACTATTACAGATGCACAGTCAGTTTATATGCATCTCGACAGATGTACAGTTTATATACATCTGAACAGATGAACATCAAGATTGTTTGCAATAAAGCAGCTTGTGACGAGATATACATGTATATAGTTTCTTTAGTTCTGTAGATAGAATTTCGAGAGATCACTATTTAACATGAAAAAAAACCTAACATTTATTAAAACATCTTTTGCGTACGTTTCATGTGTTCATAGATCTAGTTTAAATTTTTTATTGTTCGTATGATATCTAACGATACCAATGCTATATGTATAATTTTTTTTCAATACTAAGATGCAGTTAAACGATTTTTAGGCATAAAAATTTCATTAAAATCCAAAATACCACTCCATTACGTATACGTCACCTTAGAAATGTAAAATTTTGCAACTTGTCACTGTCACTCAGTATTAAATGTGTGTGCAAACACCCATCAAAGACGCGTTTTGCCTACAAAAGACTCATCAGAGGCGCTTGTGCTTATGTCCAAATAATTGGATGGCCTAAAATCAACTAAACGTAAATACGTAAATAAAATAGAGATACAACTGATTCAGCTTAGTTAATTTGATTGCACTTTTTTGACAGTCGTTCTTGGTATGATTGAATCATATGTTTACGGAAATATGATACGAAATGAAAAAAAAAAAGATATTTATCAACTCCTGACATAAAATTTCTACAAACTAGACAAAAACCAACATAACAATGATTTTATTGCAGTTTATTTTGTTAATGTTTATTGATAATATTGATTTCAATTTAGAACCATTCAAATTCTGCATCAGCATCTCCAACTCCAGCACCAACACCAGGGATAACTCCGACCACTCCCAAAAATACCCAAACAACAGATGGTACAATATCTGGAGGAAATAGTACAGGAGAAACAGATAGCACAGAATTCACTATAAATACCCAGACAACAACGCCCAAAACAACTAAAACAACACAAAAGTCGAAAGTCGCAGATACGTCACCTCTTCCGACAGTGCCTACTAAAGTGACTACTGTAGCACAAAATAGGAGTAAGAGTAAATCTAAATCGTACGACAGAGAACTTGTTATTATATTCGGTGTTATGTTAGGACTAATGTTTGTGGTTATTGTTATTTTCGGAATACATAAGTGTCGCCATAGAAACAAAGAATCGGACGATTTACCAATGTCATCTACGGACAAATATAGAAACGGCGGTGAGGACGTTACCATAGCAGCATCTTCGTTTTAATCCATGGCGATTTAAAATTCTGTGTTCACCTGTATTGAAACATACATTGTATGCTATTATATATTTAAATGCATTTTTCGAATTATTAAGTATTATCTCCCTGTACAAAACATACATGTATATTGTATTTTCTCGCATGTTTCAAATTGCATTGTTTACCATAGATTCAAAATCATAAATCATAATCATAGATTTATCTTAAATATGAATACAAAATTAAATAATATTCTGAAACTCATTGAGTAGGTGGATTTCAAAAATGCACCTTTGATTTTTCTTAATCAAATTGATATATCTGATCTGAATAATGGTACGCTATTTTCTACATTAACACTGCACTGGTCAAAATATGGCCAGAAATGTCCTCTCAACTTTTCATTAAACAAAATTACATTTTATTACAGTTTTTCCATTCAACCATTGGTCGATGAACGAATCTCTTCATTGTATAAATATAATTATCTATAATACTAAAGGAACGAATTTGCCAGATTTTCAGGAAAACGAGTGTTTCAAACTGAATTTGGATTGTGCAGGTTGATTGTTCTCGCATTATCATATACACTCTAAATAGCATAGATCTCTTTGCGTTCATTTAAAAATGCATTCTATATGCAGTTTTGACAATTAAAAGTACACTATTCCCAGATGAAACATAGCGAAATTGAATATCAGTAATAAAATAACATATTTTTTTTACAATGTTTACCGATATTGATTTGAATACACATACATTTATAAATTTGATTTAATCCTAAACATTTCTGTTTGATGACAAATGTTTGATAGAACATACATTTGATAGAACATTGCACACATCGAATTTTGTAAGTGCATTGTATTACACCTGAAGCCCAAATGAGTCGATTCAAAATACGTACAATGAAGAGCTAGCCAATGAAGATGCACATTGATAGATGGGAATGCCTTTGAGATAACTACTCAAAATAAAATAAAAACTAATAATTGCAGTTTGTGTCATCTTTATATCATATGTAATTTGATGATAAGAATTATGCTCATAAATACGATATAAGAGTCATCAATCTCACTTGTAAAATTATTACACACAGCCTCTTTGATCTCTTGTATTTCAGAGAAGCATGTATACATCATGGTTTAACATAAGGTGGAAACATCTGGGAATGTCTACAATGATTGTAATGTATTATATATATGAGCGATTCAGACTCCTTTGATGCTCTTAGTCCATATTTAAATTTGTTATTATTTAGAAAAAAAAAGTGCAAGAATGAACAGTGAAAGTGTATCGTTCAACTATAATTTAATGAGCAGGTTATTTTGCTCCTATTGTCTTGTGCTTAAGACTATGTAACAATTTACAATATCGATTTTGTTACTTGTAACTGCTTGTTTTTAAGAAATAAAAGCAAATAGAAAGATAAACTTTTCAGAAGTATGTAAAAACAAATTATGCTTTCAAAATAATGACCATTTTTTATGATGAACAAGTAAAACTGTACTAGTGCGAGACCATGGACTTCAAGGGAAAATTATCTGTCATCCGAAAAATGGCTAACAATTGTCAGTCCTGGAGCAATGGAAAGAAATCAAACATAAAATATCTTTCAACTGCTAACAATGATTTGTACAAAATAGTGTAAGCGTTTCTGTATTTTTAATTTTGATTTTCCCGCCACTTTGTTGGTTGCGACATTATACGAATTTATAAAAAAAATGAAAGGCACAAAAGTTACTTTTCTACGCCAAACTTACTAAATGTATTCCGGGTTTTCTATATCGTTTACATCGACAACAACATGATATTCCCGGCATACTTGTCGTTTTAACTGATTTTTATAGTTTGTTCTTATGTTGTACTGTTACACCACTGTCCTAGGTTAGTGTAGGGTTTTGCGCCAGTAAACATCTTTAACCCCGCCACAGTCTGTATGTGCCTGTCCCAAATCAGACGCCTGTTATTCAGTGGTTGTCATCTGTTGCTATATCATATTTGTTTTTCGTTTATTGTTTTGATCATTAACCAGGCCGCGAGTTTTCTCGTTTGAATTGTTTTGCATTTGTCATTTCGGGGCCTTTTATAACCTACTATGTGGTATGGGTTTTGCTCATTGTTGAAGGCCGTTCGATGACCTATAGTTGTTAACTTCTATGTCATTTAATCTCTGGATGAGAGTTGTCTCATTGGCAATCTTACCACATCTTTTTATTTTTATATTGTGTAATACATGGATGGTCATCTACACTTTTATTGACCAATTTTGCATGTCGACATTTGCTGGCATTTTCAACATCGCACCATTCAGATTCGATAATGACTGAAGCTGATACAACTGTGTTATTTCCTCTGTTGAATGTTTCTGGTTTAAAGTTATAGGCAAAAATTTATTAACAAATTATCAGTAATTTGCACACCTCTTTATACATAAGGGAACAACTATTTGGCATTCTGAGGGTGGCCTGGAGGATTTCGTCACTTGATCTCACTTGCTATGCATGTTCATTTTTCCACTTCTGTGCAGTTATTTCCTACATTTTGTGTTGCAGAATATTCATTTTCAACCTGTTTTATGCAAGGTTATTTATTTCCAGCTACAACCATGTCACGTTTTTTAATTTTTTTATTTTAAATCCTCCACCCCCCAGTAAGTGAAGACGAATTAACTTTTATCACCCGGTGCAAAAAGGTTGGTGTGACAATAATAACTTTTAAAAATAGTCTATTATAAATACTTTGTACAAAATTACAACTTCTATACTCAACATATGTATAATCTTGTTTTAAAGGTGAAATATAGAACATAAATCTGAGATAAAATCAAAGACATTGACCAATTGACCGATTTTATTTTAATGAAATGATAACATGAATTTACTGATATATTGAAGAGTACAACAGACTTGATAAGCTGTTGAGTTTGAATAACCAAGTGGCTTTAGTTATTAAAGGTGTTTACGAACGATGTTGTTGGTGTATAAGGGGACGGCCATTTGATGATCTCTGGTGGGGGAGAGGATTCTCACGGGGAAAAAATTTCTAGGCCAGAATATTTATTTCCAAATTCTTATGTCTTGCCAATCTAGAATATCAAAATGATTGACCCCTAATGGAACTATATGTATTTCCCGTCAAACATGTTTGGAATCATATTAGGTTCTCGCTTGCGTGGTACTTTTTCTCAGTCCTACTTTACCTCGAATATTATCGTACACAATAAGTATCTGCATTGGAATATCTATTCTACTAAAATAACGAGATCCAATTTGTTAGCCGGCATGACACAAAAACGACGATTCAAAGAATACAATTTTATATATAACTAATATAGGACAATGGTGTAGATTAAAAATTACACCATTCCAGGCCCTTTTGTTTCCACATAATTAATATTACCAATAATTGACAAGTTCCGGGTCGAATCCGATACTGATACCAATAGTAAATGTCTTATTTAGTTTCCGGTTGTAGTTCTTCCTTTATTCTTCCCTCCACTATCTGGAGTACCACTACTATTTTGAAGTAAGAAAACCATGACGGGTTCAAACCGAAAGATTTTAAAAGCAGAGAAAAACGGTTCACCTTATAATCAGCATGACTTTATCAAATGACAATACGAATACTGAAAATCCAGGCTAAAAATAAGGCGTAGGTACTTTATTCAGTCACGGACCCGCGATGTCGCGGGTGTGTTCATGTAGATTTATAGTTCTTGGATTGCTGTCTTTAAGGTAAATTATGTTATTGAAAAAAATGGTTATTTCTGATCATCATGATTTCCCAGAGCACTGGCGGACAAGGATTTCGGCCAAATTACAACTGTTCTGTACTTGGCTACATTCAAAATGTTCCTACTTATTTTTGCTGTTTTGCAAGAGGGGACATAAAAAAACCAAAAACTGATATCGTTTCATCAATTAACTTCTGTTTTCTCTTAATTTTTTTTAAGTCTGAGTAGATTTAAAGGAAGCATATCCAACGTGCGGATATTTTGTTTTCGGTCCCTTTAAAGAAAATTATATTAAAAATGAAATATCAGACGGCTTTCAAAAGTTTGGATTTGAGCTTTCCTGAGGTAGGTTATTCCAGCTAAAACGTTAATCTGAGGCAGAACATTTATAATGTGATATTTTCATTGTATACCGTTCACATAATTCTTAATTGGACTCTTTGTCTTAAACTTAGCGACTTTCAGATAAACATTTTCGGAAAAGATCAAAGAAAAAGCTTAAAATATATCCTCAAAACTGCAGAAAAAAAGCTTTAAATTTGTTTTATTCCGACAGAAAATACTGCAACATAGGAATTTGTTGTTTCCAAATTTAAATTGACCAATCGAATTGTTCCGTTATTTTTAGTCGTTGGTCTTGTGACAACGTGCTCGCCATGATCAAGGATAAACAAAAACAACAGTAGTATTCCACTGTTCAATAGTCATAATTCGATTTAGCAAAAAAAAAAATCCTGGTAACAAACTAAAACCGAGGGAAACACATCAACTATAAGAGGAAAACAACGGAACAACAAAAACACTGAACTACAACAAAAGCAAACGCCAACATACATAGAAACGGACTGTCTGATAACAACTGCCATATTCCTGATTTGGTACAGGACATTCAAAGAAAAAATGGTGGGTTGAACCTGGTTTTATGTCTAGCCAAACCTCCCACTTATATGGCAATGTTAAAAATACCGCTAAAATGACAACACTACTTAACAGGAATATAGTACAAACAAACGGAAGAACACTCAGCACAAAGAAATACATAGATAAATAATATAATAGTACATTACAACATGTAAACAGCAGAATAACAACGGACACCTCCCATGAATTTACGACAGCACACCAGGACACCACAAACGAAATATAAACTGAGCGTCACATGAATGGATCAACGTCACAAAAAGTGACGATTTTTTTTTTACTTTTATATTATCACAGGTAAATTTCTAAAAATAAAATAGATTTGTTTTATTTATAGACACGTACAAGAATATTAAATCGGGATTGAGTTTGTAATAGTGTTACTTTGTGTATTTTCTAATCATTATTATTAATTGTTTTGGTACATTCGTGTTAATTTGACCTGTTACACAATTTGTTATGCATTTTTGTTATTCAATGTTTACTTATTTTGTGTTATATCTCGTCTCACTATTTTTGATATGTACCACCTTTGATAAGTATTTAGTATGACGATAAATTGTCAATGCTGTTCTCGTACTATGAACAACAAATTAATTTATTTTGTAAAAAATATCTCCGTACTCCTAACAACAAAGTTATTAAATTTTAATTTACCTGTGTACGTTATTTTATTTACCGCCATTTTGTCCAAGGTCATAGTTGCCTTTTTGACACTGTGTCATAGATCAAATTTATTCGTTCAGTGTATGTTTACTTGTTTTTGTTAATATGTCTTTTTAATTGAGTTAAGCCAATTCAATTGATATTTTATAGTGTGTCTTTCTATATTGTAATGTTACACTACTATTTCAGGTTAGAGTGAAGGTTGGCGCCTGTTAAAACGTTTAAACCCGCTGCATTTGTTTGCACCTGTCGTAAGTCAGGAACCTGTTTCAGTGGTTGTCGTTTGTTGATGTGGTTCTTAAGCGTTTCTCGTTTCTCGTTTTTTATATAGACTATACCATATATATAGATTAGACCGATGGTTTTCCTGTTTGAATTGTTTTACACTAGTCATTTTGGGGCCCTTTATAGCTTTCTGTTCGGTGTGAGCCAAGGATCCGTGTTGAAGGCCGTACTTTGACCTATAATTGTTTACTTTTTACACATTGTGACTTGGATGGAGAGTTGTCTCATTGGCACTCATACCACATCTTCTTATTTCTATGACAAGAATATTAAAAATGGAATTGTGTTTGTAATGGTGTTATTATTGTATTTTCTAACCATGTCAGTTTTTCTTCTAAATCAAAACTGTGTACAAACAAAAAAATCATGTGCATATAGTTCCTTTAAACCTAAAATCATATAAACGAAGTAGCTGATTTTCTATCTTAACTTTTACATACATATAGAAAATAAAAATAAAATAACTGTAATATAAGGCAAGATCATGTAAGAACAAACAGTAAACACACATGAAAACAAACAACATAAAACAAAGACCCTGTAGACGAACCACGAGTAACTCGTCTATACTGACAAATAAGACATATGTGAAATGTACCGAAAATACAGAATTCAAACCACATACGAAACAAACAGACAACTCAGCACAAAATGACACACCGGATCCACACGTATAAGAAAGTAACAACAAAATGCCCGAAAGCGGGATATATAAATACCGAATATTTCTATGCTCTGGTCAATCCTTGTGGTCTAATGTAAAGGAGGATGTATTAATTAAAACATATATTCATTTTTTGTTTGAATGTCCTCTTTATGATACTCAAAGGGAAGACTTTTTTCAATACATATCTGACAATTGTTATAATTTTAAAAATTTAAATAAATCTTCTAAATTTTTATGGCTCTTGACTCAAGAAAATGTAACTCTTATGGAAAAACTGGGTTGTTATATTTGTGACTGTTTTGAATTAAGGAGATCAGGTATGCATATTGACACTAAGTCAAGCAAATGATTTGAGAATGAATGCATATAATGTAATTTTATTCTTTTATTCACAATATATATGTGGTTTTTGGCTCTGATTCTGACCAATGCTAATATACTAAATATATATTTTCAAGTGACTATTATTGTTGTTGTTACCAATTATGTAAATCAATTGTATCTGATTTTATGTCCTTTATGGGTCCTGTAATTTGGGAAATAAAAATATTCTATTCTATTCTATTCTATTCTATTATATTCTATTCTATATAACTAAACTGGTATCTGTGCTATATTTGCTTTTATATAAATAAATTAGATATATTTTGAAATTACCAATTTACAAAATAGAAAACTAAACATTGCTTCTTCTCCGCTAAGCAGGCGTAATTTTGCATTAAGAGCAAACGACTGAGCAAACTGGATTCAAAACAACTGTGTGCTCGGGTAGGACATGGTGTTCCTGTGAACTGTTACCTTGAGCGCTAGTATGTTAAAATTCGCATTTAGTGGAAGTAAATAAACATTACACTTTATAAATTGTATGCACCGAAGCACTTTTACGTGATTACCTTCATCAGGAACGCTCAAAGCCAAATATTTCGAAGCCAAGGACGTATATGTACCGAAACACGAGTAGAGCTATATGACTAAACAGGACCCAAATATAATAGCCAAATCTATCACAGGCCAATCAGTGTGTTTGACTGATTATTGTTGCTTGCTTTACATCCATTTGTTTCCTGCATATATTCAGGACTAGAACAGAGAGCTCTCTCTCTCCCTTCATTAAAATTTGGATTTAAGCATGGTCAGCTCTGCACGAGACATCGGATTTAACGTGACATGGCTCGTTATTTACCCCCCCCCCCCCCTTTTACACAGCCACACTCCCTCCCTTCTTAAGCATGTAGACGGGCACGTGCAGATTCAGGATTTAAAAAAAAGGAGGGCACTAGGCAAAATAACGTTATGAGTGCAATATATGAAGCTCCAAAAGCGAGGCCCGAGTCCCCTGTCCACAAGAACCCTTAATCCGCCTTTTGGATGTGATTATATGTCTATGCTCTAGTCAACCCTTGTAGTCTAATGTAAAGGCGAATTAAACCAGAAGTTCAATACTGACTAGGAGAAGTGTGTATCCCTCTACTTAGTGTAATATTTTTATATCATATTAACATTTTATCACCCTAATATATGCATGTTTACTAAACCTAACCTTCAGCATCTATTGATTCATCAATCGATCATATCTGGGAGTGCAGCATAATATAGGTATATATGTACATAGCGTACTTGTAGTGTATATGAAAGAAACTTATTACACTCAATTAATGGCTGGATGTTTCTATATATTTGTTTAAAGAAGGCAATTTGTTGGTTTAGAAGACTTACTTTTTAGCCAATACACCTAATTGCATACTATTTAAGTGGTAAAATATTTCAAAATTAATTGCGGATACCAGATTGTTTACCATCGAGAGCCTTCTAACACTGTCTGCAGGCCTATGTTGTGATGACCTAATTAAAATCGATAGACCAATCAAAATTCGTATTCTTGATTTTGGATGTGTATTCAAAATTAGGACTAAACATGCTTAAATGACTCTTTCAAAATTAGTACAACGATTCTGAAAAAAGTTGAATTAATTACTGAGTATTGAATGAGAAACATATTATAAAGTGGTGACGGGACAGTTCTACAAAATACACAATTCGCAGGTAAAATCCAGGTAAGAGTTATCAATGTAAAAAAATAGATTATTATTAATTTGGTACAAACATCAAAAGGTGGGAGTATCTTCTTTGTGTATTTTAACCCTAAATTACGCGTGTTTGCACTGGTATTTATATTTACTTGTCCACAAGCGACCTGTTTTTAGTTCAAACTGGAATACAAACATTTAACATCTCTTTATGTTTACATATAGCCATGTAAAAATACTAGCATGGATATTAAGTTTATCAAAAATGCGACTAACGAAAATATTTAATCAATAGAGTATATTTATATCGATACACACAAAAGGTAGATTTCTAATATGGGTCGTTGTACAACTGCGATGCTCTTTTGACTGTTTGAAGTATTTCCTGAATTGTTTATGTCCGTTTTATTGGAATCATAATGATAAACATTAAACTAGATCCGAATACACAGCCAATGTCTGCTCTCCTACAATGTAGCTCTCGTTGTTGATTTATGAAGACACACAATACCTCTATGTGTTTCAATGATCTGAATTTCCAACAACGATTCGTATCAAAAGGATGGTTTGTTGGCGGTGTTTTAAAAAAACTTCCTATCCTAGACACACAAAAAAAACCAACACATAGTTTTAACACCCCTTCCCCCAAAAGGACGACGTTTATCTATAGGCCTTGTTCTGAACCTACACATCGATAGTAGATGTATGTATATTGTAAACTGGATTAATTAAATAATCTAATAAATCAATATAGAAGTGAAATAACGTGCCTGTGTAGTATTTCTATTTCAGTGTGTGACTTTACGATATTGCATGATCTTTTAAATCGTATGACAAAACTAATGACACCCTATTACCAGCTTTCGGTACGGTAGGTTCTCGGGAAAACCGATAACTGGTGTTTTGGAAAAGAGATGTGTAAGATACCAATCATGGAAATTCAAACTCATAAGTCGATGAAAATCTGACAACCCCATGAAAAAACCGAAAAACTACCAAATGACAACAGCATAAGAAACCCAACGGAAAACTTTTAAAAGACTGAGCAACACAAACCCAAACAAAAACCGGGATTGATCTCAAGTGCTCTGGAAGGGTAAGCAGATAAAGTAATACTCAATGTGTGGCACCAATTGTGTCATCATACGCGCCAAGTACAACTTCAGTGACAAGTCTAATACGGTGATGAAAAGAGGACGGGATTATGGTTACGACAAATGGAACATATGGCAATCGTGTAAAGCAGAATTATGTTGTCATTGCAATATAATAGATTTTGTAATCATATACAGCAGATTTTGATGTTTTCCTATTACACCCCGTTCCGATAGCCGTTCAAAGTCTGTACTATCGTTTATGACAATTCAAAATAATTGTATCGTAGACATTTAATACATGTATATGTCTCTGATTGTATACAAACGGATTTTTTAGATGGTCATATGGTGTCGGAATGTAATTCGTTTCTATCGACAAATTAAGAAGACTTAGTGTTAAAAAATGTCCACTTCATCTAATTTCTGTTTTTATTATTTGCAATTTTGGTCTTCTAAACCCATGTCCAATCTTTTTTATGCCCCTGCAACTGAAAGTTGGGGGGGCGGGCATATTTTTTTACCCCTGTCCGTCCGTCCGTCCTTTCGTCTGTCCTTCCGTCCTTCCAATCGTCCGTCCCATTATTGGGTATATAGCTATTCCAGATAACTCCTCCTACAGTTTGAATGCTAGGAAGTTTTCACTTTTCTAGCTGTTTGTAAATATATTGAAGGTGTGCATGTGGTTAGGGTTTTGATTTTTATTGATATTTGCTCTTTTGGGAGATAGTTGAACTTTGTCATTTTTTGAGTATATACTTGCATAAAAGGTGCATAGCATTTCCGGATAACTCCTCCTACAGTTTGACTGCTAGGAAGTTTTCACTTTGCTGGCTGTGTGTACATATATTGAAGGTGTGCATGTGGTCAGGGTTTTCATTTTTATTGATATTTGCTCTTTTGGGAGATAGTTGAACTTTGTCATTTTTGGAGTATATACTTGCATTAGAGGTTCATAGCGTTTCCGGATAACTCCTACTACAGTGAACCATAGACCTATGTGCTCCCATGCTCAACTTGGTGTATTTTAAAATAAAACTTTGCATCTGTGGGGGTATCATTTGTGTCTCCCAGATACAATAATATCTCAAAGAAAGTCCTACATTGACTTTGTTATAATACAGTTACTTCAGATGGGAGTGCGGGGGCATCACTTTGTCTGGTTTCAGTTGTATCTCGTGATTAAACCATAGATATATTTAAATCTATGTTAAAACTAAACGGAACGTGGTAGGTATATTGGTCCGGTCCGCTTAACATTAGCATATGCATGTAAGGCATTTTATAGATTAATAAAGGAAACACATAGAGGTATACTTCTATGGTTTAATGTTATACACAACATTGTATTTGAATTATTTGTCATATTTATGCATTATTCCCAGTCAAGTAATGTTGAACGTTGTGGTCTGTAATTTATTGATAAAATATTACCCTGCATCTGTGTTCTTCAAAGTACAGAGGTACCTTTTTCAACATCTAGCATACATACTTCCGCTCAAACCGTTGCAGTTTTGTGTGATCTTTTGTTCCGAATTGAAGGTTTCACTGTTACTGAAAAAGACGAGCTGTCAAAGGAACGTTTCTTTGCTTTTGTTCATCAAGTGCATGCGGTTATTTGTAACCTGAATTATGACATAACTGGCTTCTTTTCTATTGTTATATGCTTCATACTTTTAAAAATGTATTTACTTCACATGTGCATGAATGCACACACATAAAATATTTTTATACATGTTTTTTTTTCCACATAAAAGTACATAATCCAGCGGACATTTTTATGTGAAGGTGTGTCAGTTTTTTGTTTGTGATTTAAATTTGTGTTTACGTCATCTTCTAAAACCGGAGGCTGACTTTCTAATAAAAGGTTGTCTTCGTGATACCTCTTATATTCCAGAAAGTTTTTAATGTATGACAAATACTTCAAAAAATGTGTAAGTCACATTAAAAAGTATGACTAAATTTTTGCATCCAATACTGACCCAAACGTGCATTTTCTTTCTTGCTCGTTTATTCGTTTTATCTTCATTGATCAGCAAAAGTATATATTATATCACGTAAATTTGACATTCAACAGTTGTGCGTAATATGTTTAAGCAGATGTTTAACCCCTTGAATGCTGTTGGTTATAAGTTTACGAAAACGTTCTGGTAAATACAGTGTGTAGCAAGGTTATATATTTTTTGTTTAAAACAAGTCTGTAATGTTGTTTAGCTATATGAACAAATTCCAAATGAGACATATACTTTTTTATGGCTGTATTTTGTCACAGGAACACACAATTACCTTGTACATATACCGAACTAAAGATCTAAGATGGCAACAGAATTGAAATAAAGAATCCTACAAAATCGATTGATATGCAACAAAGATTAATTATTATATTATAGTTTTAAATAATTAAATTAAAGTTTCGAAGATTGTTGGACTATATACATTTTATGCGAATAATTTGAGAAGACCGAACACAAATATATACAATACAAAACGTCATAATCTGTTAACTGTACAAAAATCACGGATAATTATTTTGCAAATTATTTTGATGCACTCTAAACTTGAACAAACGTAACTTAAGATCGTTCGTTTAAAATGTTACAATCATTTCCTACATTAAAACCAACCATTTAAATTTTAAACTCAACACTGTCCATACAAATGTCTTAATCAAACGGTAATAAATACTTTTAAATCAATATACCGGCTATTAGTTAAAAATAAAATATATTTTTATGTCCTTGTGGGTTAATAACAGATAATGACGATAATATCCTCAGGGTAAAGTTAAAAGTAGTACTTCTAATAGTCAAACGAGGGCAACACCTTTTTTTCATTTGACACAATTTTGGCACACTTCTCTGGATCACGTCCCCTCAAGTCTTGTCCGCATTTTTACTGTATCATTTTATTTACATACTGACAATTAAACCATCACTTTGATAGCTGGTTATGTGGAGAAGGGACCTATGTTATAAAGCAAGGTGTATTTGGGAATTAAAGGACACGAATTAAGGTATGGTTTTGTCTGGAGCGAAGTTGTTTTGAGATCAAATTAATTGCTACAGATTAATGTGGTTTTGTAAACCGCAACGTTTACCCCTTTCCGTGTACGGCCTACAGATTATTATCGGATTTTTTTTATTATGATTCAAATGGGCACTTACATGTTCAGCTGAATATTTGAAGGATGCGATATTTGAATGTCGACAAATAATGATGTTTATATCTAGTCTGATAACAGGATACATTTCTGTTGCTTTTAAAGTACTTCAATTTTGTAGGGTTATTTATACGTCCAGCGACCAAAATTACAGAGATTTAGTGATACTCAGGCTTATACACAAAGTTTTTAAAACTTGATAAAACATGCCTTTAACTATTATTATGTAATAATCTAAACAAAAGTTTAACTATTGTATCGTTAAATGGCCGTAACGAATACGTAATGCTTTCATCGATTTCATAAAAAAAAAAATAAGAAAATCTTTTGGTAGGGACATTATTCACCAGTGTTCACCATTATTTAATTTGTGCAATAAAACACAATGTAAGTACACGTAAATAGGATGGCTTTGCGAACTTTCAAATCGATGGATGAAGATAGATGTGCACCCAAATGATGATACTAAATGTTTCTTCTATCCTACTTTGGGCGAAAACATGATGATGTGAAACGATATGAGAACGAACCAGTTTAAAAAAAAACTTAAGAGACCACTTAAGTCTGGGAGAACATGATTTATTTAATAGTTGTAGTTAGCTTTAAACTAGCTTTCAGAAACTACGAGTACTATTTTATCGGTGCTTTGTTTTTATTGGTTTTATATTAGTTAGTTTTGTGTGTGTGTTAAGAACCGATCTATTGAGTGGAGCCTTTTGCAACTGATTTTTACACCACTGTCCCGTGTTATAAACATGTTTAACCCCGCCACATTCTGTTTGTGCCTGTCCCAAGTCAGGAGCAAGTAATTTAATGGTTGTCGTTGGTTCATGTCTATCAGTATTATATTTGTTTTTCGGTTATGTTTTGTAAATAAATCAGATCGTTAGTTTTCTCGTTTGAATTGTTTTACACTTGTCATGTCGGGACCTTTTGTAAGTGTCTGTACGGTATTGGATTTTTTCATTGTTGAAGTCCGTACGATGACCTATAATTTCTTACTTCCACTTCATTTGAACTCTGGTGGATAGTTCCTTGTTTCATTGGCAATCTTACAACATCTCCTTATATTTTACCAGAAATGCATCTAAAAAGTGCAGAGGTCTTAACATTAGTATGTTATCTTATGATGTCTACAGATAATTAATTCGAATCACCATCTTTTTCTTCCGTTTGGTCATGATAATGTCTGTCCTTTTTTCAGCTTCAAATTTTTATTTGCCCTCCTTTGGAAAAAAGGAGGAGTATCTTCTTACTTTTAAAAATAGTTGTTTTGAACTTCTTGTTGTTTATTTGATTTTAAAACATTAACACCATTCAAAATACATATATAAGTAAATACACATATACAATGAGAAATGTTTTGTTTATGAGGGTCATGACAAAGGCTACATACTTTCTGCCCCGATGTGGGAGTACTGTCACAAATTTAAACATAAATATGTAAAGACCTCACGTATTTATACTTTAAATCTTATAAAATTTTTAATCTCTCGTTGTCCAATCTAATACATTGTATGAGTAATATACGCCATGTAAGAATGTCATTCTCGTAACAAAACCTGTATGTGTTCACATCTTACCCCGGAGCTTAGTTTTTGCCAGTTATTATGTATAGGACGTACTATGATTTGTGGTAAGTTCTTTTAAAATAAAAAACGCGTCTCACAGTTTTACTTCGAATTATTTCAGAGGTACTGTAACTATTTATTTTCAACTATAGCGTGAACTCTTACAACTAAATTGCTTGAGTGACCTCGGAATGTAAAAAAAAAGTTCAAGGACAAGTTAGAGGATTGAACATCCCGTACTGAGACAGTGAAACTACATAAATTTCTAATCTAATACATACACCTCTCTGTATCATTTTTTCTTCAGTAACCAAATCGTTTTCATTCTACTTTTATTACCAGAGAATTACGTTTTCTCAAAATGAGAAAAAAAGATTCGAAGGATACCAAAGGGACATTCAAACTCATAAGTCGAAAATACACTGACAACGCCATGTACAAAAAGAAAAGATAAACAGACAAACAACAGAACACAAACCACAACATAGAATACCAAAGAGTGAGCAACACGAACCCCACCACAACTTGGGGGTGATCTCAGGTGCTCCGGAAGGGTAAGCATGTACTGCTCCACATGAGGCATCCGCCGTGTTGCTCATGTTAGTTCGAACCCGGTGATAAGTCTAATTCGGTAGGTCACATTCGGGGAAAAAGGGACGAGATATTAAATATTGAGTACGAAAGTGTGAAACAAAATATTAGAACTTAACATCACCCCCAGAAGCCTTGTATCATAGGCATATTTTCTACTGTCTTTTAGAACTTTTTTTTTTTACATGCAGAGAACCTTTTTAATATGCTCGTCTATTTCTCGATCCATATCTGATTTTTAGACTGTCTAACACAAGTTATTTAAAACTGTGTAATCTGTAACATTGTTTGCCTGGGGTTTAACATCAAAATATATAATATTGTCAAAATCTAGACAGAGTATAATAACAGAAGATTCATAAATTTTACTTCACAGGAGAGGACAAAATCAGGAGGAAGAAACCGTTGAAGAAATGGGGGAAGAAGAAGAAGATACTCAGAAACTAGACGAAAAATTGAAACAGTTTGAAGACGATGATTCAACCACATACGGTAAATAATTTAGAAACTAATCCCTTTTTTCGTCCTGAACATACATTAATATTTTCCACTGGACGTTAAGCAGCCATCAATCAATCAACTTTTAAAGAACGACGTTGAACAAAGTTATATTTGCGCAATATGATTTTAATAAGACAAATTAGTATATTGTATACACATGTACTTTAATTAAGTCAAATTACAAACGTCTATACGAGAAGCAAACCTTTTTGAAATACTATCAACCACTTGTTAAGTCGGAAATAGTAGTTGATCAGTAAGAGCACTTTATACATGCAGTTGTATACCCATAATCGGTAAAATGTTGCATGTTATCATGCATTTTTATAAGTCAAAGCATAGACGTTGCGTTATTTTATGTTGTAGCAGTGGGAGAAAAATTGTGTCAAATGTAATCTTAAATATTCTATAAATAAAGATACCCCGTATATGATGTGTACGTCAATGGGACAGCAACTATATATAATTATAAAAAACCACATAAACAAGAATGTGTCCATATTACATGGATGTCCCACTCGCACTATCATTTTCTATGTTCAGTGGACGTGAAATTTGGGTCAAAACTCTTAATTTGGCATTAAAATTAGAAAGATCATATAATAGGGAACATGTGTACTAAATTTCAAGTCGATTGGACTTCAACTTCATCAAAAACTACCTTGACCAAAAACTTTAACCTGAAGCGGGACATACGGACGAACGAACGAACGAACGAACGACCAGACGCACAGACCGAAAAACATAATGCCCCTCTACTATCGTAGGTGGGGCATAAAAAATAACCCCCCAAACCAAATGACATTTTTTGGAAGTTAGTTATAAACTATACAGTGAAGGTTTTATTTTCGTTACAGGTTCTTCAGAAACTACAACAATTGATGATGATATCCAAAAGGCAACCCGAAAACGAAACATAGTTTTTGATGAAGAAAGATTCGAAGAAACTTTCTTAAAATGCATGATTTGTCGTGAAGTATACGATGAAGATGAAAAGGCGCCAAAAATGTTGCCTTGTCATCATACATTTTGCCTAGATTGTCTGAATCAGATGTTTCGAGTCGAAGGCGAGTATCGACAGTCTTTAACATCTGCTTTTCGAAGTATGCCGATGGCAGTCAAAATTTGTTGCCCAACTTGCCGTGATGGACTTATATGTTCTGATCAAGACATTAAACGCCTTCCAAATGACACAACAATACTCGAGCTTCTAAATTACATAAAACTAACCGGAAAGTCGGATGTTCAGTATTGTTCAAAACACAAGATGCAACCTCTAAATTTTTTCTGCGAGCCTTGTATCACACCTGTTTGTTGTGATTGCACGGTGCTTGATCACAAAGAAAAGGATGGTCACATCGTAATGAACGTAGAAGAAGCTTTGAAAAAATACACACCAGTTTTGGATGAAACTATAACAGAAATGGATAAATCTATCAAAACCGTTGAAGAAAAGAAACAAGCGCTTGAAAAGGCGGCAGAAAATATTGAACAAATTCAAAAAGAGCTTGCAGTCCAGGTCAGACAAACTTTTGATCGAATCAGAGATGCCATTGATGAACGTGAACGTGAACTATTTAATATGTCAGAGCATGAAATAGACAAGAAACGGAACGAAATTGGAGATCAATTGGCTATTGTTCACGATCGAGAAGCTCTGTTGACAAAGGACAGGAACAATCTTAAAGGCGCCAAAGACAATAAAGATATAAGTGCCATGTTTACTCACCATCAGTCTGCCAGAGAGGCATTAGGTAGGAAGGTAGAAATCCCCGAACCTTCTCGTGCTACAAAAGACTTTGCTGTGAGTTTTCAGTTCAACAGTAGAGCAGAAAACAATGTACGGTCAAATATAAGTGTATTTGGAGATGTCAGTTTCAAATAATCCTTGACAATATCAATTTTAACTGTATAATCATCGCAAAATGCTTTCAATTTTGCTTTTAGTAATTAAGGTTTTAATGTTACAACACGACAAACATATTGTCCTCTAGGTGCTGTTGATAGCATGCATGTTCTTGCTTGAAAAAAATTGAGACAGGAGAGGCTTTGGGGCAACACAACGATATAAAAACGGCTTTAATAACAACGTGTTAACCTCTTTAATACACTCTTCAATTTTAGAGATAGTAATAGTACAAAAACATGTGTGAACAATTTCTTATGTATAGTTGTATTCGACTGATTTTTATGAATCAATTTGAAATATGTTTACTCTCGAGGAGTGTTGTACTTAAATTTAACGGCCCACGTACACTTTTAAATCTCCATGCTATTGGATTGTTATTCATAGTTATCTCATGTATGTCAAGGAAAACTATTAGATACGCTTCATACCTTTAAAATATTATTTATTCATTCATATTTACGCATGATCTCTTGCCGATATTTATTTATATATTAAAAAATCCATGAATTTTTCATTATATATATGGTGCGGATATGAAAACTTCTGTGAAGTAAAATTTTCATACAACTTTTATAGTTTATTAATTTCCAGTTGTGCCATTGTAACTTTATTTTATACTTGAGCTATAAATCATTGATCATTTGTAATAACATTATCCTGACCTATATATTGAATCATGAGGTTCCTAACACAAATTTAAGCAGTCTTACTTCACTCTAGTCCCTTTTCAAATTCATTTGGTAATTTTATGATCTGAATATATCTACTACAATGGATCGCTTGTTCTAAAGTCTTGCCTGGTAGAAAAGGATGGCGTCAGATTTTTCTAGCCGTACCGTTCTTTTTTGGTAGTCTAAAAAAAGATGACCATAAATTATGTCGTCATATAAAATACACATTTTTCAGATTTACGGAGAAAACCGTCATATCGGCTAAAAACATATAATTTTTTTATAAAAAAAAACTTTGAATTTCTATTATTGTAGTAAATGAGCGACGACATTTCCTCTAACAGTCAGCCTTATCAGTATCTTGGTTTTTTTCAGCTTTATGCTTCCACCTAATACTCGCTTTGGTATATCAGATTTATACCAATTATGAGTCTTGTTCACTAATGCTGGTCTAAGCTTAAACTGCTTATATTCAAATTATGAAATGTACATGAACTGTTGATACACTTGTAAATTGTGTTTGTATAAATCAGTCATTGTTCGTCAGTATTATTCATCTCGTTGCTTTGTATTGTTACGTTTATCTGTTTTCCACAGAACGTTATAATCCAGTGGCAAATATCTCATGCGTATTCAAAACGAGAACATATTAACGATACATCATATAGGTAAGTTTTATAATGTTCGACTGGGATGAATGGCGGACAATTTTGACTGCAACAGAAAAAAAGTATCTTGGAAAAGCAGAAATTTTGCACTGCAACAGGGACATATAAACAAGTTGGTGTATTAACATCAGCGGTACAAATTGCAAGCGTTCATAAACCTACAAATAGTGTGTGACTTTCCTTTCACGAGGCTTCGGATTTAATGTCCCATTCCTGAACTTTTTCCATCTTGGAATGAAACCTATGCTAAGAAGGGCGTCTATTTTTGCGGGATATATAAATACAGTCACAACCGCCAGGACGTGAGCGGTAAATGAGATGCCTCGTGTAGGCGTGAAGCTCACGCTGCACGTTAAAGAATCTTCTATCAACTCTTTGAGGAGTCCGTAGGTTACCTTTTGCAAGGCAAAATGTCTGCCCCTATACAAGATACCCTCTTTTTTCAGTGGCAGTCTAAATTGACCGTCCTTATCCTGGTTGAGTCACTTTGCAGAAACTGGTATACGTAGCAAGCTGCTCATCTTTTCCGAATCCTCTACTACGTATTTTTTTCAATTGCCTATATAATTCTGCAAGCAAGCGTCGAACATATTGGATTTATTGTTCTAGTCCTGAATAAGCATGACTTATTTACCATTGGATGTTACATTTGTAGGCAAACAACAATTAATCATCAATGAATCAGCCAACTGGACGTTAAACAACCAACAATCAATCAATCAATCAGACAAGCCATTGCTGCGTATAAATACATCCTGCATGCACACCCAAACCGATGTGACACGGATTGTACTGTAGCAATGGAGGATTCCTTGTGAACATCCACGCCCCATTTAACCTTTTGGTACCTTCAACAGAGATCGTTTGTCGTACCTATTCTACGTGAATATAGAAGTCACGTGTTTTACGTCTTCCATGATTTCAAATTTGATGCAACAAGTCTGATGGACAAACGCTTTCGATGACAACGACTAAATTACAAAAATATTCTGGGTCCCTGTACGAATGAAAGAGTGATAGAAGGAAATTTAAAATCCTCAAAATTGTTAGCTTTATGCAAATTTAATGCAAAAGAGGCGAATTAGATAAAATAACGAGCACCAAATCATAATATCATACTTTACGATGTTGATGATGTTAACCGAAATCAGAATATTGCCTCTACATTCAACTCGAGTGACTCCGTTTATCTGTCAAAAGCATGTGTACACTACATTTATAAAAAGATTTTACAACTGCACTGGTAAGTTTTTTTTCCATATTTGGCAACTATTGGTTTATAGTAAAAAGAGAATTTCTGTGTAGTTAACTATATAGCTACTTGTTATACACTTGTTTCTACATGTATATGATGCACAATGAGTAAAATTATATATATGCCAATGTTGAGATAAGCAACCAAAGGACAAGCTCTATATAATGCACAATACTATAAACAAAAAATGTCATCTGCAAGAAGGAATACTAAATAAAAAGACCACAACAAAAACATCCATTGTGTCACTTTCTCTCATTTCTCCTGCTTAAAACACATTGAAAATAGAAATTACATATAAGATTAAATTTGCTTCACTCGAGAAACAATTGTTTTAAAGAAATTTAGAATCTGACAATATACAGCCTTTCCTTTGCTGATCTAAATTTTATTCTCAACTATCTAAACTTCAAAGGAGTAATTCATTTTAGCTAATATGGATTTCGTTTTAACAAATATTTGGTAATTAAGTATGTAGAGAAATGTTTTCATAATTTCATAATTTTCAATAAATTCATTCAAACTCAAATCTTTATTGTCATTACACAATACATTTATAGCACAACATAACAAAATGAAAATAAACAATATCAACAAGATCCTTTATTAAATGTATATAAAAGTAAATATTTCAAGATTTCCCTGTTCTCATTTCTATAGACTGTTTAAAAAAGGACCAAAGCTTTTTTACCTGAATGTGTGATCTTGGGTTGAGGATATATGTAATTTTATCTGTATCATTCAAGGCTATAAAGTGTGTGTTCTCATTTATCAAAAATCAAAATAAACTTTTCTAATGTTACTCTTAATATCACAATATAAAAAGAAATGAATTTTATTTTCATTTTTTTTTGTTTTTTTTTTTTGAAGTTTTTGCATAATCTTTCTTCTCTTGGCATTTTAAGATATCTTCACTTTTTTATATAACAGTATAATGTTTTTATTTTTATTTTCTAAATTCAAAGAGCATTGCTTCGGATAAACACTGAAACAAGACGACTCCTGAAAAACGAAGTAGAAATTCCAACTGAGGTTATGGTCAGAGAACGAAGAGTGACAGAATTCTACAGATTATCTAGACAATGGCAGTATCAGTGGTACGGATGTAATGGATCGTAACTTTGTTTAGGAAAAACCACAGACGAAGCGATAATCGGTTTTATTGCACTGACTAATATCGCATAAATTAAAAGTCAACATGCTTTAAAATAAATGGAGAATTTTGAGGAAATGTATTCTAGATAAAAAAAAAAACCCAAAGGGCTATCTGTATACAATAGATATTAATACCAAAGAAAAGAAAAATTATGATATTTGAGACAAACTATCCGGATCAGACGTGAAGATTATTTGCTTTATATATTCATGACCAAAAGATCTGTTTATGTATTACGTTGCTTCTATTTGAAAGTCGTTTCCTAATATAGACTGTTTTGAACTGATATCAAAATATAATGTACGATTAAACATATAGACCCTCCATTTAAATAACAATCTGTGTGTGGGTACTGGGGCTTAACGGTTACGTGTTATCCATATTAGCCTTAAATCAATGGAAAAAGCAGACGATGGCAATATTTTTAAATTCTTAAATTCATGGCATGCGCAGTCAACCTAAAGTGCCCACAGGGTACCGGAAAACACTAACGCTTATAGACGATGATAGATGAAGAAAGGAGAGAGTTACCTGAGACCGCCCTTTATGATTCAAGATCATTTTTCAACAGGTATGTAGTTTTCTTCCTACCCACTGGGTATAATAATATGCGCATTTATATAAATCTTTTGTTTATATTTATCCTCAAGTGTATACATGTACAATGTTGACCTACAGTAAATATATATATATATCTAATAAGTTGACCCGTTTCGGTAATGTAGTAGATATAAAGATAGGTAAATATTTTTTTCTTCAAAATATGATTTCCTTTGTCTGTACATACATTTACCGCATGTAGTAAATTTTACGTAGCAATGTTTAGTCTTGCTGATTGATCGATAGAATATATCGTGGTTAAATCTCCTGACATGTAAATTCGTTCTATTCCAGAATTTTTGTTTTTAATTGTGATAAAACTATTTTATCAATATTCCTCAATCGATTATTGAGCTAATACAGTATAAATTGTTTCTTAAATAAGAACTATGTTATTGACAAGATCTAGCGACTGACCTTGTAAGCGCGCCGTGTTTCCTTCACGTAATAAGTGCATTTGGTTAGAGGCTTAAACACTAAAACCGATACACAGACCTGTCAGACTGATGGCTCAAACTTTGAAAACCCAAAACCTTTATCCGAAAAATACTAATATGATCATATATATACATTTCTTAGAAAATGTACAAAGAGCAAGATATAGCACGAGAGGAGTGTATAATTTCTGGTCTCCAACACTAATTTTCAGTTATGGAGTACTTTTAAAATTTTAATTTCTTTCCCCCAAAGGCAGTACATATGTTTAAGGGCGATTAAACATGCTGTAATAATGACAATGTGTTATTGTTGCACCTGGTGACATTTTGCATTGTCTATTTGTCATTCATTTTTTTGCATCACATGTCACATGGTAGTTACATATGAAAAATGATCAGACATTACTAATCAAAGAAAATACATGTATAATGTAACATGATTTAGAGTAGAGAACATTAAGACTTATAAAAATAAATGTAGTCAAGACAAATTTTTAAGAAATGGTTAAACAAAGAGTTTACATTTCTTGTACCATTAAGGAGATGGAACTGCGTTATATTGATTGATCTAAGTCACCGGATCTTAGGGCATGCAACTTTTGTTATTTTCACTAAAAGAAAATCAGTTTATTTTCCTCTTTTTATCGAGTTATTCTAATTATTTACACAATCTTACATTGGAAACAGTTTACATGTGTCGCCCCTCTATTTCTATTTTCTAGTAGAAATAGTAAACACACATTAAATAAAAAAAATATATAGGCTAAGAGAAAGACATTTTATTTTTATACACTTTCGCTTGTAGACAGAATAATGAACTTGGAATAAATTCTGTAAATCTGAATGACCTTTATATTTGAATTGTTGTGAAAGTTCTTATATGTGACACCCCTGAAAACATTTCTGGATCCGCCACTGCCTACACTCCAAGCGTTTGTTATCTTAAGCCCGGTCTGAAGAATCTGAATTTATTTTGTCAGGATTTTAGTTACTTTTGGTAAATTCAGCAATTTCAAAATGGATTTCTTTAGATATTTTTTCAGTCAATGTTTGCTATAGGCAAATAAAAGCTACTGGACGCTCTACATATCTAAATCTGAACAGAACATAACTAGCCGCGAAGAATATGTCTAAATGATAATTGAAAGATTGAGCGAGACGTCATAAAGTTTTTTTAGTTCCCTAAGGTCGGTTAGGATCAGAATGACAATTTCAATTCAAAATCTATTTCTATTGTGAAATGTATCAAAATGTTTTGTTTAAGAACAAATGACAAATAATCCAAATACATTACTCTGTAATGCCAATCCATTTATAATTAAATGTCTGTCCCCTCAGATTTTGTTGACAATCGTTACTTATATTTAAATGCTACCACAGTTTTCTTCTTAAATTAAAACTTTTTAAAACTTAAGCTTTTGTTATTTTTTCTGTTTTTGAGTTTTGCTTTGAAGCTTACTGCATCATATAACCTTTTCAGACCTAAGCTTGTAGCACAAGAGGGATAACAATTCTCAATGAACACATGTGCCAATTAAAATCATTGAGAATAAAATGATATCTCCTACGCAGAAAAAGTTTAATTATTCAGGTAAAAAGCACTTATAAAGGCTACTCTTAAAAAATTGTTTGTTTGCGGTTTCCTGGTTTCTGATATGAACATGGTAGTGTAGGTGTTAAAATTACCACATTGCAATGCAACTCTGCATTACGATAGTATGAAACTTTATATTTGGTAGACCCTTTTTTTCTGTTTTTTGTTTTTTTAAAGGTGCAAACAAATTTTTAATGGTAGCAAAAAAGATGCATGCAATCATCGGAAATATAGTTTCACTGGCATAGGAGACAGGGAAGGGGAGTAGGGACAAGGGGGCAATCACACACCCCCAAATTTCGAGGGTAGGGGCGAAATATTATTCCCCTCCCCCTTTTTGTCAAAAAAAAAATGGAAGATGAGATGCAACGACCAACTCCTAGACTATTAGCAGATTAGACGATAGAAAAGTTTGGTTTGTTTTTTTTTACTTCTCACTTTCTGAATTCTGCCCCCCCCCCCTTTTTTTTTAGTCCACTCCTGCGCCACTGAGTTTTATTCATTGCAGCTTACTGCAGAGCAAAGTTTGTCAATGCCTTCATTCTTCTGTGCATGAACCTTATCGCCTTGTCTAGAATGAAAATTTATGTGCTTGAATGTTTAACTTTAACCTTTACACTCTGCATGTTTTTATGAAATACATGTCTTCACTTTGTCTTGTTTATATTCATTTCCATTGAATAGTTCACACGATGTTCACAATCTTTAAATTTCTCAGATTGTTTTAATGTTATATAACGTTACGGGTCTAGACATTGAGTTTTTAATTTGACTGGAATAAGGAAAGGCTAGTGGTTGATATTAGGGTATGAATTACTTAGGACACGGTATATTACCATTGGTCAGGTGATGGTCATAAAACTAAAAAGATGTTCAAGTTGTTTAAATTTTCATTCGAAAAGAGAGATATACATTTTGTGCTGTGGATATTTATGCATGTAGGTCTTTTGTCAGGAAATTCTTACATCTACATATGCGCTTTATCGACAAGGAACGGCAGACTATACATGTAAATTGATAAGGATGTGAGATAATTGTTGAACACCTCATCTAAAATAAATGATCAACTATACATGTTTGAAAGGAATCACTGAACTTTACGTTTGAAAGGAATCACTTAACTTTAAAATAAGTATGTTGTATTTTTAAAACATCACTAAATTCAGAATTCATTTTCATTGTTTACATTGTATGTTAATCATACCAAAATTTACTTATATATTATACGCTTCGGAAATTTTCGTATATAATGCATGTGAAATTCATTTCTTTAGAGTCGAAGGTTATATATGGTGATTGGTAAAACGATTTGTATGTAGACGAGTTATCATTAAAATTTAATAAATTATCAATTTAACTGAACTTACGTTTTATTTTTAGACGAGTCTGTTGAAAACATCATAACAAACCTGGATCAGCGGATGGTGTTCAGTGGTCAATCCAGTTCACCGTATGTTAAACGAAATATCGTACTAGAAGAGTGCTCCTTCGTAGAAAAATTCCTTAAATGTATCATATGTGAAGAAGTTTACAATCATGACGACCGCCAACCAAAGCTTCTTCCATGTCATCACACATTGTGTCGTATCTGCATCATCCAAATGTTTATATCTGAAGCTGAGTATAGAAGAAGCTTAATTGACGATCTTCCAAACGCAGTGACGATTATCTGTCCTCAGTGCTCTAAAAGCTTCATTTCTACACAAGAAGGGTTACGACAATTACCAACTGACCACCGAGTCATACAGCTTCTTGACTTTTTCAGTAATACAGACAGACATACCGTACAATATTGTTTTATACATGAGACACAACCGATCAATTTCTTTTGTGAAAGTTGTATTAAGCCAATCTGTCGTGATTGCACTATTTTAGATCATACCGAAGCCAAAGGACATACAGTGCGAGATTTAGACGGTGCATTGAAGCATTATACTCCAATTGTAGAAGCAGCAATGTCCGACTTGCAATCTGAAAAATCTAGTCTTAAAGAGAAACGTGAGACGCTGGAACAATCAATTGAAACATTTGACAAGGCAGAACAGGACGTAGTAGAACAGGTTAGAGGATCATTTGCTGCTCTGAGAGCCGCATTAGAAGAGAGAGAGAAACAACTTATCGCCATGGCAGAAAAAGAAGTTGGTAACGAGAAACAAAAATTCCGAGAAAAAATCGATCTAATCGATAAAAGAACTGAAGAAGTCGGTGAAAAGTATCAAGAACTACAGAAATTAAAAGAAGAAGGAAATGTTGAGAAAATGTACAAAGTTACACAAAATATATCGGACTACAAACCCCCAAGCTCATTGAGAATTAGGGAGATCGACGATGGTATAATCACTAAATTTACGTTCAATGATCGTGATGAGAAATATATTTCCAATCGATTGCAGAATTACGGTGATATTATCACCAGAATGGAATCGTCCAGGAGCTCTGTAAGTTCTATAAGCTCTACAAGCACTACAAGCTCTACAAGCAGTAGTTATACTCCGTATCGATACTCCTATTATCGACCATGATATAATTTGGACTATCCATACTCTTGCCTTAAACTCTTGGTCATAATAAACTTCGTCCATGACTGCTTGCATTTACTATACATGCTATATTTACCTATATTTTAAGCTTAGGCATCCAGAAATTCATCTTATAATAAAGGTATTAATTCGACATTTTGTTTTGTATGAATAATCTATATGAATAAAAAGTGTTGTGTGGTATACTGTGGATTCATTTATTTTCGTGGGTACCAATTTTCGTGGATTAAGGAAAACTTACATGTTCGTGGATATTTAATTTCGTGGTTTTGCTGAAGTCTGCATACAAGCCTATAGAACATTTGTTATTCGTTGAACATTTAATTTCGTGGTTCACCTGTACCCACGAAATCCACGAAAATTGGTATCCAACGAATAATAATGAATCCACAGTACACGTCAATGGACAGCAACCCAACGACACAAAAAAAATATTAAAACATTATAGAACATCATCATCTAAATGGCTCTAATTATAGAAATGTTAAAACCTTCTTGGACTATCTTTGCGTGTGGAAGTTACAATCACAGTTTAGTCAAATAAGTTGATTTATTGGCTTGCAATAATTAAATTGACTGGTACGCGGACTACGATATGTATTATCGACATATTTGTAGTAATGTAAAAGTATAATGCCGATTCAGTGTGCTTAAACTAAGTCTTGACTCTGGAATACATGTAACATTTGGCAGGTACGCACCAGTTAAAAAACGTAATTTTATTTTACACAACCGAAAATATATGCGATTGAAATTTGGTATGGCATTCTCATGATTAATTCGTCGAAGTCGTTGTTTTCCGTCTGCAGACACACGTTTTATTTCACTCATTTTTTTTTTATATCTAACTGGGATTTAACGGATTGATACTTGGCACAAAAAAGGCTTGTAATGAGTTTTGTGTCTTATGTCGCTATCCGTTTCTTTAGATGTCACGAAAGGTTAAAAAAAGTTCTCATGTAATTTTGAATGGATTTTTTCATTGCTATTTATTCAAAATGGTGTTTTAGTACTTTGTCAAAGATGACGGTATCAAATATTTTTCATAACGATGTGGAAATATAAGTATGGAGACACGTGGCAGTTAACGTTGAAGACAAATGCAAAATCAATGACAACACTTTTAGTGTTTAGAAAATCATTTATTTGAAGAAGAAGAAAAAAAAACTAGGATGAGTAGGGCCTTTTATAGCCGACTATACGGTATGGGTTTTTCTCATTGTTGAAGGCCGCATGGTTGCCTATAATTGCTTACATAGTTGTCTCATTGGCAATCATACCACATCTCCTTATTTTTATATTATTCAATTCCTTCTTGATTATGTTCCTTTTATTAATGGATGCATATAAAATACTGATCACTTTGGTGCAGAAATGTTATTTGTGACTTAAAAATATGAAATATTAACATGACTTGACCAGAAATAGCCAGTGCACATAACGTCAAATCTTAGCAACCGGTCTTACTCAAAGATACATTTAAAAGACATTTAACTCGCATCATTCCAATTAGAAGAACAAAATCATGTGGATTGTCACCTATATCTAATTAGACTGAGTAATTAAATTTAAAGATCTCAAAAGGGGCAAATTTGGCAGTATGCAACAAGGTCGAAATGGCATATGAAGACAGAATGCAACGATATATTACAGACTTACGTATTGTGACCTTGTAGAGTATGTTATTAATTTGATAGATTTACGATACACTTTTATTTTCGACTTCAATCGTGTTATCTGATTCGGATTGTGTGATGCGGAACATTTATATTATTATATCAAATTGTAAAAATGGTGTCAACATGCTGCATATCCCTATAGAAGTATATATATTTATATATAAAAAAGAATAATATTGGTAAAATTCCATGAAGAAGACAATGGATATTTGTCAAAATTGCCCACTTCTTTCATTTTCCTTTTACAACGATGAGCCGGTAGACAATGGCATAACGAACATTTGAAATTGAGAGAGTAGAATTTTGGAGAAAATTTGATTTGTTAGAGATAATCAATGCAATGATGAGTGAAAATTGTTGGCATTAGAAATTAACATCAAAGTTAAACAAACACCACACATAGTGTGATAAAAATATCAAAGCATAATTTCGTATACAATGGTTTTTAAAATTAACCCGTTTGTCCCGTTTAGTATATGCACTATGTAGATATTGTGCTATTTAGATATTGTACTATTCAATTTCATACATATAATACTAATGTTAACAATAGTTAATTATTGGTAGAATGATTATCTTGAATCGGTTGTAATACGATACAAAAGGAAGTTTAAATTTCGTCTTTGGTATATACCATATACACCATGAATTCCAAGTAGTAAGGTAAGCTAATATGGTTTGAATTATATCAATACACAGCGAAAAAATGTGGAAAAATTTATATATCCGATAAAATATATTTACGGCTGAGAGTTAGTCAAAATGAATTAAAGATGACGTATTAATATCATAATTACATGAAAAAAATACGATGCTACATTTATGTAATTTGCTATCATCACATAAATAATCGACGTAAAGTTGATAACGACCTTCCTTTCTTTAAAAAAAAAAGAAACATTTTTTTTGGCCGTGTGTTTGCACTTTAATCAAATTACATGTTGCCGTAAACCCGTCCTTAATCTTAGGTCAATGCATTTATTCTCTCATAGGATAATTGTAAACACTTAAAACTGAGCAACAAGAACCCAGTGAACTCATGTGCTACGGAAGGGTAAGCAGTACCTGCTCCACACGTGGCACCCGTCGTGTTATTCTTGTGAAAAGTAGTAAGGAGTCATATCCATTTATAAGCATAAAAATAATGAGATTTGGTATCATTGCCAATAAGACAAATATCCTTGACATGACGTGGATGTAAGTAACTGTAAGTCATTATACGGCCTACAGCAGTGAGCAACACCAATACCGTATAATCAGCTATTAAAAACCCCAATATGACAAAATGAGAAAACCAACGGTCTGATTTATAACACAAAATAAACGAATGACAAATAGATCTATATATATCCGATTCCAATCAACGACAATCACTGAATTACAGGCTACTGACATGGAACAGACACATGAAAAAATGGCGTGGTTAAACATGTCTGTGAGCGTTCAACTCTTCCCCTAACCACGGACAGTGGTGTATCCACACAACATGAGAATACACTGTAGAAATTAGTTGAAACTGGGTTGACTCATCAGATTAGCACGTGGCACAAATACATCTATCATAAAGACAAACGACTCAAAGTACCGATCGAAGAGTACTCACAGTTTCTGTAAGCTAGTCCAAAACTGATAAATAAATCATGTTCTCCTCTACTCGGGTGTCAATAGGTACACATAGCAGTAAAAAGGACATCTTCTATACAGCATGACGTGAAGTAAAAGGATAATGATAGATTCTGTTCGTTCTTCTTGACCTGTCCCTTGATTGAACTAAATCAAACAAGGAACAGGTCACTACGAGTTCGCTGTTGAAAGACACATCTATCAAAGATAAACAAAATATGTTGTCAATAGAAAACAACAATTTGGTGGCATCAGTTTAGTTAATTTGTTGTGTTCTTTTTTTAGTAAGTATGTTTTTCCTTGAAAAATCCTGCATCCGTACCTGGTAAAAAAAACTAACGGATTCTGTTAAAATCATGATAGTAGAGTAAATTGTACATTATTTAGTATTTTTAACTGCGATAAGTGAAAATATAATCTATAAATAGTACATCAATTGAAAAAAACAGTCTGAAAGAAACAGTCTGAAATAATTTATAAATTGTAAAATAAACAACGTTTCACGCTAGTATCTTCACACAAAAATATCTTATATGGATATAAGGAGATTTAGGGTATATACTTCAATGAGACAGCAATTCAACGACAAAAATGATAATTTTTGCTTACATGGTTTACTTCTAGAATGTTACAGTTTTAGTAGTATCTGTGGAAAGTATATCGTCCAGTCATTATCGTACATCAGAAATTTGAAGCAATTAAAACACTCATCAAAGTTACCAGGTATATTTGAGATGTTTGATATTTTTCATGTCGGGGCCTTTTATAGCCGATTATACGGTACGGGTTTTTCTCATTGTTGAAGGCCGTACTGTTGCCTTTAATTGCTTACATCCACTTCATTTGAACTTGGGTGGATAGTTGTCTCATTGGCAATCATACTACATCTCCTTATTTTTATATGTAATCCAGAACGCCAAACGAGCGTTTCGTCTACATAAGATTCATGAGTGCCGTTCGAATTAAATCAACCACGAAGTTAAAGAGCATTAAAAAGCGAAAATGCCGAAAAGTAGTGACAAATACGGCTAAGACATTCCATGTATGGAAAGACCTTAGTGTTTCAAATAATTCAACAGTTTATAAATAGTAAAATAACATGCCAAACAGTAAATGAAGTGCTGACTACTGGGCTGGTGATACTCTTGGTAACTGAACGTTGACCAGCAATGTCATCGACCCATCTTTAATTCCTTTTGAATGGTTGTAAAAAACTCACCCAAGATACATGTCTTGTGAAAATTAGGTATTATTAAAATAAATAATTTCCGACATGATAAATTGTTAAATGAGATAACTTAAACGCTCAAATATTCAGTAAAGTAACTTTATGTCTTAACATACAAATATGGTTACCTTTCTGTTCGGTTAGCGTACTATTGAAAATGCGTTTGAAACAGGAAGTGGTCGATCACGTAACCCCTAGTGTGGTCGATCACGTAACCCCTAGTGTAATTTTATTTGCATTGAATAACTGATGACTTTAGAAGGGTAGATATAAAGTAGGCAACATAACGGGTATGTGTAAGGCAGGATCACGTTACACCCGGCACAAAAATTACAGAACCAAAAACCAACGCTTTCAATCTTATTATCAATCTTCAAACATGCATAACTTTTATTGTACTTGTGAAGAATTCCATATGTAGAGTACAGCACAGTTCTGAAGATGTGAAATGCCAAGCACAACATAGACATGACGGACACGAAAGATGTTGATTCTATATGGATGAAGTGTTCTGATGATGGTAAAACAAAACCATGGTTTGTAATATCCGTAATTGGAGATACAACTAGTATTGTTCCCAGCACTTGGGAGAAATCAGGATTCCAGAGTAGTTTGATAGATACAGCTAAAGGAGCAAAAGGTAATTTACTGATAACGCTTCAATTTTTATATACAAAAGTCGTTTATTTTATTTCCTATAACATTTAATTTTTTTTTAACATGTTAGTTACCCCAAATAAAAAAGAAGAGGATGTTTATGATAAAGCTACATTTGGTAAAAAAATATAGGGAACACTCAACTTTCTTTTACAGTTCAGGGAAATATATGTATGTAATGAATGAAGGGGTTAAATGTGAAAGTGAATGCATTGCAATGTGCTGTAAACAATAGTTTTACAAAGTTTCAAATTTAACAAAAATCGAGATGGGCTGTTTACTGGTTTAACACTCTCATATGCACATACTTCAGAATGTTGGATCTTTCACAAAGGCGGAAAAGGAAAGCTGAGTGAGACTGTAAAGAAAGCAGTAGAGAATTATAGGGTGATGACAGGGCAGCGGATTCCTGATGATGATAGAACAAACAGAATGAAACATTTCGATATCTGGAAAAATGTAAACAGAGCCAATATCAAACTTATAGCTATTCAGTCCACTGAAAAACGACCGTCTGTGAGTATAATCCAAAACGAGAGAGATAATTAATGACTTTGTATAATGAAAACACGAGTATTATAAGTGTCAATGAAATCACGAGTATTATAAGTATCGAAAAATGATGACAGAGTATGAATGTGTGCATATAATGATTTGTAGCTATGCAGATGCAAACAAGTATGGTACATATTTTACTGACATAATTCTATGCATGATAACGCAGTTTTAGTTTTCAAATTCTATAACTCTATATATCTGATACCCTTTAAGTTTTTCCAACTCACATGTTGCTTTTGTCTTCATGGCATTCATATGTTTTCTTGTTAAAGTTTTTTTGGTACAATTCTTTACACCTTTTTGTAAACTGTATTTTCTTTTGAATTCAATATGTATGTCAAAATGCGTAATGGTTACAAATGCAAATGTAAATGACAATGTTAAATGTCTCATTACGATAACCGAGGGTGAAGAATTCTGTGAAAAATAAAGAATTCGACGTTAAGTGAACACAGCTAGATGTGTGTGCTCCAACGTTTGAGGGAATTACTTCAAGAAGAAGAAGTCTTACAATCCACTTCAGAAATACTTACTCGTAACCATTCCATACATTATCCAAGAAACGGTTCGGTTTAGTGTTGCCGTTCAAAATTTATATGCATTTCTGGAATTATATAGATATAGAAACCGATTTTAGTTCTTCAGTTATTAAAGAATTTTCAGCAATTTGGATGAGCTATAGATTAACAGAATGACCTACATTGACCTTCATTTCATTCCATCTTTTTTTCTCATTCGATGTTGGAGTATTATCATTCTCAAAATAAAGGCACAATTTTAAATTATTTTTTATTATGTTGAAGCACACTTTGTAAAGTTTGCAAGTTAATTGGTTCAATTTATACATAAATGAAATCCAATTCAGATAATATTTCTTTTTGAAACATTTCATTTGGTCACTTGAAATGTTTAGATATGGAATTGTTCAAAAATGTTAAAACATCTTTTCCTTCCAATTCCGAATGAATTTTGAAAAAAAATATAAATCGAATGCTTTTTGGGTGTTTTTAGGCATTTATGTATTTATAGCCCAGCATATTTAAGCAAAAGTTTTAAATCTGAGTTTTAAAATAAATCCTTAAAAGTTTGAATGCAGAAACATAGGCATGCATATGACCTTGTCCACTCTCAAGAGTAGGTAGTTAGATGGGGAAAGGGGGAAGCAAATCTTACCGATCCTGTTCAGGTTAACATATTATTATTTTAATGTGTGCATTTTATTTGAAAACAGATTTGGATGCGTGATATTACTTCTCTTTGACAACGATACGTGTGTATTGATTTCCAAATGTTAACTGAAAAATATTTCTTGCAGTCAAATTCCAGTATAGAAAGTGACAAATTCGACAAACATTTTGAGATAGCAGATGACAAATTTGCAGATGTTCATACGAACCTGCTAAAGAAAATTGGACATGAAAGGGTGAAAATTATGAAACTGCAAAAGGATCTCAGTAAATATTTAGTTTTAATCAATTCATCTTAGTGCTTTTTTGCTGTGCAAACCATTTTTTGTATGTCTTGGGTATACTATTTACGAACCTGTAATCTAAATTAATTAATGTTCACACAAGTTAAATTTGCTAATTAGATAGTAACCCATAGAAGATTAATTTACCTTAAACTATACAAATCAGCATTGTTCGTAAACCTGTCCATATTCAACTCTTCACGGTAAATTTTGTGGGAAGATATCGTCAGGTCTCTAACGGATTTCAACTCAAACCATGTACATCTAGCAAGTTATTTTTTTGGCACTTAGTAATCCTGATAGCAATCGAATGTGATAAATAGACCAGTTTGTCGGAGAAGAGGCTATATAAAGATTAGAAATATGCAAACAATAGCGTTACAACTTGGCTTTGAATTAGATTAATTATTAAATGACCCTATAGTGTTCAAAATTATACAGTCCTGTCTCTATTTATTATTCTTTAATTTCTCCATATCACTCTTTGCTTCCTTTGAACTGCGTTGGATAGAAAACGACCTTATGCAAGTGCATGTATACATGTATTAGACTTTGATTGATTTTGGAACATTCAAATACTAGAAAAGAAGACGAATGTTCGTCTGTTTTGAAGGGTTCTTATAACAACTCTATTTTCAAACAGTTACCTACTTTGCATAGAGATTTTTTCAAACCGAAATGGGTTAACAGATGTGTTGATATTCATTTGCATAAGGTTGATTTCTATTTGACACTGCTCCTTTATATATCTGATATCCTTTGTATGTACATATTGATGTTTTCGGTCGAAGAGCTTATTGATATATAAATGTTATTATTTGTTAGATTTACGAGTTATGAATTTATGAGTTTTGAATATCACCATGGTTTCTTTCTCCTCTACTATACTCCGTATCATCTCTAATTTGTTAATTTTCACCACATTTGTGTTCTTCAATGCTTCGACGTTTAGCAAAGAATTCCGCAAAAATCGGAACTAGGTTGTTTGGATACCTCCAGGTTTTATTTTAGTTGGTATATTCAAAATGGTTTTATTAGTTTTGAAAATCAGTAAACTTCTGCTACCTCTTACTTATTGGATATGAGGGTTTTGCGATTTGTTTGTTTATTCCACATTGGCTAGAGGTATAGGGGAGGGTTGATCGCTCACTAAACATGTTTAACCCCGCTGCATTTTTTCACATGTCCCAACTCAGGAACCTCTAGCTTTTGTTGGTCTTGTGTTTTTTTTTCAATTTTGGCTCATTCGTATGTTTGGAAGTTTAGTGAGGCGTCCATTTCGTTGAACTAGTATATACTATTGTTTATGGGCCAGCTGATGCCCGCCTTCAGGTGCGGGATTTTCTTGCTGCGTTGAAGACCCATAGGTGACATTGGGTTGTTTTCTGCTATGTGGTCGGTTATTGTCTCTTTGAAACATGCATCCCCTTTTTCATTCTCTATTCTATTGTTCCATATTGAAGGCGTCACCGTGACTTTGAGATGAGGAACAACAATAACAGTACTGTTCCTTTGCTTTTAGCTTTGTCAAGTGCATGTAGGCATTTCGTGCAATGAATTTATTCACTGTTTCACATTTTTTCAATATTAATACAATTTACATCCTCCTTTTAACATGACTGTGATTTAATGCAGCTATCAGGATCCCAGTGATAGTGATTGTAGCAGAGGGAGATATAAAGACAATCAGACATGTAGATCAGATCCTGCAACAAGGAATACCGGTAGTTATAATAAAAGGTTCTGGAAAGGCTGCAGATGTTATATCAGAGTATCTTATATACGGGTAAATATTTACTGTGTGTCAGATTTTATATACAAAATTACCATAATGTTTTCCTCGCTTTTATCGTCACACTTTCATGGAACATTATGGTGAAAGGACAAAGAACAAAAATGTTTATGTCTATTTGAAAAATAAAAAAAAAGGTCAGTTGACAACCATATCTATTTAACATATGTTTTTTTAGAAATGATTAAACAAAAATTTCTTTTTTAACTAAAACATTTTTCGTCATTACAGTTGAATTGTGGTCAAATTCCAAAAAGCATGCATATATTTGATATTAGCATTAGGTTGACTGACCCGCCTGAATTTGTTGGATCAAATTCAACACTTATCCGTTGCATTATCTTGCCGAAATGTCTCGCTTTGGTTATTCATTTTTTAGTTTTAACTGCAGGGATTAATTTACTGTCAATTAAACATTTCACGACCGTCTTTGGAATACCAAGTCTTATAATTCGATACACGTATAGCCTTCCGCATTTAATTTAATTGTAATGTTAGCTCTGAAAGACCCAAATCAATGTCATCTTGCTTCTAAATGTGTACAGAATACCGCCATTTTCTTAATACATTGTTACATATGGCCATTTCTTTGTATACCCGTTAAGTATTTTAAACAGTATGTTTTATATTCGAATTTGGTGAAATGTTAAAGTATTTGATTTTTGAATCTGAACAATTAATTTTCTTTTGATATAGTGTTCAAGATACATTTGAAAATTTGCACTAATTTGATGTTTGACCGTTTTCAGTGAGGATGTATTAAAGAGTACAGCACCACTTTTGCTCGGTACATACACACATCAAGATGATCTCATGAATATTGAGTTATTGATGAAGAGTATTCAACGTCAAAGTCATATGGTAAATAAATTATATTTAAAGTTATTCTGTAGACCATCAATGTCTGCCATACCTAGACAAAGGTAAACTACTTTCGCCTTGGTATATCGATGTGAGCAAATGTCTAAAAATATATGTATTTACAAATATGTACGGTTTATTAACAGTCTTTACTTTTCTTTAACCAGACATTATTTTCTAATGTTCAATAACTGACTGTGTTTACAGGCCTTATTTTATCCTGTGGATAAGCAAAGATTTAAACCTTGAAAGTTTTAAGCGGCAGCATTACCTTAATTATCAAGAGACTGTTTTGTTTTTATTCGAAAGGGCAACATGTTTTATGCTTGAATTGTGAAACAATGTAGAAAAGCATTACATTTATATTCAATTATTCTATTCTATATTATTTTAATTTCAGATATCTATATTTGACGTTAAAGATCCAACGCAACGTTCTTTATCAGACACTACTACAGATGCAATTTTACGAACATGGTCTATAGGGACAACAAACAATAGTCTACCGAACACACCAAGTCCAATAAACATAGATTCCATTAAACAGACAGGAAACAGATCCAGAATTCAAAATGAAAAATACCCTATACCAAACTTGAAAGAAATCGCAAGTAATTGTCGACCTTTTGTATCATTAATCATTTACAATGGAAAGACATTTTAATGACGAATGTGCGGCCCTATGTTTCAATGCAAAGTTCGACAGTCTCAAAAAAACCCAATCATATGAAAATAGAAAAGATGTGGTATGATTGCCAATCAGACAACTCTCCACCAAAGACAAAATGACGTAGGAGTTAGCAGCTATAGATCACCATAAGGCATTCAACTAGTAGCTAACCCATAGAAAGCTATAAAAAAAACCGAAATGACAAATGTAAAATAATTGAAACGAGAAAACTAACGGCCTGGTTTATAAAAAAAAACAATAAAAGTAAAACAAATATGATACACAGCAACAAACGACAACCGCTGAATCACAGACTCCTGACTTGGGACAGGCACATACAGAATGTTGCGGTGTTTAAAATGTTTGCAGGCTCCCAACGCTCCCCTAACACGAAACAGTGGTATATCATCACAACAAAAGAACGAACTATAAAAATCAGTTGAAAGGGCTTAACCCACAAGACATATACAAAGCACAAAAACAACTAACAAAACCACTAAAGACACAAAGTAAAATAAGAATACCTACATATTTCTAAACAAATTGAATGCAAGCATGACCACCCCTCCCCCTAAACAAAGCAAACAAAACAAACAGAACAAATACAAATCAAGACAAACCCTGAGACAGTCCTTCTGCAGGTAACTAGAACCAATAAAATCGTTACTAAATATTTATTTTCTTATAATTTTACAGATTTTGAGGAAACTGAACCAGATAGTTCGACAGAAAAATCGAAGAGAAGGTCAAATTTTCTTACACCTATGGTGAATAATCGGGACACAGACTGTCCGGTACCATTAGCCGAAGAACTTGCAACCCCTTCTTTTTCCAGATCAAAAACACTAAACCCAGTTGGAGTAAAGACATGGTTAAACCCATCATCATTTCCGTTATATTTTTTCATTGCATATCAACTTATTCAGCTGAAATTTAAGGAAGACGAAAAAATGTGTCGTGAGGTGAATATTAGTTTCATACCTAAGACATCATTTTAAATGATCCGTATGATATCAATTTCTGAGCGCATGACACTTTTTTTTCTGAAATACTATTGGTTAAATTCACTACTGTCTAAATGAGTGGAGAGCCTTAAATATACATGTAAAACGTTTGAGAGCATATACACGTAGGAGTCTGATCTGCCTCAGGTCCACTTTGCCTTGCAGAATTTTGGTAAAGTTAGCTATAAATTTACAAACAAATTGATCATCACATTTAAATCATGCCAGTACCAAATCAATGACAAATATGCAGATTGTAACCTCAGTGATTGATAGTGCGGTAACAAAGCAAGAAGCAGAAAAAACCCTCATGATACCGATTGATATTGTTTATGTTACCTTATATATATATAAAAACAACAAATAAAAAAAATTGGTTCGAAAATAACAGGTAAAATGTATCAAATCGGAAAAGTTAGAACGACCGAGAACAATGAAAAGCTATTGGAAAGGTATACGAAACAATGTGAATAGAATAAAAACCCCAAAGCTATGGCAACGGTTTTGGGTTAGAAAAGAACCAGAACCAACAAGCGACAACGACTTTTTGTCTGATGACTTAGCCGGTATTGAGTCAGATTCGTCAGAGTCTAAGTCGATAAAAAGACACAAATAACGCACGAAATATATCTGCAATAACTGATAATTGCGACAATAAAACCTTTCTAGTGAGATCATTTTGATTTTGTCTAAGTTGAATAAAGGTGACCATCACTAAATTGTTGATTTGATAGTGTTTGTTATATCTAAAGGTAACCTCTGCAATGGACATAAACTCTATAGGAATTGTTAAAACAATTATTTTGTTATGGTGCTGTAATTTTTGTTTCCTTTAATAAAAGTACCATAATGATGAAAGTATTTATACCTATCTGCATTTCAATTAAATGTATCAGGTTTAGTTAACAATACGTTTGAAATAGTGTATTTTTTTGGCAGTTTTAGAATAACACATATATAATTTAACGTTACATATTTTCAAATTTGACTTTATATTTAAGAGAAAACCTACTTGACAAGTACCTATACTTTTCATTTCAGAATTTAACCTACCTCTTAGAGAAAGCCATCGAAGCAGACAAATTAGACTACGTTACTGTCTTACTTCAAGAACACGATGTTCAGTTTGATACAAGATGCTTCCCACATCTCTACGAGGAGGTATTATTTGTGTTTGTAATACGTCTGCCTTAAAAACTTCTTTCACTCCTTTATCGAGACAAGATAGGAAAATTAATGAAACTTCTGATATTCGTATTTAAAATAGTGTCAATATATGATGTGCGTGTAAGGTTTTACCACATTATAACAAGTACATGTAAAATTAAATTGAGCCTTATAAATTGTTGACAAAGACAGTATTACAGAAATACAGAACCCAAAGCATACTAATTTTGAATCTTTATATGAAACCATTTTAATTTAGTGCAAAACTGCACAAACTGCAAATACTGATTTTGATATGATTAGATATGAGCCAAGGCTTTACCCTAAAATATAAAGGTGTCAATGTATGTATAATACAGTTTTTGGTAAAGCCTTGGCTAATGTCTAGTTTGTACAAAAACATTGTGTAAAATGGCAATTTTTAGTCAAATATGACAATTTCAACATTAGTATGAAGTCTTGGTGACATCACAAGTGACTTTTCTGCACTAAGTGTGCCTGATTATAGTTACTTGTTTATTTATCATTAAATGTACACAACTTTGAAAGTCTTGAATAATTTCACTATTCTTAAATTACTGGAGCCAAATCGTTGCTTCTTTCATACCTCCTCCTTTGGTGCGTCCAAAGAGTATTTCTGAATTATCCTTCATCATCATATTTGAAATAGAACTTATTTTGAACAGCGTGCGTATGTGATTAATATTATGTGATAAACACATGCGCCCGAAAATGATATCATACGTTTTTTTAGAGTACATAATATCAGAACTCTGCATTTCTAAAACCAACTTTGTATTAAAAGTGTAACTTTTATTTATTTTGTCACCGAACTCATATGGCATTCATCATTATTATTTTGTAGACAGTAAAATGCAAACTTTGTGAACACGACTGTCAGCATCTTTACTCCGTGATTAAGGTAAATTGAGACATATCTTTGATTGTTAAAGCTAGCAAATTCTATTGTTATTTTGTGAATGTTCAGTTTTTTTTTTATTGTATTTCCTGAAAAAAAACCAACATATTTGTAGCCAGCATTCATATGGAAATTAATTGTGCCTCTTCTTTTCGACTTGTTTTTTTTTTATTCATATGAGACAGACACCATTCAGGAGCTTCATAGGAAGAACGAAAAGAAGCTAGAAATATCCGTTAACTTCATGTTTCTCTATATAGATGATGTCATCTCACTTAATAATCCAAAGTTTGGTGACTATGTTGAACGTGTCTATTCTAGTATCGAAATTGAAATAAAAGATACCACAGGCACCACATGTACAGTTAAGTCTGCCTCATATCTTGACTTACATCTAGAAATTGACAACGAGGGTCGGTTGAGAATAAAACTTTACGACGAAAGGGATGATTTCAGCTTCCCAACAGTGCAATTTTCATTTATAGCAGCATGAAGTATGTATCTTGTAATTGTACGATATTCTTGAGTTTGCATTTCCTTGATTTTCTTGAAAGAGGGTTGCTGCTCACAAGGAAGCTATTGAACCAAGGGTTCCAAGTGGTAAAGTTGAAGTCATCCCTTCGAAAGTTTTACGGACACCATCACGGTGTGTGCAACCGTTATGGAATATCTGTGTCACAGATGACTACGGATATTTTTCAATTGTCTTTACTACAATCCTGTGCTCTTTTCTTTGATTATGACATCACCGAATAAACTAATCACCGGATTTGTACTTGCATTAAAGTGCCACATGTGGATCAGGCACTGCTTCCCTTTTCGGTACACAGGATTTACCCACGATTTTTGTTGGGGTTTGTGTTGCTCTATCTTTAGTGTTCTATGTATTTGTTTGTGGATTTGTCCTTTCGACGTTTTTCGATTTTTGCCATGGCGTTGTTACTTTGATTTCGACTTATGAGTTTCAAATGTCCCAATGGTAATTTCTGTCTCTTTCTTATTTTTTGCAGTTTTTTTCTCTTGTTAATCTGAACAACAGAGCAGATACATAAGCAAATTCTATTTTGATTGTGCATCAATTTGTAAATTGGCTATCAGAAATGGAACTTGTGTATCAATGTTAAAAAGAATAATTACTATTTCGGTGGGATGTAAAACACTTTAAACTTTCCTCCTCTAGATGAAAGGTGGATCAAAGATGCTTTTTGATGAACATGATGAATATGACGACGATAATGGTTCTTTGTGCATAGAAGCTGCTCGAGGGATTTGTGCAACATTTCTTCATTATCCAAGAGGTAAAATATACATATCGTTAATAATCATATTTGGGACGTCTATCATTGTAGTTAATAGATGAATGAGACAAATTTGCATATACAAATATTCACAAAAAATGTAAATGTTTAAATTGAATCTAAAAAAATTGTGATGCAGTAGTTTCCGAAATTCATGTTTTCTGCTGTTTTTTTTATTACAACAGCATGAAAGGGAAACATGTGAAAAAAAATAACGTTAACATAACAACAACAAAAAGAAACCAATAATCCTTCATATATGGGATTGTCAAATTAACTTTATAACAGATATTCATTGACTGATGGCAACAAGTATCCGAATTTTCAAGAAGTCTTTCTTTCTTTCGTTTTTTTTTTGTATTTTCGCTCTTCGGTAATAGTTGGCATATAAACATAATATGTTAATAAACCCGTAAATATTAACATTATTCTAAACTAGATTTGATGGCCTTTCATTGTTAATTATTTATGTTTATTCCATGTTAATCAATTATCCTGTTTATTTTAATTTCAGTCCATGGGGTGTATAAACAAGCAATTTTCCATGATTTATTGATATGGTCATTATTTGCACATAGACCAAAATTGGCGACAATGTTCTGGAGAGCATGTGATGATCAGCTATGTATGTTTATAAAGGTTAAAGATTGTCATGTATGGATGAAATATTTAGAAAATGAACCTTTCTAATGTATAAAAATAAACTCATCATAGATACCAGGATTGAAATTTGGTATTTGCACCAGACGCGCGTTTCGTCTACAAAAGATTCATCAGTGACGTTCGAATCAAAAAAAGTTAAAAAGGCCAAATAAAGTATGAAGTTGGAGAGTAAAAATACAATGAAAACTCCTTGTCCTCGTATCGGTCTTTGAATACAAAAGCCTACTTAAATATCAGATGAAAGATCTTAATATACATTTTATGGCCAGTATCTGAACTTTGTATAACTCGTCCTGAACATGAATGAAATATTTGCAACTGGACATTAAGCAACCAACAATCAATTAATCAATTGTATAACTCGGTTTTGTTTTCATGAATGGAACAGCGTATTATAATCTTTATTAATAAAAATTCAAGAATCAATCAGCAATATCTAACTCTATGAAACGTCTTGTCTCTTCAATGTATCTTAGTACAAAAGTTTATTCAATTTTTGAAAGAGAGAATACAAAACATTGGGCAACAGATAAAGTCAATGTAATGACTCGCATCACTGTGTTAATTTAAAAAAATCCTAGCTAAAATACAAAAAGCAGCTTCTGAAAACTTACGTACCTCCATTTTTTGCTTTTGTTACGACAACCAGTTGTCAATATCTGATTAAGATCAAGATACAGAAGGAAAATATACATTGCATTTAACACCAGCATTCTTGATTTTTTAATGATTCTGGACAATATAAACATCTAACTTGCATGTGTTGTCTCATACCAATTGCTTAACCCCATGATTCAACCTAAACCACGTGAAACAAAATATTAGTACATTAGTCATAAGTAACCTACAACTGGATCGTTTCCATATTTCCGTAGACTTTGTTTTGGCAGAAAGAGCCGAATACCGGAATATAAGAGTAATTCAGTATGTAGCCATCATATATATTGTCTAAAATACCAGCAGATGAGTATGAATTACCATCATAAGTAAGCATTCAGGGTATGAACTCAATATACGCGTATAAATTTACAGCTTTGGTTTGGATAAAGAAAGGCAACAGTAGTATACCGCTGTTCGAAACTCATAAATCGATAGAGATAAAAACAAATCCGGGTTACAAACTAAAACTGAGGGAAAAGCATCAAATATTTGTTATTTGTCAGTTGTTATACCCCTGAATTTGTGAATTTTGAATTAAAATCATGGCTGTTTTATTTCTAGTTCTCGCTTTTGTGCTCCCTTAAACGTTTTATTATTTGCTTTCCAAACTTAATGTTACTAGTATCTGAAATATGAGTTTATTTAAGGAATGCATATTGTTAACGACCCCATCTATATTTACAATTGGTTTTTTTAAATTTGCTTTGTTATAAATGATGCTGAAAATCAAATAACAAATTTTGCATTGCAGTGACATCTCTGTTAGCAACTGGTATCTTGAAGAAAATGGCGTCCAGCGCAAAGGAAAACGCAGACCAGTCTGTCTTTGAGGATCTAATGGAACATGCAAGGCACTTCCTTTGTATTTTTATATTTTAGAAAGCTGACATGAAAATGAAAAATATTATAAACTACATAGGTTTTAATACAAGTTAAAATATATAAAACTAACCCCGCTAAAAAAATAATAAAAAAAAGAACATCAAAATTCGGTAATCGATGCGACCTATAAGAAGGCAGTATTTGCAAATAACTCTTCAGTCTGTCTATTCCAAAATATTCCAATTATCTTGTCAAATATTGATTTTGGTGTATATCTTGAGAAACTATATTTTATAACACGTCTGCATCATCCACAACAACTTTTATTTAATCAAATTTGAAGCTAATATTGATATATCAAAAACTTGTTCTTTTTCACTATTAAACGTGTTTAAAAAGATCGTGCTGCTCTTATTCAAACTCAATCTGTTGTTTTAAGTAACTATAATTACATATTAATAACAATAATTTCAGAGCATTTGAACGTCGATCCTTGGAGATGCAGTCCACTTTGTACAAAGATCATCCAAAGGAAGCTATGGAATTGATGACCACAGAGGTCAGTGTCTGGGATATCCATATCAGCCCTCTGCAGTGTGCGTATGACAACGATCTATATGACTTTATAGCTCACCCGTGTGCACAAAGATGTCTGAATAACATATGGTATAACAAACTGGGCACTAATTTCTGGGCCTCGATAAAGGTAAACACTTGTATAATTTGCTGTTATAAAATTTTGGAAATCATTTTAAATTGTAGAATTATCTCCCTCATGCATAGTTCTGATCCTTGGCACCAAGCATCATTGAACGGGCGTTTATTGTTGAAATGCGAATCTGGTGAAGTATAATGGGTACCGTTAATGTTATTACTACAACTGGGTCGATCTCTCTATTTTTCTGAATTTGGTTTTTGGTTTGATTAGCACTTCATCGTTTGTATAAGTTTATGTTTATTCAATTATTTTCTCTTAAACGATTTATGACTTTTGTACAGCGGTATACTACTGTTGTCTTTATTTATCGTTTTATTGGGCAGTTAGACTTTTTAAAGAATCATTTGCTTGTCTTTTTCACAAGATCAAGAGAGAATATTTAAGGATTATTCGATAAGAATAACGCATTTTAAGTATGTTTATAGCCCAAACATCTATTTTAAATTTTTTTTTATAATAGATTGTAGAAGAAGATATTATAGACCACTATACGGTCCTATATTTAGATAAACAAAAAGAATCCTAATTTTTTTTCAAATTACATGCGTCAAATGTTCAGAATCTGTCTGTCAGGCATCCATATTGATAATTTTATTTGTCTAACATTTTTGTCTTTTGACTTATTTTTTTTCTATTGAGACAAGACCAGAAAGCTGGAAAACTACAAAAAAATCTTGACCCCTCATTAGTTCCTTGAATTCAATCTGAAGACAAAGGTATCATCAGTTTAAATTGCATTTGTCAAAGAAAACAACACTTCATAATTTTGGAGCGTTAGAAGCGCTTATCTTGATTTACTTTCATCAGGAATATTAAAAAATAAAACGAAAGGCAAGAATATATAAGTAACTGAATACGACAGGAGCAACATGGCATAAAGCGACATAAAAAGAATAGCCAAATACTTCTATTAAGGTCAACTTTGCCTGGATGAGTTTCCTAATAATTTCTAAACTAATCAATATTTTTACAAGCCGTTCATCCATCAGAAATCAGTATTCACATTTTTGAATTTAGTCTAACTTATTTGCTTTTTGACTAAAAAATATGTTTTTTTTATGACTAAATTGAAAAACTGCAAAAACGCATCATTTTGTGATCTTGGTATCCATATTATGATATAAGCATGAGACTTATACAGAAAGATTCAGATACCTGATGCCTTTTACAAAGAAAATTATATTGGGTTAAACAACGTTTTCGCATATGCCAATTTCGACATGTTTATGTCATTATAGTAGTGTTATAATTCACATTGGTTCAACAAAACTGCCATACCATATATCATCGTTTTAAATAATCAATAAAATAAACATATTTAATAGTCTTTTTACGTTACTTATTTACGCATGTATGTAATATTTCAAATGTGTATATTCAGGGTATATAAAAATACTATTTGTCAAATAAAGGCAACAGTAGTATACCGCTGTTCAAAGTGTTATGAACATATTTATAAAAAAAGTAAGAAGATGCCAATGAGGCAATCAAAATATAGAATAAAAATACATAACACCGAAGTCATAAGCACACAATACCATAAAGATGTAGCAACACAAACCCCACTCAAAACACACGTAAATTCAGGGACCTTTTCATTAATGACACAGGGTTTAACAATTAAGTCAGTATGGATATATAAAACAACTGATTTGATGATTTTCATTTTACTCAATAACACGCTTTGTTTAGTACCTTTCTGTATGCATTTTTGTAGAATGTTTTAGATGCATACATGAATAGTTGTCTACATGTCCAGAATGTTGTAAAATTAGATGAATGATTATTAACTTTTGAAAAGCAACAACAACCGATTGCACCTATTTATATTTATTAAACTTTTATAAACATGTTTCCTTCAAACTGTTACCAATTTCTATGGTTTTAGAAAGGATTTAGATGGAGAAAAATTGGCGGGAAATTAGCAATCTGCAGATTCCTGGCAGCTCCATTCACAAAGTTTGTAATAAATTATGTAAGTAGCAAAGTACTAAAAATACTTTTATATTGAATATTGTACTAATCTCTCTCCCCGAATAAAGGAGAGAAAATAAACCTTAATAGATAAAACAGTTGAACTGACATAAATAAAGTCATGACGTATTAAGAATATAAATTATAGAAAATCAGCCAAGTGATAAAAAAGGAATTATTACTGCAAATACACATAAAATGTTTTCAATAATGAGTTTAAAAAGTATATAAAAGTTTCATTTATTTATTTTCAATTAAAGTACCTCAGTACCTACCTAGTATGTTGCTTTATGACTTTTTACTAAGATTTGTGTACCATGCATGCTTCTCTATTTTAATGTTATGCTAAATAAAAATACTTCATTTTAGTTTTTCTGAATTTAACATATCGTATTTATTAAAAACTAAGTCAGGAAACGCTGCTGATGAAAATAGCATATCAACGTCATAGAAACTTAATATTCTGTGAATTCATTTGATAAGGGACTTTCCGACTTGAATTTCCCTTGGAGTTTGGTATTTTTGTTTGTTACTTTCTACAAATACAATTTTACTGTATAGAACGGATAATCCTTAGATGTTTTTCTCAATTCAGTAATGTTAATTGTTGATATTCGCATTTAAAATTTTAAAGAACATTTTACTCCTAACAACAACTATAATAGCCCTGTTTATAATATTAAACATAAGCTAAAAAACTCGGCAAGGAATTGTTTTTGTCCCGGCTGATCAGGCTGCTAATGATATCATTATTGTCTATGTTGTGTTTTGTGCACTGTTGTTTGTCTATTTGTCTGTTTGTCTTCTTTTTTAGCCATTGCGTTGTCAGTTTATTTTCGACTTATATGTTTGAATGTTTCTTTGTTATCTTTCGCCTCTCCTTTACAAGCAGAACCGAATAACATGAAAAATCCAACTAAGTACTGTCTTCTGAAGCTTAGCAATAAAGGCAATATGGAGCAATGGATTAAACACGAGAAAGAAGACGTAGATACTCTTTTCGAATGGATTAAGGCTGTGAGGTCGTTGATACAAATCAGAATTGAAAATACTGAATGGGTCTATGAATACCTGTGCTACATCAATCTTTAAAGACCCAAATGTTGCAAAATAACGGTCCTACCTGCATGACAAATATGTTATTGACCCTGCAAAACACCTTACAAATATAGATTTATTTCGGATTCAAGCCCTTGTTCCACTACTTAACTGTCTAATCTACTTACTAGTACACTTGGTACAATCAAAAACTTATAAATTTTTCGAATAAGGTCTACAAAATAGTAGAATTTATGACTTTTAAAGGTTAAAAAATTCGTTGGAAGAATTTGATAAATTGCTTGCTCATATTGGTGATTTCGGATCTGTTCAAAGTTCTGATTTTTTACCCTATAAGCTACTTCAAAAATACTGATGCGTTCAGTCGAGGATTATGCCAGGTAATGGATTAAACCCGAGAAAGAAGTCGTAGATACTCTTTTCGAAAGGATTAAGGCTGTGAGGTTGTTGATAAAAATCAGATAAAAAAAACTGAATGGGTCTATGAATACCTGTGCTACATCAATCTTTAAAGACCCAAATGTTGCAAAACAACTGTCGTACCTGCATGACAAATATGTTGTTGTCCCGCAGATAAAACCCAAAACAACATCGTTTTTGTGTGTAATTCATATTAAATAAATTGCTTGATAAATGAATTAGGTATTGAAAATTCACTTAGAAACTCAACATATACCCCCACGACACTTACCAAGGAGGAAATCCTGGATAATCATAGGTCTATTCTATGTTCCTTTGGAATTTCAATCAAAGATGCCGAAATGGATCTTCCTTAGGTATTGGATACCTAAACTACATAAGTGTCCATACAATTAAAATTATATTGCTGGGTCTTCCAAGTGCTCCACAAAATCTGTTTATAATTTATTAACATCATTTTTTATCAGCAATAAAAGACGAGCTTCAAAAATATTGTGAAACTAACTATTCTAGAATGTGGCGTGAATCAGATGTGGATACTAAAAAAAATCCAAAGATATTTTAGAGTACATACAATCTAAGACTATTTCATCTTGCAATAGTATTAAAACATTTGACTTTTCTACACTTTACACAAGTATTTCCCATTCCAAACTTAAAGACAAATTCCCATTCCAATTCCTCATATGAGGCTGAATTCATACAGGAACTTCTAAAGAAAAAAAAAGTGAGCAGTATCCTTTAACTTCCACTTTCCGCTATATAGATAATGTTCTTTCACGAAATAATCCACAATTTGGTGACTGTTGAATTCATCTATGCCATTGAACTTGAGATAAAGGATACAACAGATAAAGTTAAGTCTTCCTCATATCTTGACTTACATCTAGAAATTGGCAATGATGGTCGGTTGAAACCAAAACTTTACGATAAAATAGATGATTTCAGCTTCCCAATTGTGAACTTTCCATTTCTATGTAGCAACAGTCCAGCAGCGCCTCCATACGGAGTATATACCTCCCAGTTGATACGATATTCCAGGCCTTTTGGTACCTATCATGATTGTTTGATAGAGGATTGCTGCTCTCAAGAAAGCTATTTAACCAAGAGTTCCAAGTGGTGAAATTGAAATCGTTCCTTCGTAAATTTTACCGACGCTATCACGAGTTGGTTGACCGTTATGGAATATCCGTTTCACAGATGACTAGGGCACCACATGTACAGTTAAGTCTGCCTCATATCTTGACTTACATCTAGAAATTGACAACGAGGGTCGGTTGAGAATAAAACTTTACGACAAAAGGGATGATTTCAGCTTCCCAATTGTGCAATTTTCATTTATAGCAGCATTCCAACAGCGCCTACATATGGAGTATGTATCTTGTAGTTGTACGATATTCTTGAGTTTCCATTTCCTTGATTTTCTTGAAAGAGGGTTGCTGCTCTCAAGAAAGCTATTTAACCAAGAGTTCCAAGTGGTGAAGTTGAAATCGTTCCTTCGTAAATTTTACCGACGCCATCACGAGTTGGTTGACCGTTATGGAATATCCGTTTCACAGATGACAACGGATATATTCCAATTGTCGTATCTACAATGCCGTCCCCTTTTCCACGAATGTAACCCAAACTCACTGGGTTTGTACTAACACGAGAAACACGACGGGTGCGACATGTGGAGCAGGATCTGCTTACCCTTCTGGAGCACCTGAGATCACCCCAAGTTTTTGATTGGGTTTGTGTTGTTCAGTCTTTAGTTTTCTATGTTGTGTTTTGTGTACTGTTGTATGTCTGTTTGTTTTTTTTCTTTTTTTTTGGCCATGGCGTTGTCAGTTTATTTTCGACTTATGAGTTTGAATGTCCCTTTGGTATCCTTCGCCTCTCTTTTACCTCGTAGTCTCATTGAGAAAAAAACCACATGACTTATTAAAAGGGAATTAAAAAAGTCAGAATGTGAATATATATGTTCAAACTCATTTTAAGTAACAACAAACAAAAGAAATATGTCAATTGGATCAGCTTTGATAACAGCACTTGATATTTTACTTGATAACATTTTTGTTCGCTTTGGAGATTCGGGATTTCACCAAGTTATCGGAATTCCAATGGTGACTCACTGTACCATTTATTGCGGACCTGTTCCGATATTGCTACGAATCACAATTTATGTCTAAAACCAGCAAAGTTCCATCGAACAACATCTGATACAAAAATTTAATAACTCTTTTAGATATCAGTATGTACACTAAAGGCATTTGTCCTTGTGAAATTACTTAAAATACAGCTAATACTAACAATGAACACTGCCCTTTTTCTGTATCTTGATATCTATATCTCTAACGGGAAGCTAAATACTAAAATTTACGAAGTTGCGATCAAAGAGATGATTTTTCATTTCCTATTGTAAATTATCCGATTTTAGATGGTGATGTTCCCTTGGCCCATCGTATGGTGTTTTATCTCAACTTTTTCAATATTATCGTGTATAAATCTCTGTATTACTGAAATATTAGTACACCAGTTTTTGATATCACAAACTTTTTACTTAATTTTATCATCGCTACAAGGACATCATTCGTAAATATGAAAGAACGTGTAGACATCTTATACGTTCGGGTATTTAACATCCCATCTTTTATCGTATTACACAGCACAAAAATGTCGTCTTTTACCTCAAAAGCTAACCAAACCTGTAAACAGATTTATTCAGAAAAAAGCAAAATAACAAAAATACCGAACCCCGAGGAAAACCCAAAACGGAAAGTCCCCAAGCAAACGGCAAAATCAAAAGCTCAAACACACCTAACGAATGGATAACAACTGTCACAATCCTGACCCGGCACAGGCATTCTCCAACGCAGAAAATTGTGGACCAAACCTGGTTCCATAGCCAGCTAAACCTCTCACCTGTTTGATAGTCGCATAAAATTCTACTATATTCAGAAGAGATATAGTTACGATACGGTTGTCAAGTCATTAAAGATGGCATTTTTTGGGTAAAAATTGATTCACTCATAAGATCTTTGCATAAAAAGTTAAATAACAAAAAAATACCGAACTCCAAATAAAATTCAAAACGCAAACTCCCTTGTCATATTCCCGACTTGGTACAGGCATTTCCTTATGTAGAAAATGGCGAATTAAACCTGTTTATTTTAAGCTAGCTAAACTTCTCACCTGTATTGTAATAGCATAACATGCTATATTGATAACAATGTGTGAACAAATTTAAACAACAGACATAAAAAATGGGGATACATCAGTCAACATTGTATTATAATCTTAATCACTATAAAAACAAACAACTATGTCAAGAACAAAAATTGACATATAGACCCTCAAAGCACATAAGCAAAAATGAAAGACAAGAATACAAAATATGACCATAGCACAATAATACAATGGAGGATGTATAAATACCGAGCCATGCCAAAAGGATATTACCAAAAATGTACTTAACAGTAAACGTTAACTATAAACAAAGGCAAATAATAATACGTAATTAAGATGATAAACAACGTCAGTACCTAGAACCTATACTTCAGGACCATCATGTATTTATGTGAAGTTGATACGGAACATTTATCAACAAGGTCTTGGTATCTTCCAATGAACTTTTTTAGAAAAAAGGACGAGACTTTCTTTGATATAACCCTGGTTCATCAACTTCTCTGCTCAGACACTGGTGACTTTTTATCAAGACTATTAGCAGCTGAAAGCTCTTGGATACCGAATGAGTGAGGAAATGTATATTTCATATTCAAGTGAAGTTGGTATATTGCTGCTAAGGTGGGGGGAAATTGATAATTTCAAAATTAAAATCGTCTCGTTGTCATAGATTTTGATACTGAGATGGGCGCTTATGTCAAATTCGAAGTATAAGTCTAAAAATGAGGAAGCAGTGTCTGTTGTTTTATTTCATTTCCAGTTCTGGAGGATAAATAAACACATTTATTCTAAAATCAGTTGTTGGCATGATACGGGTTATATTCTCCTCGTAAAATATATGATGGCAGGATACTAAACACCTAACGGGAGGGATATCGATTTTGGTTGATTTTCACATGACGAAAACATAATCTTGCAACCAGTAGTCCTTTGCTAATTTATGTTGATCATTGTTATTTTGTTTAGTTTCTTCTGTTACCTATTCTTACATCGGCTTCCTTTTTGTTTAAACTGAGTTTTACTCTGCGTAATGCTTTGTGTTTGTTTATTCCACATTGTCTGTAGGAATAGGGGGAGGGTTGAGATCTTTTCTGGCTGCGTTGAAAACCCATTGGTGGCTTTGGCATATTTTCTGCTCTTTGGTCGGGTTGTTGTCTCTTTGACACATTCCCCGTTTCAATTCTCTATTATACATTACTATCAGATATATTTACGCTTTGTATAAGCTTCAAATTTAAATCTGACGAAACTAATTTTTACGGTAACATTTGTTGTATTATGTTTATTGTTTACATTTATTATTTTCTAGATTTCACATTTTCATGTGATTGTTCCTTTTAAGTAGACCCTAACCTTACGACACCTACACTGAACAGAATAAAATAAAATATAAATCCTCATTTTGTTAAGCAAGTAGGTTGATTTATTTGTGAGTTTGCAACCATTAAAGGTATCAAAATCTCACAAACATACGAAAATTCAAGATTTATACCCCCCTTAAAAAGAAAAGATACAAAAATCCGCATACAATCAAAGCAAAAAAGACAAAACATTACACTAAATAATTCGATGCTGTTGAAATCAAAAACTTGCGTGTTTTTAAGATATGTTTATTCATATTAAATCAAAATGTTTGGAATGCGTTATATTTTACTTTCAGATGATTTTTCTGGCAGCTCTTGTCATATATAGCGCTTTTCTGCTAACGTCTATAAAAAGATACGAAGAAATAACTTGGTATGAAGAGTTTGTTTACGTCTGGATGTTTGCAGATATAATTGAGGAGTATGTGGTAAGGTCTATTGAAAGAGGCCTTTTAGCAACATATGTACTTAACTTGATAGCATATTAATACGTTCATCGGCCAAATTTTTATAATGAATGTGTGGTTTCTTGTTTTCAGTTGAAGAAGGACCTCAAAATTTTGCTTTTGTTTACTGCAATTGCCATTGTAATATCACGAAAAAAGATGATCATGCCTTGTGATGGTAGAGAAATAAAACATATTCTGCAGTTCACTTTGACACACTTCAGATTATATTTACACATCAGAAGAGCTATAGTTTCTATCACTGCATCTTCAGCTTGCATGACGACATTTTTCTATTCTTGACAAATAAAGGATAAAATATCTAACTGTGCGGAAATGTATTACACCCGTCTGCATTGATCAATGTTTAAATATGATACAAGTTTTCCTTTCCTAGTTGCCCAGATGCATGAAAGAGAAGATGGCCATGACTTTAAAAACAATGTCACACATATGAACACATTTTTGCAGCACTGATTTTACCTACACTATCTTAAACATGCATTACCGAAAGAGTTTCATCCACAGCATTTTATTTTACATCATAAATCAAGGTCACATATCTAGTTTTGAAGATATATGTCGAACTTGATGCAGTGGATGTGATTTAGTTATTTTGTCCATTTGATCGCGAAATTTCGAAGATATCAAAAAATTAAAATAACAAAAAATACCGAACTCAAAGGAAAATTTAAAACGGAAAGTCCTTTATCAAATGGCAAAATCAAAGGCTCAAACACATCAAACGAATGGAAAACAACTGTCATATTCCTGACTTGGAACAGGCATTTCCTTATGTAGAAAATCGTGGATTAAACCTGGTTGTATAGCTAGCTAAATGAAAAGGATAAAAAAAATGGTTAAAATTATAAAAGATCATAAGTCATATACAGACAGAAATACCATCGACGAAAAGGCGTAAAGTAAAAAAAAAGATTTACTAAAATACTAAAACTGAGTGTGACTCTCGAAGGGTGAACAATGATGCTTTGTAGGCGATAATCATGGATATGAATGGTGCAAATTTAGTTAACATAATGACGATAAGATAGGTAAGGTAGAAAGATGCATGGAATGAAAACATAAAGTATTTTTCTTTACCAAGCAGCAATAACTGTTTTATATGTGTATAGGTTCCAAAAGTGATGGGACGAGATGCCAATACAGATAATTGGTACAGATTTGGGAGATACATAGGCGATTTTTGGAACGTTTTGGATACAATATCATACATAACAACATTTATAGCCATTGGATTGCGTTTCATTGATCTTAAGTGGGCAAGACGTATATACAGTTTCAGCTTGTTCATGGTCTACATGCGGTTTCTTCATTTCGTCCTCATTTATAGGAAAGTTGGAGTCTATGTAATTTTGATCAAAGAAATGGTATGTCAATGTAATATTTATATATGTACGTTTAAAATAAAATAAAGGTTTCATGAATTTTAACATTATTCAAAAACATTAGTAAAAAAGTAAATGTAGTTCGCATGTCACTTACCGATTAGTAGAAATCAAAACAGATTCGAGTTAAAGTGAAATGTGCACCACTTCATACTTTATAAAGATGTTTTGACAACATTTGATCTCTAAGTTTTGTGCACTTTATTTAATAAGATCACCATACATACACACTACTTTAGATTAGTGAGATACATATGACCTATTTGAATCATTTCCAATTTCCAGATGAGAGACTTGGCTCGCTTTTTCGTCATCTTGATCGTGTTTATGGTGGCAGTTGGCGTAATGTACCATGCAAATATGTACCCAAACCATCCTGACATGTGGTCATCACATGGAGTTGATCACTGGAGAATATGGAGGATATTGAACCTTCCTTATTGGCAATTATATGGAGAAATATTATTAGATACATTGCAAGGTAACGTTGAAAATAAGCTGTGAAAATAACAAAAAATATCATAACGTATGAACTATTGGCAATACTAAATAATGTTTACGAAATCAAATAGGGAAAAAACCCATTTTAATCCAAGAAACGGTATTGGATGAAATATTTCTCAAGATTATAAAACTCGCTGACTCTTATGTGTTATCTTACTGACTATGGCATTATGTATTTTCATAATTCAGAATAAAAATCAGAACAGTAAATTGATTATTTGAATACATATTATGTATGCATACTTTTATAAATACTACTATCATTCGATTTCAAACCAAACCTACATACGTTACCGATGTTCGAGTTTGAAGCAATTTCAATTTCAACCCCTTTAAAACGATCAGATTTGTTCATGGTTCCTAGGTTTAGCTAGCTATAAAACCAGGTTTAATCCACCATTTTCTACATAAAGAAATGCCTGTACCAAGTCAGGAATATGACAGTTGTTTTCCATTCGTTTGATTTGTTTGAGCTTTTGATTTTGCCCTTTGATAAGGGACTTTCCAATTTGAATTTTCCTTTGAGTTCGGTATTTTTGTTATTTTACTTTTTATGTATCCCCACACATTTATCGTTAACTGTCCTATGCATATTGTTAACAGTAATTTTCATTTTAAACACTGAAAAAAATCTAGTGGTTCAAGTATAGCAATTCCATACAGTAATCCATTATGCATATGCAACATCTGCTCAATCTTCAACTATAGGCAAAATGTATATTTTCATTCAATTTTACGTATTTCATAAACCCTACAGGTGTCAGACCACCAATTACTCCCTGAAATTTAGAACGTACGTAAAAGTAGTCCTACTCTGACACAAAATAGTGCTTTTGATGTCCTTGTTTACTTAAACTAACCAACAAAGTTGCAGAAATGAAACTTTTGATGAAAGAGAAATATATTTAGATCATTTTGAGCCAAAATTTACTGGTTTATGAGTTTGCATTAAAAATTCAGGATTAATGCGCTCCATAGTATACTAATTTGAGATTTCCAGAAAACCAGGAGTTATTTTGGTAGTTCCTGTATTTCCAAGATCAGATTTTTCTTATATGATTTTAAACATGTAGAAAGGTGATACATGTACAATTCAGGATATACCTGGTTTCTATGAAGTTAAACTAAAGGTAAAATATTTAGAAAGCTGTGAAAATTGCAAAATTTGGTTGAACAGAGAGGGACTTTTAATTGGAAGTCTGACACCTTTAAAGCGAAAAGCGGTGAAACCCCAAAAATCAGAAAACAATTGATGTTTTTGCCTTAATTGATTTGTAATGATAGAAACCACATTTCAATCTTTTTTTTTGGCAAAAAGTCACATATTGCAAATTTAGAGCCTTAAACCTCACTTTGTGCTATTTTTAGCTTTTCCCACCCTGACAATATGCTTTCATATAAAAAATTGTCCTAAATTATTATGAATGCACAGTAAGTTGTTTCTATGGTATTAAACATTAAAACATAGGTTGTTTACTGTCCAAAAAAGAGTGTCATCATGAAGATTTAATGAAATTATTTTATTTTTACCCTTTATATCATTGCGTCATACCATGTATTTGGCAGATAACATAGCCTAATGTAAACACTGCATAAACTCACCACAATCCCATTTATTGTCTCAAATGAAAGTTTTCTATCGTACATTTTATTGACTGATAGTAAATAAAAACAGTTTAATGACCATAACTGCACTTTTGATCAATTAATAGTCCCATTTCTGACACCTGGTGAACAAAGGGGGGTCAATATTCCTTGACTCTTCAATACCTTGGATTTTTTTACTAAACTCATTGTAAAATTGTGGAAAGTCTTTAAAGCAATAGTAAAAACAAGGAAAATCAACCAAAACTGATCTTGATATTGAAAGTTTATGTTCCTGTAGTCCAAAATGAAATTATCAAGTATTTTCTATTAAAGTCATACATTACAATCAGTTTGAATTGAGCTGTGAATTTTGTAATATAAGTCGCATTTTGCTCAGATAGATTATTTTTTTCTACAAATTGATCAAATATTAAGAATAAATCAAAACAAAAGATTTCTGATCAATTTTTCTTGCTCTTTAGGTGTCAGACCACCAATTACTCCCTGAAATTTAGAACGTATGTAAAAGTAGTCCTACTCTGACACAAAATAGTGCTTTTGATGTCCTTGTTTACTTAAACTAACCAACAAATTTGCAGAAATGAAACTTTTGATGAAAGAGAAATATATTTAGATCATTTTGAGCCGAAATTTACTGGTCTATGAGTTTGCATTAAAAAATCAGGATTAATGCGCTCCATAGTATACTAATTTAAGATTTCCAGAAAACCAGGAGTTATTTTGGTAGTACCTGTATTTCCAAGATCAGATTTTTCTTATATGATTTTAAACATGGGTTGAAAATTGGCATGTAGAAAGGTGATACATGTACAATTCAGGATATACCTGGTTTCTATGAAGTGAAACTTAAGGTAAAATATTTAGAAAGTTGTGAAAATTGCAAAATTTGGTTGAACAGATAGGGATTTTTAATTGGTAGTCTGACACCTACAGCTGGGATTAAAAGGTAGATTTGCATTCATGACAATGAATTTTCTCCCTCTATCTCATGTCTGTCATGCAAAAGATTACTTAAATAGAGTCAATGAGTGATCTGTAGTGTTACGAAAAGCTTCTGTTTGCTTTTTAAAACAAATCTGTAAATTCTTAATAAAAGATAATGTTTGGAAAAAGGGTTAATTCAGATTCCTTTTTTGTCAGATTGTACAAAAGTTTGGAATGATATGTCCAATAGCATTCTAATTTCAATGTCATGGGATTTTGAGTACATCTCGACTAATGAGTTTCGTGGTATCTACCGCCCCTTTTTTATGCCCCATCTACGATAGTAGAGGAGCATTATGTTTTCGGTCTGTGCGTCCGTTCGTTTGTCCGTCCGTCTATCCCGCTTCAGGTTAAAGTTTTTGGTCAAGGTAGTTTTTGATGAAGTTGAAGTCCAATCAACTTGAAACTTAGTACACATGTTCCCTATGATATGATCTTTCTAATTTTAATGCCAAATTAGAGTTTTGATCCCAATTTCACGGTCCACTGAACATACAAAATGATAGTGCGAGTGGGGCATCCGTGTACTATGGACACATTCTTGTTCTTAGTGTGTGCATACAAATATATCTTTAGCGCATCTGCATTGAAATGTTATACACCTTTACTGTGATCGTTTGCTTTGTTTTTGTTTTAACGTAGATGAAGTTAATACCACGTCGTGTTCAAAAGACGTATCAGACTATGAATATAACACGAACATAGAAGAATGTGTTGAATCTGATTGGATAATTTTAGTTATTGCTGCCTTCTACATGTTGTTATCAAACTTGTTATTAGTCAATCTTGTGATTGCTTTGTTCAGGTAAAGAATTCAGTTAAACATAATACAAAGTGTGATGTCTCTTCAAAAGAGTTACAGTAAATGAAAAGACTTCAAAGTAAACGCTCAAAATATAGCATTTTACCCAGATATGCCCAACTCAAGCTTATCATAATAGAAATTATAACATTAATAGCATCACTACCAAAACACGAAAAGAACGTATCCACGAATGTTCAATCATGTTTAAATGAAATAATATTGATGTGGATAGTTTATTCTATCAAAGCAAAGCTGTTTTATGCACACTAAACATTCCTACTTGGTATCCACTAGATCAACGTTAAGGAATGCAAATATGCATAAATGCAATTAGGGATCAATAATCAAAATGAGCATTTATACAGGCTGCTAATGTATAACCGTAGAAACTAAAATGCAATAAGAAGATTTTGTTAATCAAATCTGTATATTTGACAGGATTCAACAAAAATAATAAATTCAGAAAATATGAACAGCCAAAGATATATATATCATGAGAAGAAGCCAGTGAATGCTTCGATACTGACATAATTCATAACATACTTTCCTTTAATTTTCCTATGATAAATAAATAAATTATTTTTAAAAAATGAGGTTCCAACTCCTGAAGCAAATTTAACCTTAAGTGGATTTGGCTATTCTTTGTAGGTCCTTTCTGATCCTAATGAAGGTAAATCTAGAAAAACGGTTTGTTTGCATCAAATTTATATAGTGTAATTTTCATATATTTATAATCAGATGGTTAACTAAAATATAATTGTGAAATATATGACATATAACATGCATATGGTTTGAAGTTTTATAAAAGGACAATGTTCAAGATGTTTATTTTCAAAAAGTAAAAATCAACTACTAAAATCGTCAATATAATTTTAATATTTTCATTTTATAATCTTCAGTCTTGTCGTTTATCTATATATAAATTTTCATATTTTTCATATTTTTCATATTTTGTTACAGTGCACGTTTTGAGAAAGTCAGATCAAATTCAGAGAAAATCTGGCGGTATATACGATATTCTTACATAATGGATTACAAAATAAGACTCCCAGCGGGGTTGAATCTTGTCCTCCGACCTCTGATGGCGTTTCTATGGATCTGTGACAAATGTAGGAACAATAAAGGTAGTATGTAAAATTATTCATTAAACGTTTAATTATAAATATAAGTTACGATATCATATTGACAGTTATTATTTAAGGTTTCAGTGATTTTGATTTCTGAAATGTTTTTATTCAACATTTTTCTACTGAAACGGTATAAAAAAAACAAATTGAAAACTGTTAGAATTGGGTTCGGTGTTTTTACCAGTTAACAAAGTAACCAACAATATTTTGATTGATTGACGTAAGAAATATAGCAAGATATTAAAAATGATGAAACACATCCTGGTATTTATTTCCTTCTGCATTGCAAATGAAGAAAAGATCGTGGATAAACATTGGTACCTCAACGTTAGTTTTTTTTTCGTTCCTTTCAAGTACGTTATTAAATTTAATAAAATTATCATTTTAACCGTTTAAAAGTGCAACTATAACGATCATTAGCATTTTGTTATTAAAGTTTGTTTTGTTTTGGAGATAATGTACACCACCAACTGGTTGATAGTCCGATTGGGACTAAGTTAGTTCCTCTTCTCGTAGATATGTTTTATAAATGTAAACGAGGAACCACATACATGTTTCAGTGTTTAAGTAAGTTTTATTTTAAAGTTTAAAGTTTAGTTTTTTAATGTTTTGTACTGTTCATTACTTACGTTTTGGAATACAATAAAATATTTATTCTAAAGATACAGCATGAAGTTACAAAAACAGAATAAGATTACTTGTATAAAAAAGTATATACTATATATAACTTTTGTAATGTAAGTTTATAATTTTTATATTATATCGACTGTTTTTATAACCTATACTAGAGAAAACGTAAAACACTCAGTCTCATTTGATAAATTCATAATCATTGGTCATTAGTTGATAATCTTTTTTATAGGAAATATGACGTATCTTTGTGTTAGAATATGTTTATTATGTTTCTTGCAGTTGATGATGAATCGAACAAACACAAGCAAGAAGTGAAGCATGCAGCATTGGAACATATAAGAACATTACAGTCTATGTGCGTTGAACGATGTATATAGGCCATTTCTTCTTCTGTGGTTTTGATATCAGGACATTTTTTTAGTACTTTAGATCAAGGATTTGGGAATTGGATATTAATGTGAAATTGAAAGTTTTAAGTTAGTGTCCATCTATATATGCATAGGTGTTATATTTTACACTAAGAAAGTGTTGATCTTAGCTATTGACAATATTATTTCAAATCAATAGTTCGGACAGAAGTTTTCTCTTAACGATTAAAACCATTTTAATGTCAGCAAAGTACTATTCCAAAAAAAAAAATACAATAATATAACTAGAGGCTCTTAAGAGCCTGTGTCGCTCACCTTGGTCTATGTGCATATTAAACAAAGGACACAGATGGATTCATGACAAAATTGTGTTTTGGTGATGGTGATGTGTTTGTAGATCTTACTTTATTGAACATTCTTGCTGCTTACAATTATCTCTTTCTATAATGAACTTGGCCCAGTAGTTACAGTGGAAAATATTTTGTAAAAATTTACAAAAATTTACAAAATTTATGAAAATTGTAAAAAATTGACTATAAAGGGCAATAACTCCTTAAGGGGTCAATTGACAATTTTGGTCATGTTGACTTATTTGTAGATCTTACTTTGCTGTACATTATTGCTGTTTACAGTTTATCTCTATCTATAATAATATTCAAGATAATAACCAAAAGCTGCAAAATTTTCTTAAAATTACCAATTCAGGGGCAGCAACCCACGTAGTGTTGCCTGATTGGTCTGAAAACTTCAGGGCAGATAGATCTTGACCTAATGAACAATTTTATCTTGTCAGATTTGCTCTAAATGCTTTGGTTTCAGAGATATAAGCCAAAATCTACATTTTACCCCTATGTTCTATTTTTAGCCATGGCGGCCATCTTGGTTGGTTGGCCGGATCACCGGACACATTTTTTAAACTAGATACCCAATGATGATTGTGGCCAAGTTTGGTCAAATTTGGCCCAGTAGTTTCAGAGGAGAAGATTTTTGTAAAAGATTACAAAAATTTACGAAAAATGGTTAAAAATTGACTATAAAGGGCAATAACTCCTTTGGTCAAGTTGACTTATTTGTAAGATCTTACTTTGCTTAACATTATTGCTGTTTACAGTTTATCTCTATCTATAATAATATTCAAGATAATAACCAAAAACGGCAAAATTTCCTTAAAATTACCCATTCAGGGCAGCAACCCAACAACGGGTTGTCAGATTCATCTGAAAATTTCAGGGCAGATAGATCTTGACCTGATAAACAATTTTACCCCAATGTCAGATTTGCTCTAAATGCTTTGGTTTCAGAGATATAAGCCAAAATCTACATTTTACCCCTATGTTCAATTTTTAGCCATGGCGGCCATCTTGGTTGGTTGGCCGGGTCACCGGACACATTTTTTAAACTAGATACCCCAATGATGATTGTGGCCAAGTTTGGTCAAATTTGGCCCAGTAGTTTCAGAGGAGAAGATTTTTGTAAAAGTTTACGGACGACGGACGCAGGATGCAGGACGACGGACGACGGACGCCAAGTGATGAGAAAAGCTCACTTGGCCCTTTGGGCCAGGTGAGCTAAAAATGAAAGATATATGAAATACATTTATTTCTTTTATTGAAAATAATGATTACTTTGATTTGATTTGTTATGTTACATTATAATTATGAATTTGTTTACCTATTAAAAAGTAAAATAACAAAAATACCGAGGAAAATATCGGAAAGTACCTTATAAACTGGCAAAATCAAAAGCTCAAACACATCAAACGAATGGAAAACAACTGACTTGGTACAGGTTTTTTTTAGCTAGCTAAATCTCTCACTTGTATGACAGTCGCATAAAATTCCATTATATTGACAACAATGTGTCAACAAAACAAACAGAATTTCATATGTGTTGCAGTTGTCTATCTATAATGTTCATGTGATGTCATATATTTAGAATGACAGTTACATCATACATGTATCTATTTTACTATTACTATTATTAATGTTATTTCACCAAGGTAATATATCAGTTGTGCGATTTACTCTGGTTAAAATAAACTAATATGAATGAACGCATGTGGTAAATGAATTTTTGAGAACGTAAATGAAATAAATCTCTGGAATAAAGTTAAGTTGACATAATATGTTTATGTGATAACTGAGTGGGTTTATTATTTTTGCATTGAAATATTATATGGGTCGGGATTTTCAGAAACAAATCGAAATATGAAGGGGGTGTCAAATCAATGGTGTACGTGTGTACCAAAAATACGTTGTAACCTTACCTTTCAGAACAATGATCAACAATTATACATATAAAAAAAGTAAAATAACAACAAAAATACAGAACTCCAAGGAAAATTCAAATCGGAAAGTCCTTTATCAAATGGCAAAATCAAAAGCTATAACACATCAAACGAATGGAAACTGCCTTATTCCTGACTTGGTACAGGCATTTCTTTATGTAGAAAATGGTGGATTAAATCTGGTTTAATAGCTAGCTTAACCCCTTACTTGTATGACAGTCGCATAAAATTCCATTATATTGACAACAATGTGTGAACAAAACAAACAGACATAATAGGTAAAAATGCCAAACATATACAGTACCTCAATGTTTCTTACTTTATTTGGCCTTTTAACTTTTTTTATTCGAGCGTCAATGATAATTCTTTTGTGGACGAAACGCGAGGCTTGCGTACAAAATTATAAGGCCGGTATTTTTTATGAATGTTTTTTTATACATTTGCCCGTCCCAAGTCGTGAACCTTGTCAGCATAAATTGAAGATTGTATTTTCGGAAAATGCCTGTACCAAATGAGGAATATGACAGTTGGTTGCCATTCCTTCCGTTTGGTTGATATAGTATAACAGTTGATTTTGTCAGTTTTTATGGACTTCTCCCTTTTTGAATTTACCTTGTTTGGTTTTTTTGTTAATACTTTTTGCTATATATATGTCATTTGGTTATTTTCTGTCTCATTTGCGTATACCAGACATTTCCGTTAATTCATAAATATGTAGAACTTAAACTTTCAAGTCAAACTGTATCATATAAAACAATATAGAACCAAAGCACTGGCTACTGGACTGACCCAGCTGATTTAAGAAATGTTTGGTCACGATTTCTGTGTGAATGACACGTGATTCTAGAATACTACAAATAATTATTTTGAAGTGGTATGTCTATGTAGTGAAAAACTGAAATTCAATCATTTGATTAAACTCTTTTTTTAAATTCTTCAACAACCCTCGGATGAATTCTATTTTGAACGAATATTATAATATATCGTCACATTTCCCTGTCCACATGGTTGTACATAACCGGTCGTGTAGATGCAGTGAATGGTGCGTTGTTAAATTAGAGGCAACAGTAATTCAATGTTCAAACCTAATTAATTGAAGACACAAATCTTGGTAAAAAAAAATTAGGGACTCGAATGAACTCCAAGGATTTTTTAGTTATGACATTTAAAGGGCATATGTTTCGAATAAAATTGATAACATGGCTTTTGATACTGGGAAATCAGTGAACAGTGTTACCAATTGTTGTTACTTCTTGTATGTTAACAAGCCTGAAACCTCTGTAAACTTGTGCATGTTCCATAGTTTGCAGGGAAAATAATTGCTAGATACATTTTACTATCTTTATGCAATTTGTATTACAATTAAAGATGAATGAGATAATAAAACTAAAAAATTTAAGAAAAAGATAATTTTATAAAATTCTGTGTGCATTTTTTTTAAGTGAATTCCAATAGAAAATTCATTTCAAGTTGATTTCAGATGTAGTTTGTATATAAATTCAAGACTGTTTTTATTTTTCAATCAGATTAGGTCATTTTTGAGTCTTCAGTAGTGTTCTATATGACCACATTTGATGATTGTCCTTCCTGCACATTTCAAAGCCTATATTATAACCATGTAATGTTAGACAGTATCCTGTACGTGTATGTATTATTTCGCCATTCTGAAAAGTAAAATCTTAACAAATAATTTATTTTTATCATATGAAGTCTTCGCTACAAGACAAAGCAATTATACGATAATGGCTTTTAATTCATTATTTAATCATTTAAACTGTCTGTCAATTTTGATTTTCGTTCATTTGTTTTGTCATAAATTAGGCCGTTTATTTTTTAATATTTGTCTTTAAATAGTTTCACATTGTGTCATGTCGGGGCAGTTTGTAGCCTACTATACAGTATGACTTTTGCTCATTGTTGAAATGGTGACCTACAGTTGCTCAAATCCACTTCTTCTTGACACTGTTGAATGTTGTCTCTCCGGTAATCATAAGACATCTCCTTATTTTATATAGCTGGTAAAAAATCATGAATTTGTCATTGTGAAACAATTTATTTATTCTGCTTGGCAATTGTTCTATGTAAAATTAGTCCTGTATTTGCTATGTATAATATACTCATGTTGTGTTTGGTACCATCTAATTAATTGTGTAACACTAAAATTACATTGCCTAGATAATTATATAACTTTTCATTTACAGTTTTCTTCGAGTAAATGTAGATATCTTTTTTAGATTAGGTTTTGCAAGTAAAGAGATTCAGTACGCCAGAAATGCGTCTCGGCTACTCAAGACTCATCACTAAAAGCCATATAATATAATCTTGACATAGCAATATTAGTAAGATACAGGAAATGATAATAAAAGTTTTAATAATAACTTTGCTTTGTGGAAAGTTTTATATCGACAATAAAAATTTAATATACCTATATAATTCAACCCTACCTTAGTATAGTTAAATGTATCTTGTGGTTGTTCATAACAATTCTGTATATATGGAACTAGGTCAAACACTTCATTCTTTACAAACACACATTGTAGGTTAGTTCTTAATCGGCCATCTGTGGTCAATCCAAAAAACTTTAAAATACAATAAAATACTACTTTTCTGCTTTGTATCAATGATGAGTTGAGCCCTTTTCAAGTGATTTTTATAGTTTGTTCATATGTTGTGCTGTTACACCACTGTCCCAGATTAGGGAAAGGGTGGGGCGCCCGCATACATGTTTAGCCCCGCCATATTTTGCATGTTCCTGTCTCAAGTCAGGAGCCTGTAATTCAGTGGTTGTCGTTTGTTGTTGAATATCATATTTGTTTTTCGTTCGTTGTTTTGTACATAAATCAGGCCGTTAGTTTTCTCGGTAGATTTGTTTTATATTTGTCATTTCGGGACCTATTGTAGCTGACTATGCGGTATGGGTTTTGCTCATTGCTGAAGGCAAAACGGTGACCTATAATTGTTAACTTCTACTATTTGGTCTCTAGTTGAGTGCAGTCTCATTGGTAAATAAATTATACCACACTAGGGTTGTAACACAGTACATGATGTATAGTGGCAAATAGAGATGGGGTACCTTTCAGATCAGAAATAGATATCAAGGGGTCCATAAAAAGACAAACAAGGACGAACAACAAACAACACCTTGGTCAAAAGAAAAAAGACCAACACAATAATAATAAACGACAATGACTGAAAATATAGCAATACGTACCCTACAAAAACTGAGAGCAAACGAAGGATCTCCTACAATTTCTGCTCAAAATATGGCATCCGTCGTGGTGCCTATCGGGCGTATACAGTGAAACAATCTTTGTACACATAATTCTTCTCCGAAAAATATCGATGAAAATTCAAAACTACATGTGTTCATGGGGTTAATAATTATAATACTAATACAGTAACACCACAGTCAGAGCAGTATATAACCTTCCATTGTATGATACAGTGAGTCGGCGATTAGAAATGAATACTTTGAACAATGTCAAGAATTATCGTTACACTATTCATGCTATTCTTGTTACGGTTAGGATCATTTATACTTAATGTTGAAGAAAAAGAACAATTATTAGCAGTACTAGTAACAATTACGTGATGCAGTTATGTTGAATTAAATGTTAACGAACTAATTGAATAGTTTAAACTATGATATAACGAGATGTACCGCCATTACGGAAGAATGTCTGGATAAAATTCATAATGCAACTTCTTAATTCAAATCATGTTATTGTTTAGTAGAAATTCTTATTGTTAAGAAGGAATATTATTTCCTTTAACTACACGGTTAAATCGCCATACCTGTGTCTTTGTATCATTAGAACATGACTTTACTGTTATTCTTAATGGACTAGAGAAAAGGTGACCTTGATTGTCTATGCATAATCCAGCTCCATTCGTACTCTATAAAAAACAAAAACAAACAGGAATTCATGTTTCCTTAAAAAAAGGGTCATGATAGCTAGACCTCTTCCCCACTGAAAACACTCCCAGAATGACAATTATGATGTTAGGCTAACTCATAATATTGTGCGAGTTTGATAAAAAATAGTGCCTCCATATTCACATATGATTGTTGACATTAGCGTAGAAAAGACAAATTCGAAAAAAATAAAATTGGATTCACATCAAATGAATTGGATAATCATTTGAATATAATTTGTTTGGGAAACAATTTTGTTCCTTCCCTTTAAATAATAATCAAATATTACTGGAAACGTGATAAGAGGAGGTCCCTGTGAACAACACAAAATAATCGTGCTTATGGAATTACGCTCTATTTTATCAATAGACATCATGCAAAATGTCAAACATATACAACTTAATTTGATAAGCAGTTTTGGTAGTTTTTTGTCATTTTTTTTTCTTTCTGAAATACATTCAGAGAATTCAAAGCTGATATGAAAAGATATTTAGAATTAATCATTTTGGATATCTGAAAAGGTCTTGTAATTATTTGAAGAACATAAATGATTAATTGATTTGTATCAGAATAACTGAAACCCTGACAAAAGTAGAATGAAGAATTGTTAATTAAAGAGACACTACCAGAAAAAAAACCCTGAAAATTCCGCTGGCTTCTCTTGTTTCATTTTTCAAGTATATATATATATATATATATAGTTAGGTTGTTCCTAGAATAAATGAACCACATAAAAATGAATGGTTACACAGTTATTTTTCTACAAATAAAGATGAGACGTTTACATACCATGAAAGTTCCAATAGATGAACTATTATCTTTATATTGAAATAGTTCAGGCCAAATATTGTCCAAAAACCAAGAGAAAGGTTTACAGCGTCTTCGTTGTCTCCACTGCTTACTTAGCCCACCGACTGATAAACTCTGTCATAAGCAAATAATTAATACTAATTAACTGTAAGCCAAAACAAACGCGTATGTCAAACAACTCTGTGAAAAAATAAGTTATACTAAGGAGCATGCTTGCAGTTTACAAAAGTTCGTACAACTTTCAAATATTTTCAAATAAAGAACTGTATCTCTCTCAAGCATTGCTCTGAGCTTACGGTCATAAAATTGTCCAGTGCGATTATCGTAGTCAAAACTTAGTAATCAACCAATTAGAATACTGGATTTGAGCATACATTTTGTACTCTCGAGTACTGAGTTTTATGACCGAAAGGCCTGATGAGACCTTGTCCAGATTTGGCTATCAATGTTTTGTCCTTTTCGGATATACTACATCTTTGACATTTGTATTTTTAGTGTTTTGGATTATAATTTTTTTTATCCTCAAGCATCACTGATGGGACATCAATTGTCGAAATGCGCATAAAAGCTGTTACGACCTGATGTAAATTTAAAAGAATTGAGAAAAAACTGCCATAAACTTTGTATGAAACAAATGAGGCACATTATGCTTTTTGCAAATCTACAGAAAAAAAGTGTGTGTTTTTTTTTTAATTTTCTGCTATTTATAGGAAAGAGTAAACTCAAATCCCTCTATTACTTGGTTTTCTGTTCAAGATATATGTGGACTAAGAACGTAATCTTAGATTGGAATTTCATAATGTGGAAATGTCTTAAATATTGCGCTCGAAAATTAACTTAGAACGTAAACATTTTCATAATGAAATTATTACCTTCATTCTTGGATAATTATCATAAACGTATGATGCAAAGTTATCCATCCAAACGTCGGCAACACGTTTGTAATTATGCATTTCAATATCCAATCTGTTGTTCTGTAAGTAAGGTTGGCTCCTTGTTATGTGACCAATCCGTGAACATGTAACATGAACCAATTTGCCTCCACATAACCACACCTATTATTATACGTAACAATGAATATTAGTTCTAGTTGATTATTTAAAAATTAGTATACCTTATTCAAATATAAAATGCGCCAAATGTAGTAAAAAATAATCAAAATAATGAAGAAAAAAAAAGAATTTCTATGACAATTTAAAGTCGTTTCTGAAGAAAAAAACAATGGCACATGCTAGATTCCCTTGGGAAAAAAACGTTTCTGAAATATTAGCTGACTCAAAAAATAAATGCCCGAACTGAAAAAACTTTAGTAAGCTTTTCACGAAAGTATTATTTATTCGTCAATATTCAAAGAAAGTTGTTTTTATTTTTTTCCTGAAGTCCGCATCATTTAACCCAGGGCATTTTCAGTTACAATCTTCATTGCTATTGAACAGCAATTTGTATATTTTTCTCCTTCATGACTATTTCCAATGTAAAACAAAGGTTAATAACAAAATAGGTAAAAGCGAATATATAGTTTTATTTGAATGCGCAAAAAAAAACGAGCATTGCAAATTATATTTGAACAAATACAACCTTGAATGACAATTCCAAGTTTTCACCGCCCCAGACCTTCAATCCAGCATCATACATTCCGATTTCTCTAAAGAATTCCTTCCGAATAGCAAAGGCTGACCCAACAGCTAAAACTCCTCTAAAATTGGTTATTATAACAAAACTTGATATTTGGTAACTACAATACATGTGTATCTGTTACAATATTTTTCAAATACAGAACATGTCATTAAATGAATGCCTTCTTTATATGTTTGAGTTTGATACTTTATAATTTGAAAAAAAAGTTTAACCGTTTTGAATGATGTTACTTGTGTTTTTTTACTCATAGTATACTAACGGATATGGTATAAATAAAATGGACACCCGGGGATCACCGCAAGTGAATTTTTGTCAGACATTTAGGGGCCAGCTGAGGACCACCTCCGGGTCCGGGATTTTCTCGTTGCGTTGAAGACCCATTGGTGGCCTTCGGCTGTTATTTGCTCTTTGGTCGGGTTGTTGTCTCTTTGACATATTCCCCATTTCCATTCTCAATTTTATTCTATGTATTCCTGACTTTTGTATGGGTGGATTTATATATCATATGTTTTTATGTCTTTGTAAATGGTTTGTATTAACATTGTTTATCGTGTCTTTTAAATGTATTAACCTTCATCTAAAAAACGGTTTTAAAAATGGTTTTAATGTCTTATGACACAATTGAAAGAAGGCACGTGCATTTGTAGTACTTAAGTTTTTTTTTATTTGTAAGAATATTTTAATGAAGAAAATTTATTTTTTTTGCAAAATCCAAATCTTATAATTTCAAATGAAAACATATTACTTATGTAAAAAAATTAATAAAGATGAAGAAGAGATTGCAAAATAAACACAATTAACACGCTATAGGTATATATTTGTTTTAATCAGGAAGCCTGTAAGATTATTTTGGTTGTAAAACGGTACAGACAAACCTTTACAAGCATCGTCGTTGCAATGACCACCCCCAAAATGTATCATGAAAAAGTTTCAAAAATTCACAAAACAGGCAGTGCAGTCATATTTTGTTTGTTTTACTTTTGCTATGAGACTTTAAATTTTGAAATTATTTCAACTTACGGAAGCACCAAATCTCCATGCTTAAGCTGTTCCTGTCGGAATTCTGTTTCAAAGAATCGAAGTCTCCAATCAAAGCCATATCTTGTTCTGTACGTTTTTGAAAATGTGTATTTGAATGTATTCGGATTAATGTCATCCAACTGACTCATAGCAACTGCATTTGGGTTCTCGTCTATTATATTTAGTAGTGGAATTGACCTTGACAAAGTATACATTTTGTATATTGAAGTAAGATTTGATAATCCCCGGTCCAAAGTATTTCAATTTAGCGCGAGAGTTTAATTTTGTTTTTTCGGGCAGATTCATCTGTGAAATTTAAAAGTGTGACATTATCCACATTATAATTAATTTAAAGCGAAATACAAATAAATGATCGATAAAGAATGAGCCAGTATTATTTTGGGGTAATTTTGCAGAAATACCCTCATCTACGTCATCATTCCCGAGTTGTATGACACATGAAATAGCCCAAACTTTAAGAGTAAGTTCCTAGCCATGGTAATGTTCTTGTCTTTGTCTTTTAAAGCTCTCTCGTCTTTTAGGCGAAGTTTTCTGGAATTTCCAGTTAAATCTCTAGACACATAGGATCTTGAAGCAAGTCTTTAACACCAAAAACGTTTTTTGATATTGTTAGGAAAATGAGACAGTCGTTTTGCATAAACTGTACCCGTTGACTGTGTTTCCTCTTATGCTTAAACAACGGTTACATTATAAAAGTATAATATTAAACTTTTTTTCAGAATTATTAACATGCGCATAATTGCAAAATATTTACCAGTTTATGTTAACTTCCATGTGACTGTCCAGAAAACAAATCACGTGACCAGTCACATGTTTAACACCTTCTAGTCGGGCACCAATCAAACCAAACCTTCTATGCAGTGAAACAACCTTTACGACATCACGGAATGTTTTCCTAATGTGATTCAATATATCTCTATAGCCTGTTTCTGAAAAAATAAAAACAATTTTAGCATTTGTTTTAGTACTTACGAAAAGCAAAAGAAATTGTTCGTGTTTCTGATTTCAATATGTTTGATATGCATGCAGGAAATTTGCTTTTTTATAAAGAATGTTTTGAGCAATAAAATACTGGGTTTTAGCACTGAACTTTCTTTGAAACGTTTAATTGTGAATCATAATGCTTTCTTGCATGTTTATAGAGAGTGTTTTAGTTGCGATCAATACTGAAAAGAATATCAACAATAAGACAAATATCACAAGTCGTTTTGTGTCCGTCCAGGAGTCTTTTTACATTCTCTTCAGATGCTAAGTGATCCCTTTTATTTAAACAGTCTCCATTCGGTCTTTTATAATTTCATTTACCTGTTCTCTTTATCTTTTTTTTTTAAACTAAAATATTCATACCAATCTGCCTTTATTTGTTTTTGTTGGGTTTGTTTAATAATTGTTGTTTTATAGTTCAACTTTGTTGATAATATCCATTATCTGTGTTCCTTCTTTTCATAGTTTAGGTTAAATTCTAACAACAAGGATGACAACCAAAACTATTTTTTCAACATTGTCTGGAAGCATTAATAGTGAATTGTTAATTCATGAGAAAGGTCGAACATCGGTTTAATCATCTAACTGCTGACTACAGTCACCTCTAGAACTTACTCTGGCCTCAGCTGGTACTTACAATCAAACATCAGTTGTATCAAATACCTTTTTGGAATTTATATGTATAAGTTATTTTTTCTGCGAAAAGCGTTTTCAGGAGTACATGATGCAAAAATTCGGAAAGCTAACTTACTTTAAGATATGAAATATCCAATTGGTAATATAAACTTTAAGAAAGGCACATGGATGAAAAAGGGTATTTTAATCATCGACTAGAAAATATGTGGTAAAGTTGTATCTTCGAAAGAAGCTTTAAAAGTTACACAAGATTGAACAGGATATACATAAGCAGCAGAAAACAGATATTAGGGAAAGATACAGATTTTAAGTCTTTGTTACATGTAAGAAAATGAAATAGTTTTACCGTCATTGCCATCATCCACCAGTATGATTTGTTGTAGATTCTGAGTCCTGTAGACCACACTGTAGACAATTCGGAGTAATATCGACGGCCATTCTCTGTAAAACTTACCATCATTGCCGTCATCCACCAGTATAATTTGTTGTAGATTCTGAGTCCTGTAGACCACAGTGTAGACAGTTCGGAGTAATATGAACGGCCATTCTCTGTAAAACTTACCGCCATTGCCGTCATCCACCAGTATAATTTGTTGTAGATTCTGAGTTCTGTAGACCACACTGTAGACAGTTCGGAGTAATATCGACGGCCATTCTCTGTAAAACTTACCGTCATTGCCGTCATCAACCAGTATAATTTGTTGTAGATTCTGAGTTCTGTAGACCACACTGTAGACAGTTCGGAGTAATATCGACGGCCATTCTCTGTAGAACGTTATGATTATACTGACTGTTAGCTGGCTTGCTCCAGGGTTTCTGCAGCTGAAATTAATACAATACGTCACAGACTTGGACAAATGTATGTTCCATGTCTGTGAAACAGATCTACAAATCCTTGAGTAAAAATATTATGATTAAAATCTTATTAGTGCTCATTGAAGTGTTTAAAACTTTTGCATGTCTACATGTATGACATATTACTACAATAACTTGTGTAAAAGATTATTTATATTTCAAATCAAAGTATTCATTAAGGCTGATACATGTACATGTACAACATATAAAGTTGTTTGCAGGTATGAGCCCTAATCTCAATGTTAATAGTACTGACTGCAACATATAATAAAGAACAAATTAATATTTCATTTTCTTGAATAGATTTCTTGGATTTCCAGTCTATTCTTGACATATTGTATAGCTTTTTTGGTGAATTTGGTCTAGGCATTCATTCATCTTTGAAATCCGTAATGGGACCTATCATATTATGTTTTTAATAAACTTCTATTGTTATGTTGCTATCTCACTAATTGAACCCTCCCCAAGCATTAATTAACTATTATTTATATCCCAAGATGGTTCCCATTAATTTCTACATTACATACTAAAAGTTGTAAATAAACGCATAGCAAAATTGAATTATCATATGATAAGAAGAAATATATTAAATAGGGAATGTCTATATCGATCTACATTTATTGTTCACAGCTTAAGGTTCATCTAATATACCTTAGTAAAAAATGGCCGTGTTTTCATCACAAAACTAAGTAGGCAAAGATGTTTGAAAAGTTCCCCATGTAATAATTGTAGTAAACTGTACTAATTGAAATTGACAAATTGTGAATGGACCGTATTTTTTGGGAGGGGGGATGCAAAATATGCCTTTGAACTTTATTTATCAAGGTCGTGACATGCCTGGAAACTTTTCCAGATGCACAATTTTTTCTGTACTCCGAGTAAATTTTATGGTGAAAACAACGCCGTTTTTACTCTTTGGTAGAGATGAAACTTAAAACCAATTAAGAACAGTGATAAATGTGTTTGTATGTCTGGATGTGTATGTGTACCTGTCAGGTCTTGAGTCGGGTATATCCCTATTGACAGGTATATCATCGCTAAGCCGGACATTTATGAAATACTCTTGAAATTCTTGTCTGGTCGTCTGCAACCCTCTGAAGCGAGAGTTTGGCGGGTAATACACGTCTTTACTTGTCTGTTCTGACCGGAACTCACTAGTACTTAATTCAACATGGTGTTGTATGAACAAAGCCGTTAAGCTTATTCCAAATAATATCAGCACAACTCTGATGTATCTGTACATGACATAGTGATCACACTGACATTGTTTTGGTGTAGCACTGTAGGAAATGTCGCCCCCACTTCTGGTTCTCTCACATCGTTACTGATAATGAAAAGATATATTGAGAATTGTTGTTAAAAAATCAGTCACTGCAAGAGAAAATATTGAACATACATGCAAAATGACGTTTAAAAGAATGGAATCGAAGGAAGGAGATTAAGAAAAAACTGATTCCAGACATACAAAAAAAAAAATGTACTGAAAGAAATAAAAGTTCTACAATAAAAAGATAACAGCAACGTAAAAGTACGGAGATGAGGTATGATTGACAATCAGAGACAACAATCCACCAGAGTCCACTGAATGAAGTGGATATAAGCAATTATAGGCCAACCATGAGAAAACCCCATACCATATGTTTATAGTCGGCTATTAACTGATAAAAGGCCCGAAACAATTCAAACGAAAAAACTAACGGCCTAATTTATAACTAAACAATGTACTACTGAAAAACAAAATAAAAAGCAAGCATGCATTGAGACGAACACTTGTTTAACTTAATGAAAAGGTCCCACACAATACTTTGTTTTCAATGACATATGATTTTCCAAAATGAAACCAAGCTAAATTGCGACACTGTTACTGTAAGATAGTACAATAATTATAGACAACTTGAAGTGGCTGTGGAGTATAATGAGTTCTTGTAGTTACAATGTGCATGTATAATAAGCATGTTTTAGTATTTCAGTAGATACTGCACCATGACCCTAAACATTGCTGCTTACCTGTTAAAATAAACGTGCCATACGGTATACACACGAAATGTATATGTTTACCTGTACAGGTAAAATCAATCACTTAATTACATCCCGGAAGTAAAACCATGTGTGCTTGTCATATGCAGTTTCGTTTGCAGTTAACATGTTAAAAGTTAGTTGTAATGCTAAGGACCTTTTAGTAAGAGATTGTTTATTTGAAATAAAGATTTTAAAACATTTGCTGGATACAAACACGTATATATACGTTCTGATTTTTAAAAAAATACTTAAACCATTCAGCATGTATTCTATATAATTTCTCGAGCTCTCGATGTAGCACCTCTTAATAATACATTTTTTTTTATTTATATGATATGCACAAAATATTTTTTTATTTATGTGATATGCACAAAACATTTTAATATTATGCACAGTATTATTTTTTTCCGGTGCGGCCATTTTTTTTTTAAGTTCGAACAAGCCTACATATTATTCTTCGACATAACACCTGGGACTAATATATATAAGTATAAAAGTATAAAAGTCCCAGATGCTATTCAAGGGAAGTGCCCCACTATTAATGGAGGAAAATACAAGAAACTTAACTGAGAGCTGTTTCTTTTACAGTTTCTTTGCAAAAACTGTATGTGCACTGGCGGATCCAGGGCTACATAGTAGTAGCTAATACGCATACGTTTGTAATAAACTCTAAATGACCAGAAACAGAAGTTAACAATTACATGTAATCTATACTGAGACTATTATACTAAGGTAACTCCCAGATCAATATGACATATAAAAATAAGAAGATGTGGTATGATTGCCAATAAACAAGTCTCCACCCGAGACCAAATGACATAGAAGTTAACAACTACATGTATAGGTCACCGTACGGCTTTCAACAAGGACAAAAACCCATACCGAATAGTAAGCTATAAAAGTCACCGAAATTTCAAATAATGAAATGTAAACAAATTATTACCAGAAAAACTAACGGCCTGATTTACGTACTAAACAATGAACGAAAAACAAATATGATATACAGCAACAAACGACAACCACTGAATTACAGACTCCCGGTGACTTGGGACAGGCACATACATAATTTGCTACCTTCTATAATATTTTTATTATACATTTTAGGAAGCTCCTGGAACTGTCTCGTCTGCCGCCTGCGTCGAAAGTCGGGAAGTCTAGAAATAGCGATTCTATATCTGAAATAGCCGTGTTGTCGGCGTCATCAACATGCAGATTCAGTCTGTGGTTAAAGATTTCTAGACATTAATAAATCAATAATATTGTGTATTTGAGGTAACTTTGAAAACAATCTAGGGTTGAAGTTTTTTAGACAACATAAACTTCTCACACATTTTCGTTTGTATGTTCCGTCTTTTCCTCATAAATGTTTTAGTATCTCCCGCGCATTATCATTACATTCGCGCTTAAAAATCATTACGTTTGCTCGCAGCTTTTGATTACATTTGCGCGCATTCAATTACAGGTAAATTACCTTTATTTATTTATTCAACTATTTACAAGTAATCTCTTCCTTTAGTCGAAGTCCCCAGCTCACCAATGAGGAGGGAGAAGTGGGTTTCGAGCAGGATAAGTCCGTCAAATTATGCACAAACACTGAGTCCTGGAAATAAAGATAAAGATGTAAAAACAAGGCAAACCTTAAAGATAAAAGTACCAATTTTACATTTTTGTATACGAGCTGGTTTTTTGAAGCCCACTGCTGTACGGAATTGAATAATGGCAACTTCTCCATTCTGGTATATTCAAAATAGTTCCATCATATACTCTGTTTTCTCTTTCTTACTTCGACGTACAACTGCAGGTGTATCAATCCATCATAGTTCGGAAACAAAATGTTATTCAATCTGCAATATTCGCAATTAATTTACATGTATGCCTGAAGCGATTACGGCATTTCTCACTTATTTTTTTTTTTTTTTTTTTGTAGATTTCAATGTGAAAAATATTTAATTCAAAGTGATAGATATGTTCAAAATTAATAACCATCGACATAGTTATTACGACTTATCTCGATATCTACCTGTATTACCAGTACAATGAATGCGCACAAATGTAAAAAAAAAAGCTGCGCTCTTGCGGACAAAGCTTCAAGCAATAATGATTTGGTCTGTAAATCCTATTACTACGAGAGTGTTATGAAAGAATTGAGAATAAATTATCACTTGGGTAATCCCACGTACAAAAATATAACTTTTGATAAGGATGATATCTTGTAAAATCAAACGTCCTTCATGTTCGAATTAAATGTTCAATTGAGCAACTAATATGAGGACTTACCTTGTTTGTATTGGATACCTAAACTTTCAAACTCTGCACAAACAACGGTACATTACCAGCTCATTTGCATGTTCTACCAAGAAATTGTCTGTTAGATTGACCAACATTTTGTCCGCAGTAAAAGAGGGATTACAGAAATACCGTGATACTGATTATTCGTGTAGTGGCATAAACTATAATAATGTTGATTCATAAGAACTCTAAAGAAACTCTGGAAAAATTCTAACCTCGGTCCTTCTCTGAAATAAATTTTATCAAAACCTTTGATTTTTCCACCATTTTCAACACAATGAAAAATTGAAAACCCGTCTAATAGAAATAATTCACAATGCTTTTCTAAATGAAAAGTGTACCATACGCTACACATTTATTGTGTTGGTATACAATTCGGCATTTATTGTTAAAACGTGCTACATCGAAAAACAAGTGATAATTTTTTTAGTTTCTCATTCACAACATATTTGTTGAATTTGGAGGTAGAATTATCCAGCAGACTGTCGGCATTCCTATAGGAACCTACTGTGCGCCGCCTCTCCTTGGTGGTATTTTCTTAATGAGTCGGAGTTACTTGTAAAAAACAAGAAGATCAAAGCAGCTAGATAATTTAATTTCACATACAGGTATAATGATTAAGTTCTCTCCATTAACAGTCTAAACTTTTCTATTTGGGACTCATTTTAATTAATATATCGTCCTAAACTAGGTATTAAAGAAACCACAGACACAGCTTTCTAATTTTTAGACATCTTACTCGAATTTGACTCCAGTGGTCAGTACCAGACTCTATGACAAACGAGACGATTTAGAAAATCCTCCCCCGTAGTAATAATAAACCAACTTCTGCCGCGCATGGAGTATACTTTTCTCAACTCATACGATATTCAAGAGTTTGCAGCTGCTAATTAGACTTTGTAAAACGTCATCGGTGTCTAAGCAACAACAAAAAAACAAGGAGCCAGATTTTTGTCGAAGAACATCTCTTCCTTTTTCTGAAAAAGTTCATCGGAATGTACCCACACAGATTTATCTTCAATGTTAAAAATAAAATAAACCTTATAAAATTGTGTTAACAATCTTTGAATAAAACTTAACCATGTAGACATGGTAGGCATGTAGACATGGTGGTGACTATCTAAATAGAATAATTTTTAAACATTCAGAGGCAAAGTTTACGCATTTGTTTTAATAAAAGTAATAGAACATTCGCCGGTACATAAGTTCCTCGTCCGTATTGAAATGATCCTCATATATAAATCGGTAAGCCCTTTCCTGGCTTTTTTCTAATTTTGTGGTACGTTTTAGCTTTGTGAGGCCATCCCAAATGACAACTTTGGACGTTAGATGATAAAAGGTGTGAAAAAGCCCATTTATTTGATTTTAAAACAAAGCAACAAATGCGCTTAAGAACATTCAGATGTTGACAAGCTTACCAACAAATTATATTCATGTAGTGATTAAATATATTAATTTGATAACGTATATCAATAATTAAAAGTTTGACATTCTCATATTACACTATTTTAGCTGACTGAATATTAAAATCAGGCTTCTACTCAAATGTTTTACTTCCAAATGCAATGGCTTTTAATTCATTATGACTGCATGCTTGCATACAATTTAATATAAACTAATCAATAAAAACATCTTAAGGTGCATTTACACGGTACGATTTTCCATCCGATTTCCATTCGATTTTACCTGTGCTCCTGCTTTCGACTAAAATCGCACCCATGTGTACACTAAAATCGGATTTCGTTTTAAATTGGTTAATCGAATGGAAAATCGTATCGTATGAACAGAATGCAAATACGATTTACCTGGGCGACGGTATCAAATCGGATTGAAAATTGGAAGGAAAATCGTATCGTGTAAACGCAGCTTAATACTATTCGACATTAATGAGGACAATGTTGAGTTTTCTTGTTTAACAGTTATGAAATATTGTTTAATTTACAAACACCTCTTTGTAGAGGCAAACATTTGATATTCCTACCCTCTGACTTGCACATTTGTTTGGCACAACTTTTCGGAATTTTCGGTTATTGGTGCTCTTCAACTTCGTAATATTTTATTTGGCTTTGCAACTGTTTTGATTCGAGCGCCACTTATGAGTCTTGTGTAGACGAAACGCATGCCTGGTGGGCCAAATTATAAGCTCAGCATCTTTGATGTGTTTTTGCACCCAAACAAGGGAGACGGATTTATATAAGTTTTTCTTGTTTCCGAATCCCCATTTTTTTTATTGTATAATCGTAATTTGTGCACTTTTGAAAAATAAAATATTGTTTAAACTAAACACATAAACAAGTAGTGTGAATCAATGGTTTATTTCTATGCCATCCTGTTGAAATGTAGGTAAAAAAATGTATTAAAATGTCGTGGCATAGGTTTATTGTAATGTAAACAGATTTGGTGTTAAAAATTCAGAAAATAATAGGAAGCTAAAAAATACGGACAGTTTAAACTTGTTCTTATTACAAATATGTTGTTTAATGTAGAAGTAAAAATGAATGTAATTGTATGTGTAGCTGATCTCTCTTTTATTTTTTGTATCCTTAATGTAAAAAACAGTGGACAAACATGGATTTTTTTTATCACAAGGAATAATCACCCTTCCATATATATTTGTTAGATATCATATAATTATAAAATGAAAGAATTGAATGAGAATGTCTGAGGTATTTCTTTAACGATCATGTTCACATAAAAATACTGAATATGACCTGTACACATTTCAATCTGATATTAAGGCCAGACGAAATTAAGTATGCAAATACCATTGCATTCTATATTTTGTTATCATCGAGACCACAAATTTTACTAATAGAAATGACTTGCCTACCTTTAATTCAATTAAATTTCTGATGTACTATTTCGTTGTGTTTTATTTTATTTCATATTTAGTACAATAAATTTGTATTTTAATTCGATACGATTATTTACTAAATTATCAAAAATACTGACTGTATTAACCTGTAATCAATTGTTAATTGTTGTAACAACACCTAATGTATTTTGTTTGTTGGCACAGGTTGAATATTTTTTTAAATGTTGGCATAGGTTGAAGTAAATTCGATGACGTAATGTTTTCTGAAAATTGAGAAAATTCAATTTCACTTTCTATTCTGAATAATATGAGATCTGGATAGCAACCCATGCATATATATATCAATTATAAATAATTTTATAATAAATATGCATCGATTTCATTCAAAACGTTAAAGATTTTAAACAGGACGGAGATTGTACTTCCTAGGAAGGTAATTGCTACAGTATCAATTTTATTCAGACCAGCGAGCTCAGTACCTATGGTAGGACTAACTGGTAAGAGTATTATTATTGTAATAAAGTATAGAAATAGATTTGTAAATATCTAATGGAAAGTATACAACATTTGATACAATGGGGACACCAAAAATTCAAAATTGATTCAACGTTGCGTTTTTTTTAATAAAAAAAATTACTGTAACTTTCTGTTTTTAATAATATGTTATCTTGATTACCATTTTGTTAACTAAGGCACCCACCATTCATCTTAACAATTCTTTCGACTTTGATAACAAAAAAAAATCCCTTTTTTTTTCAATATCTTACAGGAACAAGATTTTTCTTTTTCGAAACTGATATACTAAATATATAAATGGACGCAACTGTTTCATTTCTGTCGAAAAAAGTGGTATAATAACGTACAGTACCATTACGTTAATACTCAAATTATTTAATTTTGGATGTAACACGTCTTCTGATTGGCTGAAAGTTTTTTGTCTATCAGCTCATAGACATAATTTTGTCATGTGACGTCATCAACGTTTTTTCATGATTTAGTCCTTAAAATGGAATTTAGAATTAAATTATAAAGAACGACTGTAATATTTTTTCTGTCTATTCTAAATAACATCAGAAATGTGGTGGACACTTTTAAATAACCAGCTACGCTAATATTTTGATGTTATTTCTTCATAGATATAAAAAAATATTACAGTCTTTCCTTAAATATCACAGCATGTGTACGGGCAACTAATAAAGTTTGTAGATGGTGCAAATTTTTAGGTGAAAGTGACAGGGTCTTCAACAGTGTCGGTAGCAAAGGGGAAACATGCAAAATTATGTTGAAAGGATATGTATAAGAATTTATATTGGTCCATTTTGGATGGTCAACATCACACTGACCTGATATTAGATAAGAGGCGAATACCATCTAGTACCCCCAAGAGCTTACAATTCGAGATAATGTTGATTTTTTAATATGGGTATGCCAATGGATGGTAGAAAGTTGTATGATCGGACACAAAATATTGGAAGTAAAACAAATATATTCTTTGGATGTATTGTAGCCAAATTGACCTTAACAAAATAGTCAACTTGAGTTCCAACCTGAGAAGCACAGGCTAATGATACCATCGGGGATTAACAAGCCACCAACACTCTCAGTGTTGCAACTTCCTAAGGCTAATTTGAGGTTCGACAACTTTAACTGTTATTTCTGGCCCTACTGGTTTATGCTTTCTGCAATTTATATTTCCTGATGAAGGACATTCTAGAAACACATGTACGCATGCAGACAATATTATTTTGTTTGTCTACCGAAGCTGATTGACTTATATGACTATATATCATTCAGAATCCAGTGCTGCCTAAGGTTGGAACTCAAGTTGACTATTTCGTTAAGGTCAATTTGGCTTCAATACATCCAAAGAATATATTTGTTTTACTTCCAATATTTTGGGTCCGATCATACACGATGAAGAGTATTTCAGAAACACGCGTTGTAAGTACAGAATTATATTTGATTCAAAATATGAAGTCAGGTTATTGCTTAGATAAGTTGGTGCACAAAAAAATAAATTGATGATTTCAAATCAAAATTTTAGCAAGAAGTTTCACACTATGTGCAAATCATATCCGCACTTGTAATTAGACATTTACGTGAACTTCAAAATCGGAATATAAATATGAAAGTGCTTAAGTTTACAACATCAAAATGAAATATTCACCTGAAAAATAAATACAAGATTTTCCGCGAATATTAATTTATGGTTCTGTTATATTATTTAATCGTACTGCTTTAAACATTTTTCCTATACTAGAAGTTCTTTTTGAAATTAAGTTTTAAACAATGTTATAATATATGTTCCTGCTGAATGAAATACATCTATATCCTTCATTCGTCAGAAACAAAACTTTAATACTTCTTTCAGTGAAAATAATACTCAAGAACATTTCTTTTATTTGGAACTAATTTTATAAAGGAATGTTTGTTCCATGACAGTAAATAATTAAAGTTGTATACAGCTTTTAAAATAAAATTAATGTTAAAAGTTTTCATTATAAGTTTATAAACTTGTAGTGTATAATTTACATGTCAAACATTGTGTATAAGTTACATGTCAAACATTGTGTCTATGTTACATGTCAAACATTGTGTATAAGTTACATGTCAAACATTGTGTCTATGTTACATGTCAAGTAATGTGTAAAACTATCTAAGTTAAACAATACAACAAGTGCATATAGTTTAGTTCGGAGGAGTATTATTACATTTATTGATATGAATAATAGGGTGATAACATCAAATGCTGTAACACTTTGGTGATCCTTCTTTATATTCGTTTGTTAGACTTATGAATTCTTGTAATGACACTTCAACTAATAAGTTGTTAACTTCAATTCAGCTACTGTCTGCTTTAATGTCAAATCGTTGCACTGCATAAATCTGATATAACAGATTAATCCTTCCATATAAATAAAACTAGTTCAGACGTCAATGAGTCAGTCAGCAACTTAACGTCATTATAGTTAAACCAAAGAGTTTGGCATATCGTCTTTAATGGTCTTTTGAATTTGCCTTGGATTTTGGTATTTTTGTTATACTTTTTTTTTTTATTAAAAACATCCCTCCCCCCCCCCCCCCCCCCCCAAAAAAAAAAAATAATTAATATATGTTGTAGCATACTGGTTGAGTAACATTGGTACTTCAAAATGACCATTGTTCACAACTATTACATTTAACTATGTGTTTTACTGATGAGTCTTATGTAGACGAAACGCGCATCTGGGTTACGAAATCATGAGCTTGGTATCTTTGGTGGGTCTTTACAACCACTAGGTCGAAGCCACTACTGGTGGACGTTAAGTCCCCGAGGGTATCACAAGCACGTAGTCAGTTCTAATTGTGCTGGCATGAAATATCATTTGTATGTTCATATTCTGTAAATTTAGTGTTGCATGACGAAATATTTAAATCATAATCTTGACTTACATCTAGAAATTGACAATGAGGGTCGGTTGAAAACAAAACTTTACGACAAAAGAGATGATTTCAGCTTCCCAATTGTGAACTTTCCATTTCTATGTAGCAACATTCCAGCAGCGCCTGCATACGGAGTATATATCTCCCAATTGATACGATATTCCCGGGCTTGTATTTCCTATCATGATTTCCTTGATAGAGGATTGCTGCTCACAAGAAAGCTATTAAACCAAGAGTTCCAAATGGTGAAGTTGAAATCATCCCTTCGTAAATTTTACGGACGCCATCACGACTTGGTTGACCGTTATGGAATAACCGTTTCACAGATGATATCGGATATGTTCCTTATGTCGTAACTACAATACCCTTCCCTTTTCACGAATGTGACCTACCGGATTTGTAATAACATAAGCAACACGACGGGTGCCACATGTGGAGCAGATCTGCTTACCCTTCCGGAGCACCTGAGATCACCCCCAGTTTTTGGTGGGGTTCGTGTTGCTTAGTCTTTAGTTTTCTATGTTGTGTCATCTGTACTATTATTTGTCTATTTGTCTTTTTATTTTTGGCCATGGCGTTGTCAGTTTGTTTATCGATCTATGAGTTTGACTGTCCCTCTGGTATCTTTCGTCCCTCTTTTTTAAAGCACTAATGCTATTACTACCCAAGGTATAGATTGCATAATTAGTATTTGGCACAACTTTTCTTTTCGGAATTTGCTGTTATTGATGCTCTACAACATTGTATTTGATTTGGCTTTCCAACTTTTATGGTTCGTGCGCCACTGATGAGTCTTACGAAACGTGCGTCTAGCTAAATAATGAGCCTGGTAGCTTTGACGAGCTTTTTCCAATCTGTCTTTAAATGAGAATTACTTGTGTAAAAGGTATAAAGAAAAGTTTCATACAATTTTACCAGAAGGAAAATATAAAAGAATTTCTGTAGGGCATAATTAAAAAAATAACTCATACGGAATCATTGATACCACATATTATCTGAAGAAAAAACGTGCATGTGAAATATATCTATAAAATAATAATGTTGTCCGAAGAAGTATCATGATTCTATATTGAATTTATATTACACTATGGCAGTGTACGAAACTTTTTCTGTAGGAAGCAACCTACGACCAAACCCATTGACAAAATTATATATAATGCGTTTAACAAGTGTACACATCACGTTTATCGAAATATTGCAATGTTTAATCAAAATAACTTTAATATCATTTTAGGTAATCAAATAGAAATATATTGACAATGGCTTCAAATAGTCCAGGCAAACTTCAACCTGCAGATTTTATAGAGGATTTATACAAGACAAATAATGAGAGTGAAGAGCTATTAGAGATATTTGTAAAGAACATGAACGTGTTTAGCAGTTCGATTTACGACAAGAAACTGTCGGACGATTCTTTATCATTGCTTGTTCATCTAATGGCAAGGGTTTGTGCTTGTACAAGACAGAAAAAGAATAGCGAAATCTGTAAGCTTTTGAATATGCTGTCTAAATCGCCACTGATCAAATACCGAAGTATTCCACTACTTTTAGGGGAAACATGCAACAACTCACGTGGTCATAATTTTCAATGTTTATTATCCGATTACTTAACAATACTTCAAGAAATTTACCTGAGGATACCTCGTTTGTCTACAACTCCACAAGTTAAGAGACTGGGGAAACTTTTGAAAGAGCAAATAAGCAAATGTGATGATTTAGAAGACAAAGGGATGATGATAGATATTGTGATTGAAACGCTGAATGAAATTATGCAGATTGCTGAAGAAAGATCAAGGGCAAAACAAGACGCTGAAGATAAATTTGTTCCTCCAGATGATTTCCGAACTGTGTCAGTTATTCCTGGACAAAACGACATTCTAAACATTCCAAAGTTCCTAAGACGTAACAAAGTTTGCGGGAAATATTTGAATTTAGATCATTATTTAGATGTACAGTTTAGGTTGTACAGGGAAGACTGTGTGTCACCTCTCAGAGATGCTCTTTTGGAATTCAAACAGATAGATAGAGAAAATCGGAAAGAAAATATCAGATTAGAACATGGTCTTATGTACAAGAACGTAAAAGTAATAAAACAAATCATTTCTATAGACTCTGGTGAAGTATTTGAAATAAAACTGGACCCAGACCATCGTAAACGTATCAACTGGAGAAATGCAAAGAGACTTATATATGGTACTTTACTGCTTATTTCCTTTGATCGTTTTAATACGATTTTCTTTGCTGTTGTATCTGAAAGTGAAACGAAAATTTTACAAAAGAAAGGTTGCTTTGCTGTACAGGTATTTAGATATGGAAACAATCTAAACCTACCAAGAAATACAGATGGTATAATTATAGAAGCAAATTCAGCGTATTTTGAAGCATACAAACATGTATTAAAAGTTTTGCAGCATATAAAAGAAGAAACGTTCCCCTTCACTCGATATCTTGTTCACTGTGAGAACGAGGTCCGTTTCCCATCGTACATTTCAAAAAATTATGTATATGATCTCAGACCTGTAATCAAAAATTGCCGGATAGATCTAGACAACACCTATCGTGGAACTCGTAGAAATACTATTCCAAAACAGACACCAATAAATAATGCAAAGTTGTCTGAAGAAGACTGGCCGTCCGCCGAGATGTTGAGAATGGACGAATCTCAGCGGAAAGCGTTTATTGCTGCACTTACAAAGGAATTTGTTCTCATACAAGGGCCACCAGGGACCGGTTAGACATACCTTGCATTGCAAATTGCAAAAGCATTACTTCATAATAGTAACAGGTGGCTAAGAATGAATTCCAAGGGTAAGGTCGAAAAATCTACACGAAACGCTCGGGGGAATGCACCAAAACCGTATATGTTAGTCGTCTGTTATACAAACCACGCGTTGGATCAATTTGTTGAGGGGATTATTGATTTTATGCCGGAAACCGTATTTGGTAGTCGATACCCCGAAATAGTTAGATTTGGAAGTCGATGTAAAAATCCTAAATTTGAAGAACTTTCGATAAAAAACCTACGGAGAAAAGCTCTATCGAAATTTAATAATCCTCGAGATGGAATACTTGAAAAAGCATCAAAAACTAAAAGAAAAATCAAGGAGATTCGAGAAACAATCGAGACATTAAAGAGCAGAAATATTGTATTGTGGTTCGATGTAATGAAATGTGTTCTTTCAGAAAATATTGCAAGTCAATTTGGAGAAAAGTTTGTTTGGTTGCAGTGGCTACATGTGTTAGAGCAATCATGGTATAAAGAAGTAAACAAGCAATATCAAAACCAACAAAATGACGAAGCAATTAAAAATCAACTCGGTGGTTTTGCAACTGAGCTTGAAGAAGTCGAATTTGTTTCATTGATTTCTGAGAAAGAATTTGCACACAACGTGCGGTATTTGGAGGTTAATGATGTCAATTTTTTGCTCAATACTGATATTATCGGTCTCGATCTGGACAAGCAATACGAAAATGAGCTGCAGAAAACAAATAAACTTGAAGAAAAGTGTAGAATAATTTTGCTTTTGGAAAAAGAGAAAGCAGCAAAGGAACTGCATTATGGTAAAGCCATGTCAGAAGGCCAAGTAAAAAAAATAAAAAGTATCTGGACACTTTCCATAAAAGATCGTTGGAAAATGTATAGGTATTGGTTGATGCAGTACATTAAGAAACTTCACGAACAACTGCGCAAAAGTGAAAAGAAATTCCATGATATATTTGATGACTACAAGCAAATCAGTATAGAAAAAGACGAATTTGTCATGCAACAAGCAACAGTTTTAGCTATGACTACAACAACTGCAGCACGATATAGAGAATCTTTAAGCAAAGTTGGTCCTCTAATCACAATAATTGAAGAAGCAGCAGAAGTACCAGAGGCTCACATAGTAACTGCGATCAGCCCAAGATGTAAACATTTAATTTTGATCGGGGACCATAAGCAATTGCAACCAAAACCTGCCGTGCATGAACTTGCAATTAAATTTAATTTGTCTGTTTCCCTGTTTGAACGAATGGTTAAGAACAACTTGAGCTACTATTGCCTTCAACGACAACATCGAATGAGACCAGAAATTTCTGAATTGGTACGCCACATATATCACACTCTTTATGACAACGAAAATGTCTATGAATATCCATCGGTAAAAGGGATACGAAAGAGTGTGTTCTTTATCACACATAACAAAATTGAAGTTTTCAAAGATGAGGGGAGAAGTTTTTCAAACGAATACGAAGCTGAATATCTCAAAGAGCTTTATCTTTATCTGCTAAAGCAAAGATATAAACCATCTGATATAACAATAATTACGGCTTACGCTGGTCAGATGTCTTGCTTAGAAGAAAAATTGCCAAGCTCAAAGTTCAAAGGAGTTAAAATTTGCGTGCTTGACAATTACCAAGGCGAAGAAAATGAAATCATTCTTTTATCATTAGTGCGTAGCAATACGACAGGCGATATCGGATTCCTAAATCGGGAAAACAGAATTTGCGTGGCTTTGTCTAGAGCAAGGCAAGGACTTTTCATAATAGGTAACAGCGATACATTAACAAAGAAGTCTCAGCACTGGCAGACTGTAATTGGAAAACTACAAATTCAAGAGAAGGTCAACGATATAGACGAAACATCCCCTAGATACCCATCGCTTGGAAAGGCGTTGCCATTGTACTGTCAAAATCATCCAAAAAAAGAAGGCATTCTCGCCGAGTCACCAAGTGACTTCAAAAAAGTAAAAGATGGAGGCTGTGATCTACCATGTGAATTTGAGTTATCATGTGGACATGCGTGTCGATACGATTGTCATCCATTTGACAGGGAACATAAATCATATAAATGCAAAAAACAATGTTCAGAGACATGTGCAGAAGGACATAAATGTTTTAAGAGATGTCATTATGATGACGACTGTCGTTGCAGTGTAGAAATGGCACGCGAACTAAAATGTCAACACATAATTGTTCTTCAATGCCATGTTCATTACTCTAAATACCCATGCCCAATTAAAGTAATCAGAACATTATTATGTGGACATATCGCAACTATGGAATGTTACGTGGACCCAAACAATGTTTTATGCAAAGTCTCTGTTGACAGAGAACTGGAGTGTCGACACACAGCACAGTTAAATTGTCATGTTGATCCAAATCGCCACGAGTGTGCTATAGTCCTGACAGAAACAAGATCAAAGTGTGGTCATGAATTTGAACGCAGGTGTCATGATGCCAATTATGAGAGGTTAAATGAGTGTAGAGTTTTGATTAACGAAAAACGAACCTCGTGTGACCATTTGATCGAACGGCATTGTTTCGACACCACATATGAAATGCGTATTGAATGCAGCATTACCGTAACAATGAACAGATCATCCTGTGGACACGAATATCAAAGACAGTGTCAAGACCGTATGTATGAGATGAGTCATGAATGCAATGACATGGTAACAGAACAGTGGTTATCTTGTAAACATTACTACAAAAGACATTGTTTTGACTCTGACTTTGTCCAGAGGCACACTTGTCAAAATAAAATTCGTGACAAAAGAGACGATTGTGGTCATACATATGAAAGAAATTGTTCAGATACGAATTATCAACATGAACACAAATGCAGCGTCTACGTTGAGAAAAAAGTCCCACGGTGTGACCATAAAGTAAAGCTTCCATGCCACCAAGATGTTTCATCGCATAAATGTAGAGAAATCGTTACAAAAGATTTGGAATGCAAACATTACAATACACACGAATGTTGCAATATTGATTCAATCAAATGTAATAACAAATGCAATAAAATATGCATAAATGGCCACGTATGTACAAATTCATGTCATTTCCCCACTTCCTGTGACTGCATGGAGCTAATCGAAACAATTTTAGAGGGCTGTAAACACAAACAAAGTATCCCATGTTCAATCGATCCTAAAGTCTATCCTTGTGAAACAATGGTGAAGAAAGTTCTGAATAAATGCCACCATTCACAGGACATGGAGTGCCATACGGACCCCGAAACAGTAAGATGTAAATTTGCAGTCCTGAAGTCTTTACCTGAATGTGGACATGAGGAAATGGTTTTATGTTCAGAAAATCTTTCAGGCGTAAAATGTACCAAAGAAGTTGAAATAAAGTTAGAAAAATGCGGACATTCATTTGGAATTAAATGCTGGCAGAAAAGATATATGTCTTTACAAGAAGTTAAATGTTTCGAGCCTACAATACACACGCGCTCTGATTGTGGACATATTACTACTATTCCATGTTGGGAAATATCAAGTCATAACTTCACTCCTTGTCTGAAATTATTAGACACAACACTCTCCTGTGGTCATGTCATTAAAAGCGTTTGCAGTATGGAAGAGGAAAAAATATGCGACAAGAAATGTGAGAAACCATTGTCATGTGGACATTCATGTCCGGGGCTATGCCATGAATGCGACCATAATAAGGATTGCTCACGCCAGTGTGAAAAGGAATTTGTGTGTGGCCATGCCTGTCAAAGTGAAGTTTGTATGATGTGCACTCCGTGTCAAAATTCTTGCTTATTTGAATGTTCACATTCGAAATGTCCTTCTCAGTGCATTGATTCATGTAAACCCTGCAAAGAAAACTGTTCATGGGAATGTGAACATTATAAATGTACAAAGTTATGCTTTGAAGAATGCAACCGCCAAAGATGTTGTAATAACTGTGATCGAACTTTGTCTTGTGGTCATCAATGTCCTGGATACTGTGGTGAACCATGTCCACTGTTTTGTGCTGATTGTAAACCGGAAATGTACGTATTAAAAGAAACTTGTAAAGATGAAAAAATTGTAACATTAGTACAATGTGGTCACTCCATTGGCAGTATTTATCTTGATGAGTGTATGGATGAAATGAAAAATCACTTAGTGTCAAGATGCCCATGTTGTAGGGCAATTATTACTTTTCATCCAAGATATGAACGAATTTTGAAAAGGCAAAAAATGGCACTAGAAGATGCTAAATTGAAGATTCGTAAGGTACGACTTAATTCACAAACTATATATCCTGCGTGTGATGCTGAAATGCTAACATCATTTGAACAGTATACAACAAGTATTGCAACATATCTTCACATTATTCGGCAAACACGACGTAAGAATGAGTTCGATCAGGAATTCCATGACACCGAGAAATTAGCCGAATCCATTCTCAAAGATATTGAAACAACCCCGGCAACTTCATTTAAAACTTGCTTACAATTGTCAGAGAAAATATTCAGTTTGTATATCCAATGGATATTGTGCCTTTTTACGACAAAGCCAGAACTAATGGGCAAATTTGCTGGTTGGTTTCCTGCACTGAAAAAATCTACAAGTAATATTTTAAACGACTTTCTCCCCGAACAGGTGGAGTCGTTGGAAAATATTTTCGAAGAAAATGATAGAATATCAACCGACACCAATGGTCATCGCACAATGATAAGCCACGATATAGTTGTAATTGTACGCCTGTTGGAGAAACATCTAAATCAGGAACAGATTACTGAAATATTAAGACCTTTTACTGAAGACATGGAGGGCGATGGTTACTTGGCAAATACAAGAATATATCCCCAGTTACATAATGTGGTTGGCATACATAGCAGTGATTGGACAATATGTCGAAACGGTAAGAATTTTATCAAGGAATATACGTGTAAGTGAAAAACATATACATACAAAAGTAACCCATTAAAAATAAATGACATGTAGAAATTATATAGAGTCTTCAATAATAAATAGGTTATGCATACTTATATATGTCAAGCTCAGAATCTTCACACGTCTTTATATGCTGTGATAAATTTAGAAAGAGACACACAATTATTCGCCATCTATTTCAAATTCATTAAAGGACCTTTTTTTCACTTTTGTCTGTTTAGACCAGGCCTTTCATTCACAAAAAGTTCGATGTGCATCAAGTACGACAGACCTATTATCGTTCGTCAATTCATTGATCGATTATAGTTGTTTACTGATGATCATTTATCGTGCGATCTTTACTGACACGCATTCCCGACGGACCAAAATATTTTCACTTCAATTGATATGTTACCATATATCATATTCATTACATTTAAATAATTGTAAGTGAAATACCACAGAACTGAAAAAATATATTAACAGGTAGCATTTTCTGTTCAAAGCGCTTTTCTATATTCTATACTAATCTTAAACGGAAACTTTCAAATGATAGCTGCAAAAGTTTTGATAGCCAACGTTACATGTTAGTAGAAAGTCTCAAAGATAAAGGTTTTACTACAGGTATTACAAACACTTACCATTTTTAAATATCCATGGCAATGAAGTCAACAGTGGCGGATCCAGAAATTTTCATAAGGGAGGGGGCACTGACTGCCTAAGAGGGGGCCCGCTCCAGTCATGCTTCAGTGATTCCCTATATAATCAAACAATTTTTTCCCACAAAAGGGAGGCCCAGGCCATGAAAATGAGGTCAAGGTCAGATAAAACCTGCCCGACACACAGTTACACCTTACAATCATTCCCTTCACCCAATATAGTTGACCTACTGATTATAGTATTTGAAAAACACATTGAAACACAAAAACTTAACATTGATCAATGAACCATTAAAATGAGGTCAAGGTTGGATTATACATGCCAGACAGACATGTACACATTACAATCATTCCATAGACCAAGTATAGCTGATCTACTGCTTATAGTATTTGAAAAACAAACCAAAACTCAAAAACTTAACATCGACCAATGAACTATGAAAATGAGGTCAAGGTATGCTGAAACCTGCCAGACTGACATGTACCCATTACAATCATTCCATACACCACATATAGTTGACCTACTGCTTATAGTATTTGAGAAAAGGATCTAATCACGTAACTTTTGAACCTTGATCACTGGTCCATGAAATGAGGTCGAGGTCAGGTGAACCCTGTCTGGCGGACATGTAGACGTTGCAAGGTACCTATATACCAAATATAGTTCTTCTATTACTCATAATAAGAGGGAAATTCACATGACAAAAAAACTCAAATTTTTGTTCAAGCAGTCACTGAACCATGAAAGTGAGGTCAATGACAATGGACATATGACAGACGGAAAGTTCGGAACATAAGGTAAATGCATACACGATATGAAGCATCCAGGTCTTCTACCTTCTGAAATATACATCTTTATACAAATAGTTTACGCCGCCGCCGCCGCCGCCGGATAGTAATACCTGAGTCTCGCATACTGCAACTTTCGTCGCAGGCGAGACAAAAACTATCGACGGAATGAAGTTTATCATTTTTTTGCAAACAGAAAGAAAAAATAAATACCTTGAAGTTGCTACAGTTATTCCTTTAAAACTATTATTTTATTGAGTGAATAATATTTTTTCTTAAGTTTACCAGCTATTTGCCGCTAGGCATAAAATCATTTGTTATAGTTATTTAATACAAACTTGGGTACGTATATCTACAAACCATTAGTATAAGAATATTTGTATACATAAATATCAATTTTAGGTCATACTGTATCAACGATCTTGGATTGTTCTTGCAACATTTGTGATGGTCCCGATAATCAACAAACAGTGTTCCGGTATGATGATGGACAAAATGTAGTCACACAAGGACTGACAAAGGCAAGAAGCGCTCAGCTTGGAAAAAGCCAGGTGTCAAATGTTAGAGGTAAAAGAAGTAATTTTTGTAAAGACAAACCAGCAGATTTTAGTGAGGATTTTAGGAATATGTATTCGCGTCCGAGAGTAAGAAATCCTATCAGAAACAAAAGTAATAGTGAAAACTTCCACGGTGTTCGGGGACAAAATCTTAGAGGTTGTAGTAAGAGTACGGAGAAAGCCATGCGGGCGAAAACAACAAATGAGGATACAAGGAAATCTTACAAAAAAGACAAAATGCATCCACTCCCTTCGTTAAAATCCGACGACGAAAGATACCATAATGAAGACGGAAAAGATAAACATAACCTAAAGGAAAATAAACAGAGGTTTCCGAACAAGGCACCGGCTACAGGTAGAAAAAATAATAAAAGTAGTAGTAATGGTACTGACAGTGGTGTGAATGAACATGCCCCTGGTCATGCAGACAACATAGATGGTAATGAAAGTCGCGATAGTAGAAGAGCAGAATTAAATAGAGGCGGACATCGAGATCATCAGCATAACAGAGGATATCCAGGTCGTGGACGAGGTCGCGGCGGTAACATGGGTAAGGGTCGTGGTAGTCTCCCCTGGTAACTATTAAAAACTAGAATTTTTACAGATGGGTACCATGTTTTATCACTGTTTAATGTACCAAACCCATATTTTATCCGTGCAAAATATACCAAATTATGTGATAATATTTCGTATTCGTTAAATTAATAAACCGTAATGTGTACATCTGCATGTGAATTTGTAAATAACTTGTCACGATACAAAGGGTAAATGTCAATGGCTGGAACTAAATGCTGTGGATTCATTCTTATTTATGTGAATTGTTATTTCTGGATTTTGTAGAAGAAAAATCAATTGACGTAATATTGTGTGAGAGATGATAGATTATCATTACCGAAACTGTTATGTAAAAAGACAGTCTATTCCAAATATTTTTGTTTTTATCAAAGTTAAATTCCCTTTTTCAACTTTGTGTTTTTTGTTGTTGTTGTTTTTTTTTTTTTTTTGTATATGTATAAAAGCATTAAACGTGTGTATTTGTCTTTTTGTGGATTCTAAATAAAATTTTATAGGAATTGGTAAAAATTGGATCAAAATGCTTACAAAAGTAAATTACTTCATTCACGCATTATTAAACAGCTAAAATTGAACCCTGGCATGCATCATCTTCATCGAGAATTAAAGCATGATATATTTACCATATTCCTCATAAACCCTTTCTTTCGTGTATTTAAATGGCAACAGCAATGTATTTTTCATATTAAAAAATGTAGCACATATATTATATTCATTCGTATCAGTCCCTTTATTTCCGGGGTATAATCACGGTTATTATTACTGTTATTGTAGTTGTAGATATAAGAAGATGTGGTATGAGTGCCAATGAGACAACTCTCCATCCAAGTCACAATTTGTAAAAGTAAACCATTATAGGTCAAAGTACGGCCTTCAACGCGGAGCCTTGGCTCACATTTTTACTTGTTTTAAGATAGTTGAGTTCCTGTTTAACCATGTTTGTGATGAGGTCTGAAAAAGCTAAAAAGTATCTGATTGTTTTACCATACATGACTAATACATGTATCTATCAGTCCAAGCATACAGTAAATTAATATATGTATATTTTTCTTGTTTTAATTACCGTGTATGAGGGTAGGAATGCCCTTTACCGTCAGGCGTCAAAAACGGTCATTTTCGGCTACCGTTGGCGTCAAATTGGTTAGAATTTTATCGTGATTCGTCGGAGGTCTCAAATAATTACAACCGTTACCGTTATTTTTGGAAATAATTTAACGTGAGTCGTCAAAATCAGTCAATTTTTTTTATCGTCATAAAGAATATGTACATTTTATCGTCATGCACAAAAAATTACCGTTAACGTCATTTGGCAAGATTTTTTACCGTTATTCGTCATGAAGGTACCTCCATTACGACCCTCATGTATGGGGCTATGAATGAGTCACCATTTATGAGGATACGAATGGGGTTTACAGATAAGAGAATATTGGGCAAAACAATTAGATTAGGAGCGGCCAGAATAAAGAGATGATGAAATATAAAGACTATATTGATTGATTGTTGATTGCTTAATGTCCAGTGGCAAATATTTCATGCATGTTTAGGACGAATATAATAGAGATCAAAGAATAAAGAATACAGTAAAATGGTAAAAAATTAAAAGATATAGAAATATAGAAACGATGATCTGATCCCCCCCCCCCCCCCAACCCACCCACACCACCACCACCATTACCACCCACACTCGCCTATACATCTCTAAACAAATATCTAATTTGGGGGCATGGTGCCCCCCCCCCCCCCCCCCCAGGACATCGAGGTTCTGGATCCGCCTCTGGCTAAATATATATATTTCTATAAGTTAACCTTTCTTCGGAGAGTACTATTTTCTTAAAGAATACGATATGTCATTTCCTTCAACAGCATATTTGCCGCTATCGGTGATTTCGGAGAATTATTCTAGCCGGAGTCGCTTTTGTACTCGAGATCTTTTTTGTGTACACGTTTTAATGATTGACCTGAATAACAAACATGGTGATTCTAGAATGCCATTGAAATAAGAATTGGCTCTAGAATACCAATACAAATAGAATACATATATTATATATATATTACGTACAAAATTTATAAGGATATCCAACACTTATATATGTCTAAATTGTATATATGCTGATAAATTCGTCTTCTTTTAAAAAAAAATATATACCTCGGTTTCTGCTATGAAAACAAAGGATAACATATTTTTGAAAGCAGGTCAGGAACTAACCGTTATTATCGATCTGAAAGTATATATGACCGAACATATGTACATTTTGAAAAGTTTGCTTTGCAAAATGAAATTTGCTCATTGTTGAAGTTATCTACAATGTTGCTTAAGTCTACGTCATATTTTATCTGTTGATTTTTTTTCCTTATTCATATATAGGAATTATTTAATTCTTAATTTACATTTTATATAAAAAATCGATGACTGAACATCAGACGAGAAGGTGTATTGAAAACAGCAATAGTTTTGTCCATATAAAAGGTGTGATACATTTTCTACATCTTTTTTAGATCTTTTTGTAGAGCAATCTTTTATTTGGCCAATATATTACCTGTTTATATCATTATCTTTTGTTAAGACGGTTTTATTTTCATTCTCTTTCATACACTGTATTGTCCTATAGTTTGAGAAAAGAGTTTTCAATTTCATTTATTGCAAGACTAGATTATTAATTCATTTAAAAATGATTAGTAATTCATTGGATGTCAAAAAAAGGCGGAACCCTTTTGATCTTCTTTGGAAATTTAAAGTCATGTGTTGAAGATTAAAAATCGTGCGCCCAAGACATTTAAGATATTTTAAACTCAAGAAATAATAAGTAAAAGTCAAACGCTGAAGTTTTGAAATCTAGTACAGGAGGTATAAAAATACAGCTCCGAAGAATTAAAGTTATTTCTAGCGCTGATTTGTTAACGTTTACTGCTATTTTTAGCAGTCTCCTTCATTTTTGTTGGACAGAATATTTATTTTCATACTGTCTTGGACAAAGTAATTTTTCCCAGTCATTGCCAGACAAGAATAGTCATAGTTTATATGCAATTAAGTTTCTATCATCCATCTTTGACATTAAGACACGACATTGCTGAAACAGAATTATTATCATTCATGCATTGAACGTTCTTCACCAGATTGGTGCGATTTTTATCTAAACGTAATTCTTTAAAATTCACACATAAGTCACAATCTTTAAAGTTGGTTCAAAGGAATTTTATTTCTAAAGCTAATCCGCCTTTTGATGGATTTTGTTTCCTGTTTATATTGTTTGTCGATTTTTCTGCATCATTTGATAATCAGTCATGGAAAGAATAAAAAGAGCAAGCAATTAATTCTTAGTTTGATAGTCAAAGTCTAACAAGGATTTTATTGATATGTTATCCAAAATCTGGATTCTCCTCAATCAACACACAAACAAAAGATCAAACATTAATTAATACAATCAATTCATATACATTAAAATGTAGAATACAAAACATTGAAAATAGAATCTTGTATGTATTTTTTCCAATTTTCTATTTGACCGAGGAGGGACAGTTTTACAGATAATTTTCGATATCTATCATAATCTTAGTAATACAATAATGAAAATGACTTATTGTGCATGTTGTTGCAATTATATTAAATATAACAAATTAACGTTAATGAACGTCTCACTTGTATACATCTCACTAATACGGTTTATACAACAATTTACTGACATCAAAACCATTACTTCGAAATATGAGATAGAATTTTTCAATGTCTAAAAGATTATAGCAATTACACAAAACAAACACAACAAAAACTCAGCAATGTTAAAATACACGTTAAAACAGTTATTGGTCTCCTTTCCTCAGTTCTAATGACTCCTTAATAAAAGAAAAGACTGCTTTTATATCATCCGGTGTTGATGGATTAAGTATAATCGCCAGTTTATCGGTTAAGTTAAGTTTATTAAAATTGACATATTTTTCGATGTAATATCTTAATTACAGAGCTAACTACAGAGCTGCGGAATATTTTTTCATGTGGTTATTTAAATAATCTGTGGTTATTTAGATAATCTTAACAAAACGGGCGCGTGTTATTTGTTATTACATTTTCCTTTCCTTTTTTGTATCTGCTAAACTTGTAGCCATAATTGTAATATTTATTTTGTTTGCCTTTCGAGAGATTTGCAAAGGAGATCGAATGGAAAATATAATTAGCTCTGGCTACAAATTAAATCAACAATTACATTAAGGTTAACATTATTTCTTTAAAATCGCCGATATTCAAGTTTTGTATTTGGAAACAAATAATGTTGAAATTTATACAGTATATATATATATATATATAAATATATACTACAGTGAATTCCTAGAATATGTGATTTTTGTAAGCATACAATAATTAATACCTCATCGAGGTCAGCTTGTGACACAATTGACGATTTTTTTTAATGAGGTCACTTTTTTTTATCAAAGATCTAGAAACGTGTCCTTTCTCTCAAACGTGTCAGGACCCCAACGTGTCCACACAACGTCACTGAACACGAACCATGCATAGGTACTTACGGACAGGACAATTTTTTTTAGCCCTCCCCCTTTTTTTCCAAAATCCGTTATTTTTTTGTTTTCTATTAATTTCAATTATTTTCGCATTTTTCTGTATTATAGGAACATAAATATACTACAAGTAACTTGTATTTGCTATTTACTATCAATTCCAAGTTAACTATCGACAGCAGTCGCTAATATAATATATATAATACAACAGTGACCGCTAATTAAAAGAAAAAAAATTATACGGATTTTGGAAAAAAAGGGGAGGGCTGAAAAAATGTCCTGTCCCAAGTACCTATGGAACCATGTCTAGCTGGTGTAGAACGTAAATGCAATGAAACAATTGAATATCATTGCTGTGAATGACGCTTTCTTTTGTTATATGTACAAAAATGGCATCTTCTTTTATCCAGTATTTTATTCTGTTTTGATATTATTGCACTTTAAAACAGTATGAATACACAGGCCTAAAGAAAGTTGTTGGTCGGAATCAAAAGTTTATTCATGACGTTTTATGCAATCAAATGAAGCTGTATTTGCAAACTCTGCACTTTAAGGGCTTATTCTTCTTAAGAAATAAACAATGTCATTATCAGACTAAAACATCGTGTTTCAATTCACATATTTCTTGAAGATTGTCATTTCTGTCAGAATCACTTTCATCCATCTCAACATATATGAAATTTCGCTAAAGCGATATGTATTATTCACATCAAAGATTCATCCTAATTATGGGACTCGTTACTGGTTTTATTTATGTATAAGATGTGACACTGTTGTAAGGGTACAATGACGAATATAAGATGTGACACTGTTGTAAGGGTACAATGACGAATATAAGATGTGACACTGTTGTAAGGGTACAATGACGAATATAAGATGTGACACTGTTGTAAGGGTACAATGACGAATATAAGATGCGACACATTTGTAAGGGTACAACAATGACAT